AAGCCAAATTTTGAGAGTATTGCTGCAGATGAATAAGCCAAGGGCTGCGAGCCAAACAATGATAGCAGTTGCTGAGGGCAGCTCGCACGCGGATGTGGTAAATTTAAGACTCTGCGGCAATCCGAGATGCTGCGACTCGTTTTTCGTGATTATTGCCGCAGGAGGCTATCCCTTGCGAGAGCCAGGGTCGACGCTGGAGAACAACACGACGGCTCGCCCTCGACGCGTCGTATCACTCTGGCGTCGGCTGGCGCGGCCATGGCTCTAGAATTTGGAACCTTGCACGGGCAAAATGCGATGAATGCAAAGACGAAACAAAAAATTAGGTGAAATGTACTAGGTAATGGACGACGGACGGCGCGTTGAGGACCTGGGCGGTGGTGGTGGTCGAGTCGAACGCGCGTCGCGCGGGCTTGCCAAAGGACGCGTCGACGGAACGCCGGATGGAGCACAAATAAGACCAAATATCTAAACGTGACCAGACCCTAGACTGGACCGTAACCGATACTCTGCCCAATACTTGCATACGTTCGTCCTGAGCTGCGTATATCGGAATCGAGGATGACCCATTTGTCAAGATGAAAAGCACTGGCGGACTCCCGCGCGGCTGCGGGTCCCAGATAGTACACTGAGCGCGCGCAAGCGTTGCTCCTGAACACATATGCGAGCGACGATGGCAAGTCTTTGCAAAGTTCTCGAGCGATAGTTCTGCGATATAGATGCGGTTCTACAGGTTTACACGCGTCAAGATGCTGATCTTTTTGCCAGAGCCTCAGTGGTCTCGCGGCGCAAGTCGAGCAGATATCATCATGCACGGTATACACCCTTTCCGAGCTTAAAGGCGTAAAGATTCCCGCGACGCGACGGTCCTCGAGCAACCAGTAACCTGCACATTGGCAGTGTGTTAGCCACATGCATGACCTTACAGCACTAGAACATGTCTTGCCTCGCAACTGGTCTCTCCACCATGCCAGTGCGTCGTATCTCGCCGATGACGACCCGATCGATGAGACTTTGGCTGCAAAGAAAGCTGGCAGATCCCTCAGTATGAGATTCTTTGCTTGCCCAAGAAACTCTAACTTGGTCGATGTCGCGTTGGAGTCTGGGGGAGAGACTGGAGGGCCGAGGAAGCGCGAACGATAGCGTATACGGTTTGACGGTTCAGCATTTGTCTGCTAGCGTTGAAGATCATAGCCGGCTGATCCGCGTCCGCGGTCTTGAACATGTCATGTCATCCTAATTACCCTTGCGCAACTTGGAATCTTGAGAGCCGAGGCGTTTAGCACTGATCTAGGAATCAAATCCATGCCGCACACCCTTGTCAATCTCGAAGCTTGCAAAGAACCTCTCCACACCCTCCTGCACAACACTACTCAACTGGTTCTTTAAGAACCCGCCTCTTCGCGGATCCAGTGATCGAGGTCGAGACGTCGGCAGCGACGTGTCGCCGTCGCGGCCTCCCCTTGAAGGAGCAGAGGACGGATACGACCCTAGGCGAAGAAGCCTTGGGACACAGCTTAGTGAGTAGCTTGGCGAGCCATCTCAGGGGCCATCACCTCGCATGTGTTCGTACTGAGATGCCTGCGAGCCGTACCCGAGCGGCCGCATCAACAAGCGACCCGAGTGGCAGGGGAGGCACTAGCAGGCAGACGATTGAGGTCAGATTGTGAGAACATTATTGCAAGTAAAGGAGACAAAAGATGGTGAAAGTTGTTTGGGGCAGCACAGTACGCAGACGCGGAGCATCAAGAGAGAGCTCTCCTTGTCGTTGTGCTCCCATGCTCAAGAGCGCGTGCCGCGGGCATAAAGCTTCGATATCAGCGATATATCACCATCGATCCTTGTCTCGACCCTGCGCCAGCCCGCGTTCTTGTAGAGGGTCCGCGGAACAGGGTCCAGAGCTTTGCGCGGGAAGGGCAAAGTGGCGGCAAATCACTTGCTGCAAAAAAGTGCGTGGTGTATGAGTAGTTGCATCGGCAAACCCCTTCACGCATTGGTCCCTGGGCTGCAACAGTCACTGGCGGACATCTTCTTAAACCTACCGCATTGCCTGATCGCCGATACCCAACTTGTGTTTTTCCCCCATGCTACCAAATAGCACCGAAGAACACGACACCGCCTCACGCAGGACGCGCGGAGGCTGCGGCGCGGCCGTCGCACCAGAGCATTGAGCTCGCAGACTGTTCTGGATGCAGAAACGGAAAAAAAAGGTACGCGACAAGAGCTAGACCACGGACGGCGCGTTGAGGTCGAGACTCAAGAATGCGGTCTTGCGCGACACGCCGACGGGGCGCCAGATGGAATACAAATATTAACATGAGGCAACCAGCTGGAGACTCTGCACCGCATTGTAACCGACACCCCGATGCCAGTGCCCGCGTACACCTATTGCTATCGAGATCAACATCGAGTCGGGGACGATGTGGCTGCCGAGACGAGAAGCTTGGCGGGCTCTTAGATGCAGCGGCACGCCGCATTTCCGGATGGCACTCTGGGCGTAAGCACTAGCGTTGCTCTTGAACGGCCGGACTACGATGATGGCCCTTTCAGGCTCTCAAACCACCAGTTGCGCCATGTACGTGCGTATATCCGTCATTTGCTGGCATATACGACTGACATTGTGGGTCCTGGGTTCACAGCCTGGCCTGAAGCAACTGGCAGCAAGGCGAGTCAATCTCTTCATCGGCCCGAGGCCAATCAGCTTGCGTGACTCACGCCAGCTTTCGTGTCATATCGGCTCAACCTGACTGCCAGGATACTATACTAAACGGCGGCGAGTGTGACTGTGGCCCTGTGAGTACAGCCGTGGTGATAACGGCTGACTCACGATTCTTGGCAATATTTGAAGGTGGGGGCCGGCGACAGCATCGATGACCGCAGCCGTTACGTAGCAACCCCAGTAGCCCCCGAGTCATCGGCGGAGATGGGCCGCCGTGAGATTCGCGGCACTCACGGACCCTTTTTGCATTCAGCACCGGCAGGGCAGCTAGCTTTCCAACAGAACCCGCGGAAGCATGTTCTGCCAAGATCCCGATCGCGTCGCGGGGCAGAGATATTCCGCCAGTAGAGCCACCTCGACGAGTCTCGGCGTTGCGCTGCCGGTAACGGGATTCTTGCAAGACATTGCGGGAACTATCGGCGCATCAGTGCCACGAAGACGCCACGAAGCTTCCACCTGCGCAGTAGGCTATCAACTTGAGTCAAAAAGGATCGCTGGCAGGACGTATGACTCTCGCCACTTCTGGCCATCTTCGCTACCCTGCCGCGCCTAGAAAATAGATGGATATCTGTCAAAAGCTACCCCACAACTTTAAGGTTTCAACGGTAAATGACAGCTCGTGGAGCGGCACCATGCATAGTGTGGCTGGCTGGAAAACATTGCGCCATCTTCGGTCACAAGCGCCTTAGCAGATCAATGAAATAACGGATCGGTTCAAATAAAACTCGAGCGGGAATAAAAGGGCGTCTTATAGCCGCATGACCAAATTGACGGCACTTTGACAGCTGAAACGCTAATATTGGCAGCTGGACCCAGCCGGCCAGCGCCGGCAATCTGGCAGAACACTGGCTCCGGCCGTCTCCAGATGAACGACTGAATAGTTGGGCGACATACGGGTGCATAAATGGCAGATGTATTGTCGCGGATCCCAGGGTGACGGGCTCTTATCAGCCGACATACGGCAGCAGCGCCCAGGGTAGTACCTGGATGCCGTACAGTCAGACTAGCCCAAAGGCTGACCTGAGTGCTGAGACTCCGTAGGTGCGATTCCTTCTTCCGCTGTGCATTCATCAGGAAAACATCTTGAATCTGACAGTGATGGTGGGCAATAAAAACCTGCTTTCGGGCCCTTACCCCCACTTTCCAAGTTTCGCGATTTTGAGAGGAATTGACTCCTGGTACTGCTTAGCACCTTAGAAGGAGATTAGAAAATTTTTGCTCGGTCTATGTTGTGCCAGATAGTGAAAACAATTGGTTCTGAGGAATTGCATGAGCTGACTCTAGACGCACGGGGAGCCGCTGACGCGACCCGGCGCGACCTGACGCGATTTGACGAACCTGTGTCAAGGCTCCGCACGCCTTCAAGTTGTCTGATGGCTATACGTACAATTTGGCGTGCAGATGTACATGTACTTCTCACAGACAGTTCCTCGTTCCTGTTGATCTCTCTTAAACGTTGGTACAGATCCCGCAAAATACGGAATTAGTGCTCCAGGGCAGTACATAAAGACCGCACATGGTTAACCATGCCTTAGCCCAGGTACTACCAGCGAAATCCGCCAGGCAGTGCAACACTGGTATCTTCAGAACTTACGAAACTGTTTTGTCTGTATCCTCCGATCGCAATCGTTCTCGCACACGTCTACAACCATGGGAGACCAACCTGAACTCAAGACCGCCCCTGGCACTCGGCCTAATGTCGCCTTCGACGCTCTTCGTGGTTGCGTGCCCGTCGAGTTCCCTGCCGACAGCCACCTCGCCGATTCAAACTTCCTCGCCGATTCCGTCGCATCCTTGACCGTTGCCAATGACCTGTATACCCGGCTACTTGCCTTCAGCGACCAAGTCTCTGCCTCTCTGCACGAAATCCTGCTCGTTGCCGTCCGTATCCTGCATCTCCGCTACTCTGGCGTAGTCCGCGCCGCCATCGGTACGAGTTTTTTATTACTTGCAGTCCGCGGCACATCGAACTAAACATGGGATCCAGGGGTGGATGACTGTGGAAAGCCTGGGGAGGCCCTGGCTATCTGCCTGCAGGTCGAGGACGGAGATAAGTTTGCGGAGGTTGTCCGGGCTACCCATAAGCTTGTGTCGTCCTTAGAGCGCAATACACTTCCGTTCGAGGCCGTTCTGCCACAGCTTGTCACCAATAGACGCAGCCTTCGTGGTGTTGTCCTCCCTGTGCTCGTGCATCTTGGCGATGTCCCCGTCGGTGGCACAGCAAACGGGTAAGTTCGTGAGCTTATATTGGCGTCTATGCGACTCAATGACTCGTCGGTAGCTTATTTGCCATGGTATGGAACGCCCGTCCCTCCGCGGACCATCTGCGTGTGAACGTGAGCTTTGACCCGACTCGCTTCGGGCCGGACACCATCCACACCTTCCTCGATAACCTTCTCGACGTGCTCACGGCTATCGCTACCGACCCCGATCGCACAGTCGATGACGTCCAGTTCTCCCATCCGCTCGAGCAGCTCGTCGCAGCAAACATTCCAGTCCATCCTGCGCCAGTCCCCCTACAGCCTCGTCCCACGCTCACCCAAGCTTTCTCAGAAGCCGTTGCTGCCCACCATGACCTCCCAGCGCTCATCGACGGAGACCTCACCTTGACTTACCGCGAAGTCGATATCCTCGCTTCTATTCTCTCTCAGCGGATCTTGGAGGCCACGAAACATCAAGAAATATATGCCTTCGCGTCCTTCTGCATCCCCTCGGGAGCCATCGCCATCTTGACCATCCTTGCTATCGTGAAGAGCGGCGCTGCATATGTTCCTCTCGACGTACGCTTCCCTGAGGAACGCCTTGAGTCGCTGGTTGAAGATTCTGGTGCATCTCTTGTCATAACCACCTGGGATTCGCCTTCGTTTAACTTCGATCGTGAGCGCGTCGCACATCTTGACGTTACCAGCTTCCTCGATGAACGAAAGTCGCTCCTTGCTGCGTCTGCCCACAAGGAGCGCGACGGATCTCTCTCGCCCGCCTCGCCCGCGGAGTCTTCAGAAGACGTCGCCTACGTACTCTACACCAGCGGCAGCACTGGCAAGCCCAAGGGCGTGCTCATCAAACAGTCCTCCGTCGTCGCCTTCGCCACCAACACCGACATCTTCAAGTGGGGCCCGGGACAACGCGTCGCGCAGGTCAACAATATCGCCTGGGACGCGAGCGTCATCGACGTGTGGGCCTCGTTCCTGCTCGGCGCGACGCTCGTGTGCTTCGACCGCTTCGACGTGCTCGACCCGCCCGCGCTCGCGCGGCGCTTTCGTGCGGCGCACATCGACGGCTGCCTCGTGCCCACCCCGCTCTTCCGCCAGTTCGCGGCCACATGCCCGGACGTCTTCCGCGGGCTCACGCAGATCTTGACCGGCGGCGAGGCGCTCGACTACGCGACGCTTCGCCAGGCGCGCACGGCAGCCCCGCACGTCGCGTTCACGAACGCGTACGGTCCGACCGAGGCGTGCGTCATGGCGTCGACTTTCGATGTTCTGCCCGGCGACGACGACGTGCCGGTCGCGGGGCCCATGCCCATCGGCCGTCCCCTCAAGACATGTCAGGCGCTCGTCATTGATCGCTATGGGCGTCTCGTGCCGCCGGGCGTCATCGGCGAGCTGGTCGTCGGCGGCGAGGGCGTCGCCAAGGGTTACCTCAACCGTCCCGCCGAGACTGCGGGCGCGTTCGTCGAGCTGCGCATCGATGGTCTGTCCGGGAACACGAGATTCTATCGCACGGTGCGCAGCAACTGTTGTGGATTCGGTGCATGGACTGACTTATATTCGCATATTTGCAGGGCGATGCCGTGCGCTGGTGCGACGGACAGCTGCAGTTCATGGGCAGGATGAATGCCGGGCAGATCAAGATACGTGGGCAGAGGCTGGAGCTGGGCGAAATCGAGGCCACCATTCTCCGCACTGAGCTCGTTACCGCTGCCGGCGTCAGCTACCACAAACCGGCCAATGGCAACAACCCTAACCTTATCGCATATGTTGTTTTCGACGATGAGAAGAAACCCGAGGATCAAGTCAGAGATCACGATACGGCGGCTGCAGCGTCGAATGATGCTTCTGAGATTGTGGAAGTATGGAGGGAAGCGTATGACGACATGTATGCCGCATACGATCTGTGAGTTTTCTCGACCTCGTCAGCATATCTTCTTCGCTAATCATTGTTCGAACTCAGAGCAAAGGCACGCGCAGACTTCTCAGGATGGGACAGTCTGGTCACGAAAGAACCCATTCCGAAGCTTGAGATGACTGGTCAGTTGACCCCTCGGTACTTTGAGCATCTGAGGAGCCTAACGAAACTTATCAGCGTGGCTCCACGATACCCTTCGACCGTTCTATCAGCAGCGCCCGCGAACCGCCTTCGAGATCGGCTGCGGTATCGGCATCTTCGTCCACCAGATCCTTCCCTCTGTCGACCGCATGTGGGCCATTGAGCCCTCGGCAGAGGCAGCCAAGCGCCTGGAGGATGAGCTGAAGGGACTCGGATTGGGCGACAAGGCATCGATCTGGCATGCTGCCGCCGACGAGATCTCCAAACTCCCTGCATTTGACGCGGACTTTGCGTTCATGAACTCTGTCGTTCAGTACTTCCCGTCGGAAGCCTACCTGCATCAGGCCATCATCGACATCGTCGGCAAGTGTGCCTCTGGGGCTCGTGTTCTCATCGGAGACGTGTGCAGCCTTCCCTTCGACAGCCTGCTGAACATTGACATTGCCGTTTACCGCTGGCGGCATGAGCTCGGGTCGCGGACGCTCCAAGATCTTCGTGACGAGATCCTCAACCACGCGAAGTATCGGTCGGAGCTAGCAGTCGACCCTTCCTTCTTCACGAACCTTCGTCGTACCATCCCCGCCATAGCGCATGTCGAGATTGTGCCGAAAGCAATCGAGTATTGCAACGAGCTCAGCCAGTTCCGTTACCAAGTCATCCTCCACGTCAACCAGGAGCTGTCCCTGATCGTCCCTCCTGCCTGGCACGACTACGGAGCGCTGCGGTGGAAGGACTCGGATCTCGAGAATGCCCTGCAGGACTTCGTCGCCGGCGGCGAGAACATTCTGGCTGTAGAACACATCCCGAATCGCTTCCTGTCTTGGGAGCTCGCAGCGGCGACGGTCGTCTTCTCGTCTTCGCCAGACCGCTTCTCCAATCTTGCCTCGGTGCTTCCTCCGAACATGGGAGCTGCAGCCGCGCGGGGCTGGTCTGCGTGGGACCTGGAGCGTCTCGCTGAGCAGTACGGGGTGACAGTCAGCCTGAGCGTCGCCCGCCAGAGGGAGACGACGACTCTCGACGCGGTCTTCATCAAGGGTTCCCCTGACGCCGGTACCCGCGTTGCGTTCAAGACCGTCGACGATGACGACGCGTCCGTCCCTCCGTTCGCCGCTTCCAAGCTGCAGGAGCTGATTTTCAGAATGCAGCTGGAGGAAGATGTTCTGCAACGGCTGAGGGTGATGCTGCCGTCCTACATGGTCCCTGACCAGGTCTTCTCAGTCCGCGCCCTTCCACTCCAGCCCAGCGGCAAGCTCGATCGGCGACAACTGGCGGCGATGGCAGAGAAGGATACCAGCTGGGGTGTCCGCAGAGCTACCGGGAGCGCACAAGACGTCGCGCCTGCGGACGAGATGGAAGCTCGACTGTGCAAGATCTTCGGCGACCTCCTGTCACTTCAAGTGGTTTCACCTCTCGCGAGCTTCTTCAACATCGGAGGGCACTCGTTGCTGGCGACACGACTCAAGTCCGCGCTCGAATCGGAGTTCCAAGTCACCGTCCTGCTGAAGACGATCTTCGCCTACCCCAGTCCTAGGGGACTTGCGGCCAGTATCCGAGAACTCGTCGCATCCGGCTCGTCGCACAAGCCCGCCATGCGAATTGCGGCGCCATCTGACGGAACATACTATCCCCTATCATTTGCCCAAGATCGGCTCTGGTTCCTCGCGCAGCTGGCGTATTTTGGCTCGCAGGATATCTGCTACAATAGTCCTTACACCCTCAAGTTGGAAGGTCGTCTGGACGTCGACGCTCTCGAGCGTACCATTCAAGCGATCGTCTCTCGTCACGAAGTCCTTCGCACCATCTTCGTCGAGGTTGATTATGCGCCAGCTACTCACGTGGTCGATTTCTGTCCCCGCCTCGAGATCGTGCCCCTGGCCTCAGATACCGACGAGGAGACCGTCAGCGCACTAACAAGGGAACATGCCAGACGCCCGTTCTCACTCGACATCGAACCCTCGTTCCGCGCAACTTTGTTCAAGCTCTCTCACCAGTGCTCCTACCTGCTTCTATGCATGCATCACATTGTGATCGACGGTTTCTCCCTTGATGTTCTTCATCATGAGCTGTCCGACATCTACGCCGCCTTCTCTGCCGGCAATGACCATGCTCTTTCCCCGCTGCGGATTCAGTACAAGGAATTCGCACAATGGCAGCGGTCGGAAGATTTCGAGCGCCTGCTGGACCCTCAGATCGAGTACTGGACGAAGCAGCTCAGAGGCACTCAGCCTGCGGAGTTGCCAACGGACTTCCCACGACCTCAGCACCTTAGCCATGAGGGGAAGACGCACTACGCTCACTTCCCCGCAGAACTACACATCGGGCTGGAACGAATCTGCAAGCAGGAGCGTGTGACGATGTTCATGCTCCTCTCGGCTGCCTTCCGCATCGTCCAATTCCAGCTCACCGGCCAAACCGACGCCTCCTTCGCTTTCCCGATAGCTAATCGCAATCGTCTCGAGACCGAGAGGCTCATCGGGTTCTTCGTCAACACGCAGATCCTCCGGCTGAAAGTCCGTCCCGGTATGACGTTCCTGGAGCTCCTCCATCAAGCGCGCGACCTCTCCTTGGCCGCGTTCGAATATCAGGACATGCCGTTCGAGCGGATCGTCTCGATCCTCAACCCGACTCGTGACCTCAGTCGCAACCCGCTGGCGCACATCGTGGTCGTGTACCAGACCGTGAAGACTGCTCCATTCTCCGTAGGAGACATCAATGCTTCCGTTGCGCGGGTCGATATGGAGCTGACGAGGTTCGACATGGAAATCCACTTCTTCCCCAGGGACGACATCCTGCACGTCGAGATTGTGTACAGCACCGATTTGTTCAAGAAAGAGACCATCGTCGACCTGATGGATCGGATACAGGAAGTTCTATATCAAGTCGTCGACGACGTGCACTTCTCTATTGACTCATCGCAATCTTCGAGGCTTCGTCAAGCTACCCCATCTGACGTGACAGCGTATCTGCGCGACTATGTTCCCTGCGAATTCCCTCTCGACTTGCCCAGATGTCCGGACAGTGCGTCCCTGCGGCGCGATACGTACTCTTTCGTCCTGCCGCCAACCGTCTGCGACGCACTTCGGGCCTCATCAATGGGCGAGAAGGAACTCCTCGCACTGTACCTCACCGCTCTCTCTATGCTCAACCACCGATACACTCGCCAAGAAGACATCACGATTGGTGCGTTCACTTCTGTCTTTGTGTGCGGAAAATAAGCTAACCTCCGTGCTCAGGGCTTGTGACGGACGAGTCGGTGGATATCGTCCCCGCTCGCCTTACCGTTCACCGCGATGCCATACTCTCGGCTCTTCTCGACGATGCGCAGGCCTCGGTGAAGAGAGCGTCCAGATTTTCAGCAGTATCCATCAAGGATGTATCCGCCGCTATGCAGAGACAGCAGAAGTCGTCGCCGTCGTCTGTCGTTCGTGTCGCGCTTTCCCAAGGCTCAAATAGCGCTGATATGCCATTGTCAAGGGAGCTAGGGTTTGTCGTTCTACCATCATCATGACGTTCATCGACTCACTCTGCTCCATCAGCTTATTGATCGACCTCGAGCTCCGCTACGGCGATCTCAACGAGCCTGGCTGCCAGCTTATCTACGACCAGTCCCTCTTCCGACCTGACACCATCGAAGCACTCTGCGACAATCTCGTGGACGTTCTCGAGAGTCTCCTGCTCCGTCCTGACCTGGTCGTCGAGGAGATTCCGTTCCAGCACTCGGCAAAACACCTGAAACGATTTGGTGTCCCACTTGCCCCGCCTCCGCCTCCACCGTCATCTTCCCTCGTTGACGCTCTCAAGAAGTCTGTGGATGCGCACCCCGACTTGCTTGCCCTACAGGACAGAGAAGTTCTGCTGTCGTACAGGCAGCTGAACACCGCCTCGTCCTTGCTCGCACAGAAGATCGTGCAGGCTTCAGGAGACGCGTGCGAATTTGTAGCAGTGTGTGTCCCCCCGTCAGCGCTCGCTGTCATATCCATCCTGGGCATCGTCAAGGCTGGAGCCGCATACGTTCCCTTGGACGTTCGCTACCCTCCTGAACGACTCGAGATGCTCTTGCGTGAGAGCGGTGCGCGACTGCTGATCACGACCTCAGACTCGCCAGAGTTCGCCAACAACGCCGAAGGTGTCATTCGTCTCGATGTCTCCGACTTCCTCACCGACATCGATCTCACCTCTCCCGTCGACTTCGTCTGCACTCCTCGCACGGATGCCGCTTACGTCATGTACACGTCCGGCAGCACTGGTGTGCCGAAGGGGGTGGTCGTCATGCAATCCTCGGTGATTGCACTCGTCTCGGACACGAGCGTTTTCCCGTTCCAGCCTGGTGACAAGATCGGAATGATCAACAACCTTGCGTGGGACGCCAGCATCATCGACATATGGTGCACTCTCCTTGCGGGCGCCACCATCATCTGCTTCAACCGGTACGACGTCCTCGACCTGGTCGCTTTGGCTGAGCAGTTCCAGCTTTGGGGCATCACGGGCTGCTTCATGTCTGTTGCGCTCTTCCGCCAAGCCCTCGATCTTGCACCCCAGCTTTTCAGCAGTCTTCGCCTTTTCCAAGTCGGCGGAGAAGCTTTCTATTACGAGGATTTACAGAGGGTGAAATCAATTAATCCGTCGATCCGCCTCTTTAGCGCTTATGGCACAACGGAGACCTGCGTTTTCGCTACCGGGTTCTGGATTGATGTTCCCAACATGCCCGTGTCTGGATCGGTGCCCGTCGGCGGACCGATGTCCACTGTTCAGGTCCTCGTCGTCGACACAAACGGCCGCCTGGTGCCACCGGGCGTGATTGGTGAACTGATCATTGGCGGTGCTGGCGTCGGTCCAGGGTACCTGAAGAGGCCCAAAGAGACTGCCGAGGCCTTCGTCGAGTTCGGATTCGACGAGCTCAACCAAGGTGTTACTCGGTATTACCGTACGGTACGCCACTGTTTCCACGCTCTTCTTACGCTCGCCTAATCCTTCGTCTACAGGGAGATGCTGTGAGATGGGGCCCAGGCGGACAGCTACATTTCGCTGGGAGGATGAACGCTGGACAAATCAAGATCCGCGGGCAGCGTCTGGAGCTCTCAGAGATCGAGGCAGCCATTCTCCGATCCGGCTTGGCCAACGATGCTGCGGTCGTTCATCTCAAATCCAGTAAGGACAAGAGCGATTTGCTTGCCGCATATGCTGTCGCTACCGTGCCAGTATCTCCCACGGAGTCCCTCGCTCTCTCATCACGGCTGCTCGAGACGCTGCGCGAAGTCCTTCCATCGTTCATGATCCCCCACCTCGTGTGCTGGATCCCGGCTCTTCCTCTCTCGCCTAACGGGAAAGTGGACCGCCCCCAGCTCCGAGCCCGCGCCGCTGTTGATGCCGACAGCATGCTCAACAATATCAAAGAAGAGGAAGATGCTTCTGACGAGCCTGAGGATGAGGTCGAGGAACAGCTCTGTACGATTATGGAAGCTCTTCTCCATCGTGCATCAATCCGCCGGTCATCGAACTTCTTCGACGCGGGTGGTCATTCACTCCTTGCCTCCCGTTTGGCGTTCCGAATTCGAGAAGCTTTCGATGTTTCGTTCGCTCTGACGGATGTGTTCAGCATGCCCACGCCCCGGGAAATGGCAGAGAAGATCAGGAAACTGATCTCTGAGAAACCATCTTCTCAGTCGCCGACAACGACAACGATGACTACCCCAGCGTCCGACGAGTTCGAGATACCCCCGGTGCTCGCCTTTTCCGAGGAGCCTCATAGGCCGTTCTTGTTCTGTATTCCCATGGTCACCGGTCTCAGCTTCACATTCTCTGCCCTTTCGCGCTCCACCGACCTGTTCAACGTCGTCGCTCTCAACGACCCTGGATATCTCGCACTCGAAGACTTCCCCAAGGGTCAGCCATCAACAGGCCACGCCAAGGACCTTCGTGCTTCTGCTATGCACACCGTCGAAGATCAGGCCAAGTACTACTACGCGCGGATCGTCGAGGAGCTGAGCCGTGTCGGCAGCGCCAAGCCCGGCAGCGCGCCGTTCAACATCCTGGGCTACTCTTACGGCGGGCATGTCGCGTTCGAAGTGGCCTGCCTCGCGCAGAGTGCCGGCTGGGCCGTCAACCTCTTCGTGGTCGACACGTGGGTGCACCCCGCGCGCAAGATCGAGCAGACGCAGGAGAAAGTGGACGAGGTCTCGCTCATTATCCTCCCGACTGTGATGAGCGCCATCGGGCTGCCGTTTGGCGATATGGGCGAGCAAGGCGTGCGCCTGAAGCAGGACATCGAGGCCCGCACCCTGGCCAACTTCCGTGCGCTCTACGCGCATGCAATGCCACGGTTCGAGGGGCACGTCACGCTGTTCCGCGCGGAGTCGAATGAGGACCACGGCTTCCTCCCGTTGGTTAGTTCATTGGACGAGGTCGTACTGCGCGGAGACCACTTCCGCCTGCTCGAAGAAGAATCTGGGAATTTGTCTCTGATCAGCGCCAAGGTTTCCATAGTTGTCAACGCATAGTTCTTGTCGGTTTTTGTACATTTTAGCTGTACTATATCCTTAGCTGTTTGATATAACATCGAGTTCATCCCTTATTCAGACGCAGTCAGCTAAGCTATCAATGACCCATGCACCTGAACGCGTATTATGGCGCCAGTTCGCACATGACTGCAATGAGGTACGTCGCTTCGAAAGCTTTCAGTGTTGTAGAGGCCGTGCGCTGAGGTCTTTTGGTGCTATATGGTGCGGTCCAGAGAAATATTCACAACTCTAATCTTACAGAAACTGAGCATGTAAGGAAACAACTCCGGTAGCTGGATATCTGGACACTTTGAACTGGTAGCGCCATATACGAAGAGACTTTCAGCGGACCAGAAGGTGCGGCTTCGGGCTCTGCTCAATTTAGAGTCGCTGAAGGCCAGCATGGTCGCTGGTCGGCACAGACGGCTTCCACAGAGCTCAGCACTCTAGCTGCGGCAAAGTAGTTCTGCTCGCACCTGCCGCTTGCACAATTTATCTCTCTGGTACACGAAAGACCAATCACCGCGCCTCTGACTTACAGTGGCATCCTCTCTCTGTAGTTTTGGTAGCGCACAAACAGTGGTCATTTCTTCAAGTTCGTGTGCCAGAGCACAACCTAGCAAGGCATCTGTCATGCACGTTGAATCCCGGCATACGCTGTCTCACTTGACATCTAGGTGTAGCACCTGTCTTTCTCTGCTAGTACTACGCATACGCGCCAGATCTCGGCTAAATAATATTATCAGGACTCAGGTGCCGTATAACGCGTGCCGTAGAGCCCCTCTTGCTTCGCTTTGATCTCTATAAACCATGACCATGATCAACACAGAACGATGTCTCAAGAGAACTACGGCTCACGCAATGTTACACTCTTGGAAAAATAGCGACTGAAGAAGATGTTGCCTGCATGATGCATCAGCATCTCGACTTTCAAGATGATGAAATGTAACAGAAGAGAGGCCTACCCATCATAATCCACATGTTCGGCAAGCCCTCGTTCTCGCGCCAGACTCCTCTGGGCTCGCGTTCCTCGTTCAGGCCCCAGAGGGGCGGGATTTTCGCCCCAACGTCATCTCCGACGAGTTTGCGGATCGGCGCACGAGCGTCGTCAAAGCTGTGCACGAGATCATTAGTCCAGCTCGCGAGAGCCACTTAGGCGCGCACGTACCCAGTGGCTATGACGACGACATCCGCAGGGAGCTCGCTGCCGTCCTTGAAGACGACGCCGGTCTCCGTGATCCTGTCGATCTCAAACCCAGACTTGACCTTGATCTTCCCGTCGATGATCTTCTGGCAGGCCCCAGTATCTGTGGTCCGCGTTTCTCCAGCTCAGACGCAGGAGCAAATCGCAAAGACGAAAGACGCACCGATGTGGTATCCACCGCCGCGGTCAGTAAACGAGTAGGCCACTCCGGTGCCGTCGGGGCCGTCGTTCAGCCTGTACCCGACCTTGTCAAGGCCGTCGAGCAGATCTCTAGCAGGGAAACGCGGTTTAGAGGCTCTGATGCGTCAAAGAAAAGATCGCGGAGGAATACACACTTGTCGAGACCCCGAATATACGCTGTCACGCGCTGCGAGATGGGTTTCGTGAAGTGGGAGGGAATCGACACCCAGTTGTTGTCCACCTCATCGAGCGTCCCCTTTTCCCATACCGCCCCTAAGAACCGTCCTAGGTCAGCTGGCTCACTAAGAAGCAGGCAAGGAACTCACGGGGCATAGCGGTGAGGACACCTTTCTCGATGGACATGACACATGTCGAGCTGCGCTGGACCATCGTCACGTCTGCGAGACTATCAGTCGAGGATGTCACCAATCAGCTGTCCGGTAGACTTACCGGCGCCTTCGTCTTCACAGTCGGAAGCGATATCGTGCGCTGCACCAGAGATAGTGAGGTTGAGAGCTCGGAGGAAATGCTCAGAGATGCAGAACACACCCGAAGAACAAGCGCCGACAATGATCACCTTCTTACCCTCAAGGCCTTTCGCCTTGAACTCGCTGGAGTGTACGATCTGCCCTTGGAATTTGTCCTGTTCAAAGGCGCTCTGGTAAGCAAGCAGCAACCATGACATCGCGTAGACATTGGACGCGCGCACCTGTCCAGGAAAAACGGTCTTCTTGAACAAGAACCCGAGCGCAAACACGACGTGGTCGACATGCATCGTCCGCTCCGACCCGTCCCCACGCCGAATAATGACATCCCATTTGTTGGTGTTTTTGTTGTGGACCGCGCTGACGGCCTCTGAGGAGAACCAGACGTTGAGTTCTAGCGCTTGGGCGTATAATTCTAGCCAATCTGCCAGCTGTAGTGACGCTCTGTGAGCCGAATGGCAGGCTTCGAAGCGAGCGGTGTACCTGTTTGGCTGAAGGAAAGATTGGCCAAGAGACGGGGAATCTGGATGTACAAGTCAGATATGAGCACGAGCTACACCAGTAATCTCGCGACCCACGGGAGGTAGGCCAGATGGTCGCACCCTGCTCGCAATGAGTTCAGATCAAAGGTTATAAGCTACAATACGCACATATGGGGTCATGAAGAGTCAAGGAATCATAGCGCGCCCTCCAGTTGTCCCCGATGCGGGCGCTCTTCTCGATAATCAGGTGACTGATCTTGTGGTGCTTCAGCCGAGCCGCCGTCTGAAGACCGGTCTGGCCTCCGCCAATGACCAGCACCTCAGGGTCCTTGTCCGCGAACTCGAGCTCCTTCTTCCTCCGCTCGGCCCAGTCGCCCTGGTTGAATCGAGAGTCGCGGTCCGCGCTCGTCAGCTCCGGATGGCCCTTGAGACCGTCGAGATGCGTCGATATCGTAACGGCGCGCCATGTGTCGTCAGGGCAGTAAACCAGGCGTGCAACACCCTTGCCGATGGCGACTGTGGTCTCGAATGAGAACTGAACGAGGATCCATGCGAGGTCGACCCCGGCAGGCTGGTAGACGGCGTTGGCGAAGGCGACGTTGCCGAAACCAGTCTCGGCGAGGCGGTCGTTGAGGAAGGTCTCGACCTTGGCGCGGCCGTAGAAGGTGCGGAGGTCCCAGGTGAGCGCAAAGACGTCACGCCACCACGGATCGGTGAGCAGGGACGAAGAGACAAGGCCGTTCACATCGCGGCTGTCGATGGCAGCGGCAAAGCTGGTGAGCCAGTCGCGGCCAATGGCTTGTGCGTCGGGATCCTTAGGCGGTGAGGCTCCAAGGTTGGCGAAAGTGGGAAGCGAAGGCGGAGCGGGAGCGGGAAAGGCGTCGGACATGGTGAGCAATGCAGTTGAGAGCCATCTTAGACATCTCCGTCGGATTATAAGAGGCCTGAATGGCTGGAATCAAATATGAGCCTTGGGGCTACTCAACTTTAGGTTTTACGCAGCCGCATAGGACAATTACCTTTCAGCTGCGACAAGAATTGCCTGTCGCCGCAAAGTGTGATCACTTTCCATACCATGACCCTGTGCCTCACGATACCCGCGAGGGCCGGGCCCTCAGTGTTTTCAAATAGCGGAACTTCATCTTTAGGAAGCCTCGCCACGCGAGTGTTATGCACAACATGTCGTCTCGCATTTATCGCTCTAATCTATGGCGTGTGTGACGTGAGTCCCACATGGCATATATCGCATGTACATGTATCAGGAAGATCCAAGCTATCTATTCACTGTTGTGCGAGTGGAACTCAGTGGCGAAATCTTGCACAAACGGCAGGCATCTGGCTGGTAGCAGGATATTTGGTGGCGTTGTTGCTACGGGTAAACCACACTGGTGCCCGATATCGATATCATCCTGCTTCTGCGAGAAACATCTGCTGTCTTTTCATTGGCTGACACGTTATTTCATCCAGTACTTCGCGAGCACCCGTCCAAGCTAGCGCTTGCCGTGTTAGCCGCCGAGGAGTCTGTACCGGTCGAATCAGCTTGTCTTCCGGGGTACTGTACTGAACGATTTTGTCGAGCTGTCGCGGCTGATCTCTGAAGGTGTGCCGCGGGGCCGGCGACAACACCGATGGCCGCGCTGTTACGTAGCATCTGAGCGAAGTACTCCCAGAACCATCGGCGGATATGGTCCACCGTGTGATTCGCAGTACTCACGGACCCTTCAGTTTGCTTTCCAACAGAACCCGCGGAAGCATGTTCTGCCAAAATTCCGATCGCTTCGCGGGGCAGAGTTGGTCAACTGGTAGAGCTCTCTCGACGAGTTTAGTTCCGGCGTAGACATAGGCATTGCACTGCTGGTAACGGGGTTCTTACAAGACATCTCGGAAACCATCGGCGCATCAGTGTGCCACAAAGACACCACGAGGCTTCTACCGGCGCAGGCACGCCATCGATCTCAGTACTAGTGTAAAGAAGGCGGACTTCTGGTCATCTTCACTACTCTACCATTTTCAATAACTAGATAAAAATCTGCCAACAGCTTTAAGGTTTCAACGGAAGATGGCAGCTCATGGAGTAGTGCGACACATCGTGCGGCGGGACCTAGTTATCTTAGGTCATAGGCCCCGTCTTATCAGATTAATGAAGTAATGGATCAGTTTATGAAAGATTCGAGCGGGAATAACGAGGGCGTCTTACAGTCGCATGACCGGAGATTTGACAGCTGAAGCGCTGACATTGTCTCCTGCGTTTTACAAATGACTGACTGATTGGTTGGGTGACGTACTGGCGTGTAAGGAATGGATACTCTCGCGGCTCCGAGACCCCAAGCCGACATGGGTCCCAGGACGGCAACGACGTTGTAGGTAGAGAACAGCAGCGACAGCCGCACCTGGAGGCCCTACAATCGGATGGGCCCAGAGACTGACCTGCACTGCTGATTGAGATACGCAGATCTGATTTCTACTGGGTATTCATCAGGAAAATGTCTCCAGCCTTTTGCGGCGGCAATAGAAACCCGGTTTCGGTTTCTGACCTCGATACTTCCCAAATTTTGCAGTCTTGGGACAATACTACTCCTAGTATTACGTGAGCAATGTAGAAGTAAGCTAGTTTTTTTTTTTTTTCAGGTCTGCGTTGTTACCTTGCTTGCCAATGGGATGGACATAACCGCCCACCAAACCTCATATGCCATCAAATCCCGCATGTCATCAAATCTCGCGCCCAACTTGACCCGATTTTGGCTCCGTTATCTCATCTGTCCCTGGCATCTTATCTGGTGTCTCTCCTCCGTCATACGTATAGTTTGGTGGACGGACCTCTCAGACATTTCCTTGCTCCCACTGTTCCTTCTTAGTCGGTGTAAATTCCGTGAGCTGCAATATTGGGACTTCAGGTTGGTATATCAGGACTGCACATAGTATAATTATGCCTTAGTCCGGGTACCAGCGCAAACCGCTGAGCAGTGCAACACTGAGATCCTCAGACCTTACGAAACTATCCAGTCTGATTACTCCAGCCATCCTCATCCTTGCGCATTCCTATAACAATGGGAGACCAATCTGAAAAAAAACTACTCCACAAGCCGGCGCCACTGGGCCCAATATCGTCTTACAAGGCAAAATAGCCCGGCAAGATTAGCACCTGGGCAAATGATGAGTGACAAGAGAGAACGAGGAGGACTATAGCAGTTTGGTAAGTACATGCAATAGTAACTCAGCACATATAAATGTACTACTCGCTTTTCGTAGCATATTAATACTTATCCTACGCTTGGCAGGTCCGGGCTTAAGCCCACAGCTTGAGCTAGGCTCGGGCTCGGCTCGGGCTCAGAGCTCGGCTCGACGTCGCCACGAGCTCAACCCGGCCCCGCAAATCACCGTTAGCGCTGCTCGTGAGTGAGCAGACATGTACTTATATGCACGAACCACGCACTCAAATTCGCGAGGCGTCCACTCAAATTCGTGAGTCATCCGCTCAGGCTCACGAGATTCTTACAAGACATATATGAACCATCGGCGCACCAGTGCCACAAACACGCCACGAAGCTTCTGCCGGTGCAGATACGCCATTAACCTCAGCAAAGAGAATTTTTGGCGAGCATATGACTTTGGCCACTTCTGGTCATACCATCGTATTCGTGGCTACTCTCTCACATTTAGCAAGTTGATGGCAGTCCGCCAGAAGCTGCCATACAGCTTTAAGGTTTCAATGGAAGGTCGCGGCAGTCCGTGGAATATTGCGGATCGTACGACGCATCGTATGGCTGAATCTAAGAAGCATTGCGTTATCTTAGGTTTATAGGCGTCTTAGAAGATCAATAAAGTGACGGATCAGTTTAAGAGAGACGAGAACGATCAAAACGAGGGCGTGCTATAATCGCATGACCGGGAATTTGACAGCTGAAACGCCAACACTTGACAGTTAAACCAGTCAGCCGGCCAGCGGCGGTAGTACATATGAAACTTCTCTGACTCCTGCCATTGACAAATGAATGACCGAATAGCTGAGTGACGTGCGCGTGTGCCATAGGCCGATATATCCTCTCACGGGACTCTAGGCCGTCATGGGGGACAGGATAATAGGCTCTTGGTCGATAACTCGATATACGGCGGCAGCGCAGCAGGTAGAGAGTAGTAGCGAGAATTGTACGACACACAGTCAGACCTGCTTAGAGACTGACTGATTGATGAGGCAACACATATATGATTTCTTCTTCTCTTACTTTGAGTCCGAGTCTGACGGTAGCAAGGAAAACCTGGTCCCGGTTCTTTACCTCACCACATTCCAAGGTTGAGAGGAGACAGCTCCCGGTACCATGCAAGCACATCAGAAATAAAGGAATTCCCGGTTAGGTTTACGCTGCACCAGAGAGCAAACAAAAACGTTAAGAAATCGGGTGAGCGGCTTCGGATTCTAGATGCGTGGAGAGCCCCCAACGCAACTTAGCGCTATGTGGGGCGACCTGATGAACCTTCGTCAGGGTATCTCAAATCCCATAGGCTTTTGCTGGTGGCTAGACGACTTCTCAAAGGTACTTCCTCGCCCCCGCTGTTCCCTCTTAGTCGGCGTAGATCCCGTGAGCTGATTTAGGGCTCCAGGGCGGTATATAAGGCCCGGGACTGTACGTAGTATACTTATGCCTCAGCCCAAGTGCCAGCAAAAACCACTAAGCAGTACAACACTAGCATCTTTAGGCCTTGCTAAACTATCGTGTTTGACTCCAGTCTCCATCGTTTTCACGCACCTCCATAGCAATGGGTGATCAACCTCAAAAGACCACTCCGGCCACTGAACAAAATATCACCTTCGAAGCCCTTCGTGACTGCGTGCCCGTCGAGTTTCCTGCCGACAGTCACCTCACCCATGCAAAATTTATTGCTAATTCTGTCGCATTCGCGACCATCGGTGACGACCTTTATACCCAACTAGTCGCCTTCAGCGAGCAGGTCTCTGTTTCTCTGCACGAAATCCTGCTCGTTGCCGTCCGTATCCTGCATCTCCGCTACTCTGGCGTAGTCCGCGCCGCCATCGGTACGAGTTTTAGTTGCGCGCAGTCTGCGGTACATTATAAATACGGTTTCAGGTGTCGAGACCCGCGGCAAGCCGGGGGAGCCTCTGGCTATCTGCCTGCAGGTCGAAAGCGGAGATAAGATTACGGATATCGTCCACGCCACTCACAAGCTTGTGTCGTCCCTAGAGCGCAACACGCTTCCGTTCGAGGCCGTTTTGCCGCAGCTCATCACTAACAGGAGCAGCCTCCGCGGTGTTGTCCTCCCTGTGCTTGTGCACCTCGGCGATGTCCCTGTCGGTGGTACAGCAGACGGGTAAGTTCGTGAGCTTATACTTACGTTTACATGACTCGATGAAACTCTTCGATAGCTTATTCGCCATGGTCTGGAGCGCCTGTACCTCCACGGACAATCTGCGCGTGGACGTGCGCTTTGATCCCACTCGCTTTCGACAGAATACCGTCCAAGCTCTCCTCGATAACCTTCTCGACGTGCTCACGGCTATCGTCATCGACCCCGACCACACAGTGGACGACGCTCCGTTCTCCCATGCACTCAAGCAGCTTGTCGTAGCAAACATTCCAGTCGACCCAGTGCCAGTCCCTTCACAGCCTCGTCCCACACTCACCCAGGCGTTCTCAGACGCTGTCGCCGCCTATCATGATCTCCCAGCGCTTATCGACGGAGATCTCACCCTGACCTACCGCGAAGTCGATATCCTTGCTTCAGTTATCTCCCAGCGGATCCTAGAGGTTACGAGACAACAGGAGATACATGCATTTGTGTCCTTCTGTATCCCTCCAGGAGCCATTGCCGTCCTGACCATCCTTGCTATCGTGAAGAGTGGTGCTGCATATGTGCCCCTCGATATACGCTTTCCTGCAGAACGCCTTGAGTCGCTGGTTGAAGACTCTGACGCATCTCTTGTCATCACCACCTCAGCATCGCCTTGGTTCAATTTCAACCGCGAGCGTATTGCACGTCTAGACGTCACCAGCTTCCTTGATGACCGGAAGTCGCTCGTTACTGCGTTTGCTCGCGAAGGACGCGACGGATCCGTCTCGCCCGCGTCACCCGTGTCGCCCGTGACGTCTTCAAGCGACGCTGCCTACATGCTCTACACCAGCGGCAGCACAGGCAAGCCCAAGGGTGTCATCATCAAGCAGTCCTCCGTCGTAGCCTTCGCCACCAACACCGACATCTTCAAGTGGGGGCCGGGACACCGCATCGCGCAAGTCAACAACCTCGCCTGGGATGCGAGCGTTATCGATGTGTGGGCCTCGCTTTTACTCGGCGCGACACTCGTGTGCATTGACCGGTTCGACGTGCTCGACCCGCCTGCGCTTGCGCAGCGCTTCCGTGCGGCGCACATCGACGGCTGTCTGGTGCCCACGCCGCTTTTCCGCCAGTTCGCGGCCACATGCCCGGACGTCTTCCGCGGGCTCACGCAAGTCCTGACCGGCGGCGAAGCGCTCGATTACGCAAGCGTCCGCCAAGCGCGCGCGGCCGCCCCCGGCGTCGCGTTTAAAAACGCGTACGGCCCGACCGAGGCGTGTGTCGTGACGACGACCTTTGACCTCCCCGACAACGACGATGTGCCGCACGCCGGGCCCGTGCCTATTGGTCGCCCCCTCAAAACAAGCCAGGTGCTCGTCGTCGACCGCCGTGGGCGGCTCGTGCCACCGGGCGTCATCGGCGAGCTGATCATCAGCGGCGAGGGCATCGCCGAAGGATATCTCAACCGTCCCACGGAGACCGCGAGTGCGTTTGTTGATTTATGCATCGACGGTTTGCATGGAAATACAAGGTTCTACTGCACGGTGAGCAGCGACTTTTACAGTCTCGGCGCGCCGTGAACTGACTTGTGTTGGGGGTGTTCACAGGGTGATGCGGTGCGTTGGTGCGATGGGCAATTACAGTTTGTGGGTCGAATCAATGCAGGGCAGGTCAAGATTCGCGGACAGAGGCTGGAACTGAGCGAAATCGAGGCGACCATCCTATGCACCAGGCTCGTCGTCGGCGCCGGCGTCAGCTATCACAAGCCAACCAATGGCGACGATCCTAGCCTTGTCGCATATGTTGTTGTCAACCGCGAGCAGACCCCAGAGATTGATAATCAAGTCAGCAACGACACTGCACGGGCTGCGTCATCGAACGGTGATTCTGTGGTTGTGGACACATGGAAGGATGTGTACGACGATATGTATTCATCTTATGATCTGTGAGCACACTCCACCTCTACAATCATGCTTTTCATCGCTAATCTTCGCTTGAACCAGGGCGAAAGCACGCGCAGAATTCTCAGGCTGGGACAGTATGATCACTGGAGAACCTACTCCGACGCTCGAGATGACCGGTTAGTCGACCCCTTTCATGACATGTCGAGAACCCGAGAGACCTGACCGAACACATTTGGTGATTAGATTGGCTCCACGACACCCTCAGACCCTTCTATCAACAGCGCCCGCGGACCGCCTTCGAGGTCGGCTGTGGCATCGGCATCTTCCTTCACCAGATCCTTCCCTCTGTCGACCGCGTGTGGGCCATTGAGCCCTCACCTGATGCAGTCAAACGCCTGCGGGACGAGCTGAAAGGGCTTGGCCTAGACGACAAGGTTTCAATTTGGGATGCCGCCGCTGATAAGATTCCTGAGCTTCCTGCATTCGAGGCGGATTTCGTGCTCATGAACTCCGTCGCCCAGTACTTCCCGTCGGAAGCCTACCTGCACCAGGCTATCGTCGACATCATCGGCAAGTGCGCTCCTGGAGGCCGTATCCTCATCGGAGACGCGCGAAGTCTTCCCCTCGACAGTCTCTTGGGCATAGACATCGCAGTGCACGGCTGGCAGGACGAGCTCAAGTCGCGGACGCTTCAGGACCTCCGCGACGAGCTCCTGAGCCGTGAAGATCATCGAGCTGAGTTGCTAGTCGACCCTTCGTTCTTCACGAGTCTCCGTCGCACCATCCCCGCCATTGCACATGTCGAGATTGTCCCGAAGGCGATGGAGTACTGCAACGAGTTCAGCCAGTTCCGGTACCAGGTCATCCTCCACGTCAATCAGGATGTGTCCTTGATCTCCCCTCCTGTCTGGCACGATTATGAAACGCTGCGATGGAAGGACTCGGACCTCGAGGATGCCCTGCGTGACTTCGTCGCCGGTAACGAGAATATCTTCGCAGTTGAGCACATCCCGAATCGGTTCTTGTCTTGGGAAATCGCGGCAGCGACAGCCGTCTTCTCGTCTTCGTCAGATCGCTTCGCCGACCTCGCCTCGGCGCTTCCTTCGCGCAAAGGGATCGCAGCCGCTCTAGGCTGGTCCGCATGGGATTTGGAGCGTCTCGCGGAGCGGTACGAGGTGACGGTCAAACTGAGCGTCGCACGTCAGAAGGAGACGACAACTTTTGACGCAGTGTTCATCAAAGGATCTCTCGACGACGTCGACGCTAGCACCTGTCATCGAGTCGCATTCAAGACCGTCGACTATGATGAGGCCTCCCTGTCTCCGTTTGCCACTTCCAGGCTGCAAGAGCTGGTGTTCAGGACGCACGTGGAGATCGGTCTTCTCGAACGGCTGCGGGAAATGCTGCCGTCCTACATGGTCCCCGACCGCATCTTCTCTGTGCGCGCTCTGCCGCTTCAGACGAGCGGGAAGTTGGATCGGCGACAATTGGCGGCGATGGCAGAGAAGGACGCGAGTCGTGATATTCGCGAGGCCACTGAGGACGACCAGCATGTTTTACCTGCGGACGACATGGAAGCTCGACTATGCGAGATATTCGGCAATATTCTGTCTCTTCAAGTGGTATCACCTCTCGCGGACTTCTTCTATATTGGAGGACACTCGTTACTTGCGACACGACTGAAGTCCGCGCTCGAATCGGAATTCCATGTGGCTATCCCTCTAAAGACGATATTCTCTCACCCTAGCCCTAGAAAGCTTGGGGCCAGTATCGTAGAACTCCTCGCCTCCGCTCCATCTCACGAGGTCTCCATGAAAATTGCAGCGCCATTGGAGGGGAAGCATTACCCCTTATCTTTCGCCCAGCAACGACTCTGGTTCCTCCGGCGGCTGGCATATTATGGTTCGCAGAACGTTCGTTACAACACTCCCTATGTCCTGAAGCTTCAAGGGCGTCTGAACGTCGACGCTCTCGAGCGCACGCTCCAGGAGATCGTCTCTCGTCACGAGATTCTCCGCACCGTCTTCGTCGAGGTTGATTACGCGCCGGTCACCCAGGTCGTCGATTTTTGTCCCCGTCTTGAAATAGTATTGTTGGCCTCCGATGTTGACAAGCAATCTATCCACACACTCATCGGAGAGTATGCCAGGCGCCCGTTCTCGCTCGACCTCGAACCATGTTTCCGCGCAACTCTGTTCCAGCTCTCGCAAGAGCACTCCTATCTACTCCTATGCATGCATCACATTCTGGTCGACGGGTTCTCCTTCGACGTCATTCGTCAGGAGCTCGCTGAGATCTATATTGCGTTTGACGCCGGTAAAGACTACGATCTGTCGCCGCTGGGCATCCAGTACAAGGAGTTCGCGCAGTGGCAACAATCGGAAGACTTCGAGCGTCTCCTGGAGCCTCAGATCGAGTACTGGACGAAGCAGCTCAAAGGCAGTCAGGCGGCGGAAGTACCAACGGACTTCCCACGACCTCAGCACCTCAGCTATGAGGGGAAGACTTTCGTCGATCGTTTCCCCGCGGAGCTGTTGACTCGACTGGAACAGGTCTGCAAACAGGAACACGTAACGATGTTCATGCTCATGTCGACAGCCTTCCGCATCGTCCAGTTCCAGCTCACCGGCCAGACGGACGCCTCCTTCGCCTTCCCGATAGCCAATCGCAATCGACCTGAGACCGAGAAGCTCATCGGATTCTTCGTCAACACGCAGGTCCTCCGGCTGGAGGTACATCCCGGACAGACGTTTGTGGAGCTGCTCCAGCAAGTGCGAGAGCTATCGATGGCGGCATTCGAGCATCAGGATCTGCCTTTCGAGCGGGTCGTCTCGATCCTCAACCCGACTCGTGACCTCAGTCGCAACCCGCTGGCGCAGATCGTCCTCGCATATCAGACTGTCAAGTATACACCGTTCTCCATAGGGAACATCCATGTTTCCGCTTCGCAAGCTGATATGGACGTGACGAGGTTCGATTTGGAAATACATTTCTTCCCGAAGGATGATGGACAGCTGGCTGCCGACTTCGTGTACAGCACCGACTTGTACAAGGAAGAGACGATTATCGACCTGTCGAACCGGATCCATGCACTTCTGGACCAAGTCGTCGACAATGTACACTCCCCTGTCGAGCCACCGCGATCTTCGGCGCTTCGCCAACCCACGCCATCTGACGTGGCAGCGTACCTGCGCGACTATGTCCCCTGCGAGTTCCCTCTCGATTTCCCCCGAGTTCAGCCAACTGCGTCCCTGCGACGGGAGACACATTCCTTCGTCTTACCGCCAATCATCTGCGATGCGCTTCGGGCCTCGTCAAAGGGCGAGAAGGAACTTCTCACGCTGCACCTCACCGCTCTCTGTGTGCTCAACCACCGGTACACTCGCCAAGAGGACATTACGATCGGTGCGTTCAGTTTTTCTTTCTTTCTTCCCACATGGACACTATTCTAACTTCTACTTTCAGGGCTTGAGACGAGCGAGTCGGTGGATATCGTCCCCGCTCGGCTTGCCGTCCAACGCGACGCTGTACTCTCGGATGTTCTTGACGATGTGCGAATTTCGATCAAGAAAGCGTCCGAGTTCTCGGCCGTATCTATCAAGGATGTATCCATCGCTATACAGAGACTACAGAGGCTGTCGTCCTCTGTCATTCACGTCGCGGTCTCCCATAACTCAGGCAGAGGTGACATTCCAATGTCAAGGGAGCTAGGGTGCGTTATTCCGCCATTATGCTTCATGCCTATGGATTGATCTGTTCTACCAGCTTGCTGGTCGACCTCGAGCTCCGCTACGGCGATCTCAACGAGCCTCGTTGCCAACTCATCTACGACCAGTCCCTCTTCCGATCGAATACCATCGAGATGCTGTGCGCTAACATCGTGGACATTCTCGAGAGCCTCCTTCTATGCCCTGACTTGACCGTCGAGGAAGTTCTATTCCGGAGCTCGGCGAAATACCTGGAACGATTCGATGTCCCGCTCGCTCCACCACCTCCTTCGCCGTCGTCCTCCCTCGTCGATGCTTTCAGGGAATCCGTGAAGGCGCATCCTGAGATGCTGGCTCTAGAGGACGGAGGAGTGCAGATGTCGTACAAGCAGCTGGACACTGCGTCGTCGTTGCTGGCACAGAAGATCGCGGAGACGTCGGGAGGCGCAGGCGAGTTCGTCGCAATGTGCATTCCCCCATCGGCCCTCGCCGTCATATCCATCCTGGGCATCGTCAAGGCTGGAGCTGCGTATGTGCCTTTGGACGTTCGATACCCTCCCGAACGACTCGAGATGCTCTTACTTGAAAGTGGTGCACGACTGATGATCAAAACCTCACAGTCGCCGGAGTTCGCCGACAACGCTGACGGTATCACTCGCCTCGACGTCTCCGACTTCCTCACCGACATCGACCTCGCCTCCCCCATCGACTTCGTCTGCACTCCTCGCACGGATGCCGCCTACGTCATGTACACATCTGGCAGCACCGGTGTACCGAAGGGGGTGGTCGTCATGCAATCCTCGGTGGTCGCACTGGTCTCGAACACGGACGTTTTCCCATTCCAGGCAGGTGACAAGATCGGGATGATCAACAACCTTGCATGGGACGCCAGCATCATCGACATATGGTGCACTCTCCTTGCGGGCGCCACCGTTGTCTGCTTCAATCGGTACGACATCCTCGACCCGATTGTACTGGCCGAGCAGTTCCGGCTCCTTGACGTCTCGGGCTGTTTCATGTCCCCTACACTCTTTCGCCAAGTTCTCGATTTCGCCCCTCAGCTTTTCCACAAGCTTCGCATTTTGCAGCTTGGTGGAGAAGCCTCTTACTATGAGAATCTGCAAAGGGCGAAAACCATCAACCCATCGCTCCGCATCCTCAACGGTTACGGTCCGACGGAGACTTGTGTCTTTGTCACTACGCTCTGGATTGATGTTCCCAATATGCCTGCGTCTGGGCCGGTGCCCATTGGCCGACCAATGTCGACTGTTCAAGTTCTCGTCGTCGACACGCGGGGCCGGCTGGTGCCTCCGGGTGTGATCGGCGAGCTAATCGTTGGCGGTGCCGGTGTCGGTCCGGGTTACTTGAGGAGGCCGAAGGAGACGGCCGAGGCTTTCGTCGAGTTTGGATTCGGCGAACTCGGCCAAGATGTCTCTCGGTACTACCGTACGGTACGTGACTTCCCTTTTGTTTTCCCTTCCAAATCTAATACCTCATGTAGGGCGACGCTGTGAGATGGGGCCCGGATGGACACCTGCATTTCATCGGGAGGACGAACGCTGGTCAAGTCAAGATCCGCGGGCAGCGACTGGAGCTTGCGGAGATCGAGGCGGCCATTCGCAGAACCGACTTAGCCAGCGATGCCGCGGTCGTTTACCTCAAATCCTACGGGGATAATAACGATCTGCTTATTGCGTATGCTGTTGCTGCTGCACCAGTGCCACTCTCGGAGTCTCACGCTCCCTCCTCACGGCTACTCGAGACGCTGCGCGAAAGCCTCCCATCATTCATGATCCCCCACCTTGTGTGCTGGATCCCGACTCTTCCTCTCTTGCCCAACGGCAAGGTGGACCGCTCCCAGCTCCGGGCCCGTGCTACCGTTGACGCCAATACCATGCTGAACGATCACGCAGAGGAAGAAGGTTCAGATGAACCCGGGGATGAAGTCGAAGAGCGCCTCTGTAAGATCATAGAGGCTCTTCTCGGTCGCACACCAATCCGCCGGTCTTCGAACTTCTTCGATGCGGGCGGCCATTCGCTCCTTGCCTCTCGCTTGGTATTTCGGATACAAGAGGCTTTCGACATCCCGTTCACTCTGATGAATGTCTTCAACATGCCTGTGATCAAGGCAATGGCGGACGAGATCAAGCAAGCAATAGCCACCAAGGTATCCAATCAGCCATCGACGACTACTCCGACGACTACTCCGGTATCTGAGAAGTTCCACATACCCCCGGTGCTCGCCTTCTCCGAAGAACCTGACAAACTGTTCTTGTTCTGTATTCCCATGATTACTGGTCTCGGCCACATATTCGCAGCGCTGTCTCGCTCTACCGACCTGTTCAACGTCGTCGCTCTCAACGATCCTGGGTATGTCGCACTCGACGAGTTCCCCCAAAATCAGCCGTCGACAGGTCACGCCGGTACCCTGCGTAACTCGAGCATGCACACGATCGAGAGCCAGGCCAAGTACTACTACGCGCGGATTGTCGAGGAGCTGGGGCGCATCGGCAGTGCTACGCCCGGAAGCGCGCGGTTCAATATCCTAGGCTTCTCTTACGGTGGGAATGTCGCAGTGGAGGTGGCACACCTTGCGCAGAGCGCTGGTTGGACCGTCAACCTCTTTGTGCTCGACTCGGAGGTGCACCTCATGCATGAGATCGAGCAGATGCAAACGTATCTCGACAAGATTGCGCGTGCAGTCCTTCCGATGGCGATGAGCGCCGTCGGGCTGCCTTTCGACGACATGGGCGAGCAGGGCGCGCGCCTGAAGCACGACATCGAGGTCCGCACCCTGGCCAACTCCCGTGCGCTTTATGCGCATGTGATGCCGCGGTACGAGGGGCACGTCACGCTGTTCCGCGCGGAGTTGAACGTGAACCACGGTTTCGTCCCGCTCGTCGGCTCGTTGGATGAGGTCGTGTTGCGCGGAGATCATTTCCGTCTGCTCGATGAAAGGTCTGGAAACTTGTCTGTCATCAGCACCAAGGTTTCCGAAGTCATACACGCATAGGCCTCGTCGTCGTTGCTCGATATTCGTACATTTTGGCCGTATTACATCGTTAGTTATTTTATATATCATCGAGTTCATCCATACGCATACTGATAAGCCGCTCATGCGCATTGGAACGATCTGCGGCGACATTCCGCATATCACGGGTCAAAGTACTCGGTTATTGGTGTTGTCGCGTGCGTCATTCGTGACGTCGGGACTGACGTCTCCTCCGAGACAGTCGTCCTGCACGATCTCGATCGACATCGGCGACCGCCAAGTACCTGGACGACTGCTTTGCTGCGAACATAGCTCTTGGGCGCTGCCGGGATTTGTTCGTCCCGCGATGTCTTCGACTTCCAGACTCTTTTACAAGAAAGCTTCTCGTATGACGCGTCTCGTCTGCTCGACTGTCCCACTTTTCCCCTGCACGGATCAGCATATCCTCCTTACACAACACTAGCATATCCACCATGGTTCGCGCGCAGGGCTGATGACCGTCTACACGGCCCTCATCGCCATCTCTGCTGTCATCCCCTCCCGCTCTCCAATGCCATCGTGCGCTGGGCACATGACCCCTCTCCGCAAGTGCAATGCCCCTGCGTCGTGGATGCGCGGGATCCAGGCTACACCGTCTAATCGAGGCTATAGTGCTTGGAGCGTGCCGGGCTGGGGACGGTCTTAGGTCAGACCTAGTCTCGATATCCATACCCTGCGTCTCGGTTCTAGCTTACCCATTGATTACCGGTAAGTGTCGGAGCTTTAACTCCCCTGCAGAACGCTTCCACTCTGCAGCGCGATTTAAACTCCGCTTACTTTGAACCCTTTACTGCAAAAACTTACTTAGCCTGGGAACGAATGGTCTGGAACCGAGACTACATTAGACCATAACATGAGCTCAACGATGTATTTAGACAACATGATACCAACGCTTCTCTATACTACTTGAAGCGCAGCATCATTACTGACACAAAATCGTGTAGCCAAACTGTCGGGCAGTGATGGGCCGACGGCGTGCACGTGATGTTCATTTATGGCAAGAAAGACCGTCCAGACCAGTGTACGCGTCTGCACTTGATCCTATCTCCTGCCATCGACACCATTTCCAGACGGTGCCAGCTCCGAGTCAGCAATCTTTGCGCACTTTTAGACCGTGAGCCGCGTCTTGAGCACAAGCAGGCCTTGCTCCTGGGTGCGCAGGCTACGGTGGCAGCCCTTGCAAGCTTCCGGAACGGTACAGCATACTAGGTACGTATTTAGATGTGTGCATGCATCAGGATCCTCTACAGCCTCGGCGACCCCCAGCGCAAGCTGGGTACGACACGGACGGGCGACGCAGATTCTTTGGTTTGCTCTCGTTAACCCACGGCCTAGGGATAGCTCGATAGAGCCAGCGCTGAAAGGCGAACCGCAAATCGTCGAAACCCGGCGTCTGAGACGTTCGAGATCGTCGTAGTCGGGTTGGAGGAGGCATGGCCCGGCCAAGTAAGTTCCTCCAAGTCTTACGAAGCTTACATCGGTCGAAGAAACCCAGGGAACAAAATGTAACTGTAAGGTGTCGCCTATCGTGTGGAAGCCCAGTCTGCCGACAGGAGATGCTTGCCGAAGATACCACTGCTACTCGCCTCGACGACTTGACGCCGCCCCCTACCGCGGAGGAGCATGGAAGCTTGGCTCGTCGTCATATACCGTCGGTGTCGTGCGCGTACCTGCATCGCTGGATTTTGGAGCGTCTATTATCCTTGTGCCTGCTGTTGCTCAGCAATGTGGTCAGTTTCGTCCTCAATTTTTGCACCTACGTTAGTATGCACGTCAGTTTACCCTAACTTGTTTGCCAGGATATGTGATTGTGAAAAAAAAAAAAAGATAGCCATTAGTGCGAGAGACTCGGTGTCAGGAGCCCACCGGCGTGGAGACACCCCGGTACCTCACGCATCCTATACTCGGGGTCCAGGGCCCTGAATGTTCTCAAATAACGGAATTTCGTCTCTACAAAGGCTGCCGGCCCCGCCACGGGGGTATCATGCACAGCATGACTGCCTGTCATATCGCAGTCATCCCTCCAACGATGTGTATTTCGTGAGGCTCATACAGCATATGGTCGTATTTATATGTATCAGGGAGATCCAAGCTGCCTGTTCACTGTTGCATGGCTGGAGCTCAGCGGGGATATTGCGTACAAATGGCAGGCGTGCGACTGGTAGCAGCATGTTTGGTAGCGTTGATGGGGAATCTAGACTGATGTCCGACCTCGTCCTGCTTCTGCGGAAATTGTCTGCTGTTTTTCATTGGCTGGCAGCGAAAAGGAAGCCGCCCTATTCAGTATCCCGCGAGCACACTCAGCTGTCCAAACTGGCGCTTACCATGTCTTAGCACTGAGGAGTCGGTGCCGACGAACATATTGAGCTCACATGGTTAGAGCACCGAACTAAATCAGCCCCAGGACGACACCGATGACCGCAGCTGTAACCTGCTACGAACCAATCCCGGAGTCCGAGAGAAGTGCTCCCCAGATCGCCGGTGGCTGTCGCCCGCCGTGTGATTCACGGACCCTTTCCAGCCCGCTTTGCCACATGCGAGTGGAGTAGCTGTCTGACAATGAACTGCACATCTTCATAACAGAGTCCGAAGAAGCACGTTTTGCCGAGATTCTGATCGCTTCGCGGAGCAGAGATCTCGAGAGTCGGTCCACTGGTAGAGCTGCTTCGACCGGCGTAGACATAGGGCGCATTGCACTCCGCTGCTGGCAGGAGATTCTTGCAAGATACTATAGGGATCATCAGCGCATCAGTGCCACAAAGACGCCACGAAGCTTCCATCGGCGCAGGTACGCCATCAGTTTTAGTGAAAACGTCTTCTGGTAGGCATATGAGTCTGGCTACTTCTGGAGATGTTTACTGCTCCATCATGGTTAGAAAGTAGATGGAAATCTGCTCGAAGCTACCACACAGCTTTGAAATTTCAACGGAACGCATGAAAGATAGCAGCCCATGGAGTATTGCGACACATCGTGTGGCCGAACCTAGAAAACGTTGCGTTACCTTATGTCATTGGCATCGATCAAGTGACGGACCAGTTTACGTGGAGCTCGAGCGGTAAAAAGCAGGGCGTCTTATAGTCGCATAACCAAATTAACCGGAGATTTGACAGCTGAAGCGCTGAAGTCGACGACTAAACCAGCCAGCGGCAGCGCGGCCGTTGATAGATCATCCGAATGAACGGATGTGCAAGACGTATATATGCTCTCCCGCGACTCGGAGACTGCAAATCGTTGTTGGTCCCGGGGTGACGGGCTCTTAGTCGATATACGACAGCAGCGCCGCAGGTGGAGAGCAGTGGCGAAGGCTGTACCTGAGGGTCATACAATCAGGCCGGCCTGGAAACTGATCTGACTGCTTTCGATACACCACAGATCTCTTCTTGTTCTACTGCGCGTTCATCTGGAAAACGTCTCCAGTCTGATGGTGGTAATAAAAACTCGGTTTCGGTTCCTGACCTTGACACTTTCCAAATCTACAGCCTTGAGGCAATACACCTCCCAGTATTATGCAAGCGTTGTAGGAAAAAGCCAGCAGTTTTTGTAAGGTCTAAGTAGTGCCGGAGAGAAAATAAAATTGGGTTTGACGCTGAGAAATCACGTGAGCTGGCTCCAGGCTCCCTTGACGCGACTTGACACGACGCGACCTGACACGACCTGACGAGCTTTCGGAAAGCAGGTCCATTTACATCGACAGTGCCTCAATACTCCACAGTACGCCATGACTAAACGTACACGGTACAGCTCGGTGGGCAGAGGTGCACGAGCTTCTCACAGCCGTTTCCTTTTCCCGCTGATCCCTCGTATAGATTCCGCGAGCTGTGTTAGGGCCTCAGAACAGTACATAAGGACTGCACGCAGCGTACTCATGTTTTGGCCCAAGTACTAGCAAAACCGCTAAGCAGCGCAACACTAGCATCCTCAGACCTTACGAAACCACCTTGTCCGAATCCTCCAATCGCAATCGTTCTTGCACACTTCTACAACAATGGGAGACCAACTTGAACTCAACACCGCTCCGCGCACCCAGCACAATATTGCCTTCGACGCCCTTCGTGGTTGCGTGCCCGTCGAGTTTCCTGCCGACAGCCACCTCACCCATCCAAACTTCCTTACCGATTCTATCGCATCCGTGACGGTCGCTAATGACCTGTATACTCAGTTAATTGCCTTCAGCGAGCAGGTCTCTGTTTCTCTGCACGAAATCTTGCTCGTTGCCGTCCGTATCCTGCATCTGCGCTACTCCGGTGTAGTCCGCGCCGCCATCGGTACGAGTTTTTATTGCTTGCATTTTGCGGTACATCGAGCTGAATAATGTTTCAGGTGTCGACGCTGGTGGGGAGCCTGGGGAGCCCATGGCCATCTGCCTGCAGGTCGAAGACGGAGATAAGTTTGCAGAGGTTGTCCGGGCCACTCATAAGCTCGTGTCGTCCTTAGCGCGCAACACGCTTCCATTCGAGGCCGTTCTGCCGCAGCTCATCGCCAACAAGAGTAGCCTCCGGGGTGCTGTCCTCCCTGTGCTTGTGCGCCTCGGGAATGTCCCCATCGATGGCACAGCAGACGGGTAAGTTCATGGGCTTGCTATACTGGCGTCTAAATGACTCAATGATTGTCTTCGGTAGCTTATTCTCCATGGTCTGGAACGCCTGTCCTTCCGCGGACCATCTGCGTGTGAACATAAGCTTTGACTCGACTCGCTTCGGATCAGGCACCATCCATACCTTCCTCGACAATCTTCTCGACGTGCTCACGGCTATCGTCACCGACCCCGATCGCACAGTCGACGACGTTCTGTTCTCCCATTCGCTTGAGCAGCTCGTCGCAGCAAACATTCCAGTCGACCCAGCGCCAATCCCCTCACAGCCTCGTCCCACGCTCACCCAGGCCTTCTCAGACGCTGTCGCCGCCTATCATGACCTCCCAGCGCTCATCGACGGAGACCTCACCTTGACTTACCGCGAAGTCGATATCCTCTCTTCCGTTCTCTCCCAGCGGATCTTAGAGGCCACGAGGCAACAAGAGCTACATGCCTTCGTGTCCTTGTGCATTCCTTCCGGAGCCATCGCCGTCCTGACCATCCTTGCTATCGTGAAGAGCGGCGCTGCATATGTGCCTCTTGATGTACGCTTCCCTGCGGAACGCATTGAGTCACTAATCAAGGACTCCGGCGCATCTCTTGTCATCACCACCTCGGAGTCGGCTTCGTTTAACTTTGACCCTAAACGTGTCGCACATCTGGATGTCACCGGCTTCCTTGACGACAGGAAGTCTCTCGTTGCAGCGAATGTTCGCGAGGAGCGCGACGGATCCGTTTCCCCATCCGAGTCTTCAAATGACGCTGCCTACGTGCTTTACACCAGTGGCAGCACAGGCAAGCCCAAGGGTGTCGTCATCAAGCAATCTTCCGTCGTCGCCTTCGCCACCAACACTGACATCTTCAAGTGGGGCCCGGGACAACGCGTCGCGCAAGTCAACAACCTCGCATGGGACGCGAGCGTCATCGACGTGTGGTCCTCGCTCCTGCTCGGCGCGACACTGGTGTGCTTCGACCGCTTCGACGTGCTCGACCCGTCTACGCTCGCGCAGCGCTTCCGTGAGGCGCATATCGACGGCTGTTTGGTGCCCACCCCACTCTTCCGCCAGTTCGCAACCACATGCCCGGACGTCTTCCGCGAGCTCACGCAGATCTTGACCGGCGGCGACGCGCTCGATTACGCGAGTCTCTGCCAGGCGCGCGCGGCGGCCCCGCATGTCGTGTTCACGAACGCGTACGGCCCGACCGAAGCGTGTGTCATAGCGACGACCTTCGACATCCCTCCTAGCGACGACAACCTGCCGCACGCAGGGCCTGTGCCCATCGGCCGTCCCCTCAAGACAAGCCAGGCGCTCGTCATCGACCGCTATGGGCGGCTCGTGCCGCCAGGCGTCATCGGCGAGCTGGTCGTCGGCGGCGAAGGCATCGCCGAAGGGTACCTCAACCGCCCCGCAGAGACTGCAAGTGCGTTTGTCGAGCTGCGCGTTGACGGTCTACATGGAAACACAAGGTTCTATTGCACGGTAAGCAGTGAAAAGTTTGACAGACTCGGCGCGTGAGCTGACCTGTGTTGGGGTATCCACAGGGCGATGCCGTGCGTTGGTGCGACGGACAGTTGCAGTTCATGGGCCGGATTAATGCGGGGCAGGTCAAGATTCGTGGACAGAGGTTCGAACTGAGCGAGATCGAGGCGACCGTCTTCCGCACCGGGCTCGTCAACGGCGCCGGCGCTATTTGTTACAAGCCGACCAATGGCGGCGACCCTAGCCTTATCGCATATGTTGTTGTCAGCCGCGAGCAGAAACACGAGGCCGACGGTCGAGCCATTGACGGCGGTACACAGCCTGCAGCGTCGAATGACGATTCTGCGATTGTGGACACATGGAGGGACGTGTACGACGCTATGTATGCTACGTATGATTTGTGAGTTTTTTTTTCGGCTTATAGGCATGTTTTTGGTCGCTGATCCTCGCTTGAACATAGGGCACAAGCACGCGCAGACTTCTCGGGCTGGGACAGCATGATCACTGGAGAACCCATCCCGAAGCTCGAGATGACCGGTTAGTCGACTATTTTCACCGTGGTTCGAGCATCTGAGGAACCTGACAAAACTTGCTTGCTATTCAGCATGGCTCGACGACACCCTCCGACCCTTCCACCAGCAGCGCCCGCGGACCGTCTTCGAGGTCGGCTGTGGCATCGGCATCTTCGTCCACCAGATTCTTCCCTCTGTCGACCACATGTGGGCCATTGAGCCCTCGGCAGAGGCAGCCGAGCGCTTGGAAAACGAGCTCCACGGGCTCGAGTTGAGCGAGAAGACCTTGATCTGGCATGCCGCCGCCAACCAAATATCTAAGCTTCCTGCGTTCGAGGCGGACTTCGCGCTCATGAACTCTGTCGTCCAGTACTTCCCGTCCGAAGACTACCTCCGCCAGTCCATCATCGATACCATCGGCAAGTGCGCCCCTGGAGGCCGTATCCTCATTGGAGATGTGCGAAGTCTTCCCTTCTGCAGTCTGCTGGGCATCGACATCGCGGCCCGCCGCTGGCGGCGCGAGCTTGGATCACGAACGCTCCAGGATCTTCGAGATGAGATTCTGAATCGCGAGAAGTACCGGACCGAGTTGTTGGTCGACCCTTCGTTCTTCACGAGTCTTCGTCACACCATCCCCGAGGTGGCCCATGTCGAGATCGTCCCGAAGGCGATCGAGTACTGCAACGAGCTCAGCCAGTTTCGTTACCAAGTCATCCTCCACGTCAATCAGGAGCTGCACTTGACAGTCCCTCCTGCGTGGTACGACTACGAGGCGTTGCAGTGGAAGGACTCGGACCTCGAGGACACCCTGCGCGACTTTGTCGCCGGCGACGAGAATATTTTCGCGGTGGAGCACATCCCGAATCGGTTCCTATCTTGGGAGCTCGCGTCAGCAGCAGCCGTTTTCTCATCTTCGCCAGCCCGCTCCGCCAACCTTGCCTCAGTCCTTCCTCCGCGCAAGGGAACCGCAGCCGCGCAGGGCTGGTCCGCATGGGACCTGGAGCGTCTCGCAGAGCAGTACGGGGTGACGGTCAAACTGAGCGTCGCGCGTCAGAAGGAGACGACCACTCTCGACGCGGTCTTCATCAAGGGACCTTCCGACGGCGTCAACGCCGGCGCCTGTGTTGCATTCAAGACCGTCGACCACGACGATACCTCTCCCTCTCCGTTTTCCATATCTAGGCTGCAGGAGCTGGTGTTCAGGACAAATATGGAGCACAGCATTCTCGAACAGCTGAGAGTAGTGCTGCCGTCTTACATGATCCCCGACCGTATCATCTCGGTGGACGCTCTTCCAGTCCACACTAGCGGGAAGCTGGACCGGCGGCAACTGGTGGCGATGGCAGAGAAGGACGCCAGTCTTGATATTTGCGCAGCTGAGGGCCTTGTTTTGCCTGCAGACGACATGGAAGCTCGACTATGCGGTATCTTCGGCGACCTCCTATCGCTTCAAGCAGTTTCACCTCTCGCGGACTTCTTCCATATCGGAGGACACTCCTTACTTGCGACGCGACTCAAGTCTGCACTCGAATTCGAGTTTCACGTCCCTGTTCCGCTGAGAGCGATCTTTTCTCACTCCAGCCCGAGAAAGCTTGCTGCCAGTATCCGAGACATCCTCGTCTCCACTCCATCTCATGAGTTCTCCATGAAAATTTCAGCACCACTGGACGGGGCGCACTATCCCTTATCTTTTGCCCAGCAACGACTCTGGTTCCTTTCGCAACTCGCGTATTTTGGCTCGCAGAACATTTGTTACAACACTCCATACGTCCTGAAGCTCCAAGGGCCTCTGAACGTCGACACTCTCGAGCGAACCCTCCAGGAGATCGTCTCTCGTCACGAGATTCTCCGCACTATCTTCGTCGAGGTTAATCAGGCCGCAGCTACTCAGGTCATCGATTTTTGTCCTCGTCTCGAAATGGTGCCCTTGGCCCCCGATATCGACAAACGGTCTATCCACAAGCTCGTTGGAGAGTATGCCAGGCGCCCGTTCTCGCTCGACCTCGAGCCTTGTTTCCGCGCAACTCTATTCCAGATCTCGCAGGACCACTCCTACCTCCTCTTATGCTTACATCATATCCTAGTCGACGGTTTTTCGTTTGACGTCATACGCCAGGAGCTGGTTGAGATCTACGTGGCATTCGAGGCCGGTAAAGACTACGATCTCCCGCCACTGGGCATCCAGTACAAGGATTTCGCGCAGTGGCAACAGTCGGAAGACTTCGAGCGTCTCCTGGAGCCTCAGATCGAGTATTGGGCAAAACAACTGAAAGGGAGTCAGGCGGCGGAAGTGCCGACAGACTTCCCACGACCTCAGCATCTCAGCTATGAAGGGAAGACCTTCGTCGCTCGGTTTCCCCCGGAGCTCTTCACTCGACTACAACAGATCTGTAAGCAGGAACACGTAACGATGTTCATGCTTCTGTCTACTGTCTTCCGCATCGTCCAGTTCCAGCTCACCGGCCAGACGGACGCCTCCTTCGCCTTCCCGATAGCCAATCGCAATCGACCTGAGACCGAGAAGCTCATCGGGTTCTTCGTCAACACGCAGGTCCTCCGGCTGGAGGTACATCCCGGACAGACGTTTGTGGAGCTGCTCCAGCAAGTGCGAGAGCTATCGATGGCGGCATTCGAGCATCAGGATCTGCCTTTCGAGCGGGTCGTCTCGATCCTCAACCCGACTCGTGACCTCAGTCGCAACCCGCTGGCGCAGGTCGTTCTCGCTTACCAAACTGTCAAGAACGCACCTTTCACCATAGGGAACGTCCATGCTTCCTCCTCGCGGGCTGTTATGGACGTGACGAGGCTCGACTTGGAAATCCACTTTTTCCCTAAGAACGACGAGCACCTGCTTGGCGAGTTCGTGTACAGCACCGACTTGTACAAGGAAGAGACGATTGCCGACCTGTCGGATCGTATACGCAAGGTTTTGGAACAAGTTGCCGACAATATACGCTTGCCTGTCGAGCCGCCGCGATCTTCGGAGCTTCGCCAGCCTACTCCATCTGACGTGGCGATGTACCTGCGCGACTATGTCCCCTGCGAGTTCCCTCTCGATTTCCCCCGAGTTCTGTCAACTGCGTCCCTGCGACGAGAGACGCATTCCTTCGTCTTACCGCCAATCGTCTGCGAGGCGCTTCGGGCCTCGTCAAAGGGCGAGAAGGAACTTCTCACGCTGCACCTCGCCGCTCTCTCTGTGCTCAACCACCGGTACACTCGCCAAGAGGACATTACGATCGGTGCGTTCAGCTTTGTTCTCCCGCATGGAATTTGGACTAACTCTTGTGTTCAGGGTTTGAGACGAAAGAGTCGGTGGATATCGTCCCCGCTCGGCTCGCCGTCCAACGCGACGCTGTACTCTCGGATGTTCTTGACGATGTGCGGATTTCGATCAAGAAAGCGTCCGAGTTCTCGGCCGTATCTATCAAGGATGTATCCATCGCTATACAGAGACTACAGAAACTGTCGTCTTCTGTCATTCACGTCGCGCTTTCCCAGAACTTGGGCAGAGGTGACATTCCAATGTCAAGGGAGCTAGGGTGCGTTATTCTGCTGCTATATCTTATGCATATAAATGAACCTGTTATATCAGCCTGCTAGTCGACCTCGAGCTCCGCTACGGCGATCTCGACGAGCCTCGTTACGAGCTCGTATACGACCAGTCCCTCTTCCGACCAGATACCGTTGAGATGTTCTGCGACAACTTCGTGGACATTTTGGAGAGCCTCCTTCTATTCCCCGACATGGTCGTCGAGGAAGTTCTATTCCGGAGCTCGGCAAAATACCTGGAACGATTCGATGTCCCGCTCGCTCCACCACCTCCTTCACCGTCGTCCTCCCTCGTCGATGCTTTCAGGAAATCCGTGAAGGCGCATCCTGAGATGCTGGCTCTAGAGGACGGAGGAGTGCAGATGTCGTACAAGCAGCTGGACACTGCGTCGTCGTTGCTGGCACAGAAGATCGCGGAGACGTCGGGAGGCGCCGGCGAGTTCGTCGCAATGTGCATTCCCCCATCGGCCCTCGCCGTCATATCCATCCTGGGCATCGTCAAGGCTGGAGCTGCGTATGTGCCTTTGGACGTTCGATACCCTCCCGAACGACTCGAGATGCTCTTACTTGAAAGTGGTGCACGACTGATGATCAAAACCTCACAGTCGCCGGAGTTCGCCGACAACGCTGACGGTATCGCTCGCCTCGACGTCTCCGACTTCCTCACCGACATCGACCTCGCCTCCCCCATCGACTTCGTCTGCACTCCTCGCACGGATGCCGCCTACGTCATGTACACATCTGGCAGCACGGGTATGCCGAAGGGGGTGCTCATCATGCAGTCCTCGGTGATCGCACTGGTCTCGAACACGGACGTTTTCCCATTCCAGGCAGGTGACAAGATCGGGATGATCAACAACCTTGCATGGGACGCCAGCATCATCGACATCTGGTGCACCCTCCTCGCGGGCGCCACCATTGTCTGCTTCAATCGGTACGACGTTCTTGACCTAGTCGTTCTGGCCGAGCAGTTCCAGTTGCTTGACGTCTCGGGCTGCTTCATGTCTGTTGCGCTCTTCCGCCAAGTTCTCGATCTCGCGCCCCAGCTTTTCCGCAAGCTTCGCCTTCTGCAGGTTGGCGGAGAAGCCTTCTATTACGAGGATCTACAAAGGGTGAAATCCGTCAATCCGTCGATCCACCTCTTTAGCGCATACGGCCTAACAGAGACCTGCGTCTTTGCCACCGGGTTCTGGATTGATGTTCCCAACATGCCTACGTCTGGGCCGGTGCCCATTGGCCGACCAATGTCGACTGTTCAAGTTCTCGTCGTCGACACGCAGGGCCGGCTGGTGCCACCGGGCGTGATCGGCGAGCTGATCATTGGCGGTGCCGGTGTCGGTCCGGGTTACTTGAGGAGGCCGAAGGAGACTGCCGAGGCTTTCGTCGAGTTTGGATTCGGCGAACTCGGCCAAGATGTCTCTCGGTACTACCGTACGGTACGTGACTTCCCTTTTGTTTTCCCTTCCAAATCTAATACCTCATGTAGGGCGACGCTGTGAGATGGGGCCCGGATGGACACCTGCACTTCGTCGGGAGGACGAACGCTGGTCAAGTCAAGATCCGCGGGCAGCGACTGGAACTTGCGGAGATCGAGGCGGCCATTCGCCGAACCGACTTAGCCAGCGATGCCGCGGTCGTTCATCTCAAACTTTGCAGAGACAATGACGATCTGCTTGTTGCCTACGCTGTCGCTACTGCGCCAGTATCACCCTCAGAGTCTCATATCCCCTCGTCCCAGCTACTCGAGACGCTGCGCGAAACTCTTCCACCATTCATGATCCCTCACCTTGTGTGTTGGGTCCCGACTCTTCCCCTCTCGCCTAACGGCAAGGTGGACCGCCATCAGCTCCTAGCCCGTGCCATCGTTGACGCCGATAGCATGCTGAATGACACCACGGAAGGAGACGGTCCTGACGAACATGAGGACGAGGTCGAGGAGCGGCTCTGTAGGATCATGGAGGTTCTTCTCGGTCGCACACCAATCCGCCGGTCTTCGAACTTCTTCGACGCGGGCGGCCATTCGCTCCTTGCCTCCCGTTTGGTATTCCGGATACAAGAAGCCTTCGACGTCCCGTTCACTCTGATGAATGTCTTCAACATGCCCAAAGTCAAGGCAATGGCGGGGAAGATCAGGGAAGCGATCGCCGCCAAGGCATCCGATCAGCCATCGACGACTCCGGCGATTGCTCCAGCATCCGAGAAGTTCCACGTACCTTCGGTGCTCGTATTCTCGCAGGAACCTCACAAGCCGTTCTTGTTCTGTGTCCCCATGGTCACTGGTCTCGGCCACATGTTCTCCGGGCTGTCACTTTCCACCGATCTGTTCAACGTCATCGCTCTCAACGATCCTGGGTATGTCGCACTCGACGACTTCCTCCCAGACCAGCCGTCAACAGGCCACGCCAGCACCCTGCTCGATCCGGACATGTACACTGTCGAGAACCAGGGCAAGTACTACTACGCGCGGATCGTCGAGGAGCTGGGCCGTGTCAGCGGCGCCAAGCCCGGCAGCGCGCCGTTCAACATCCTGGGCTACTCTTACGGCGGCCACGTCGCAGTCGAAGCGGCACGCCTCGCGCAGAGCGCGGGCTGGACCGTCAACCTCTTCGTGCTCGACTCGGAGGTGTACTTCATGCATGAGGTCGACCTGACGCCGGCGTATGTCGAGCTGATCGCGCACGCGGCCCTCCCGATGGCGATGGGCGCCGTCGGGCTGCCTTTCGACGACATGGGCGAGCAGGGCGTGCACCTGAAGCGCGACATCGAGGTTCGCACCCTGGCCAACTCCCGTGTGCTCTATGCGCATGTGATGCCGCGGTACGAGGGACACGTCACGCTGTTCCGGGCGGAGTCAAACGTGAAACACGGTTTCGTTCCGCTCGTCAGCTCGTTGGATGAGGTCGTGTTGCGCGGGGATCACTACCGTCTACTCGAGGAAGGATCTGGTAACTTGTCTACGATCAGTGCCAAGGTCTCCGAAGTCATTAACGTATAGGTCTCGCCGTCTTTGCTCAGTCTTTGTACATCTTAGCTGCATTACATCCTTAGTTGTTTTATATGACATTAAGTTCTTCCACATCCAGACGCAAGCAGTTAAACTTCATAACTCATGCTCCGAAACGCAGGGCGCGGCGCTTGTTTGTAAACAACTGTGGGCGGGTAAGTTACTTCCCACGAAGGGCTTTCTTGTAGCAATCGCGCGTTACGAATTGTTGGTGCAGGGCAGCACGGTCAGTACAGCATGCGCATCGGAGTCTGCAGAAGCTTTCACAGACTGAGATTATGTGTTGCTCGAGGACCATCGCGCTGCTCGACGATATCTTGATGCAGCAAAGCTCGAAGAGCCTCCAGGATGACGTTTCGGCTAGGCGGGAGAGGAAGCCTTGGGACATGAGCTGGCGAGTAGCTTGGCAACATAAGAACTTCCTGCAGAAAACGTGGGTGATATTTGAGTACCTGCATCGACGAGCCATCTTACGCTTGAGATACTAGGCTAGCCTACGACAGTCTCTGGCAGACATCTTCTCAGATAACCCGAGCCCCATCTACCCGCCGGCTTGTGCTTCTCTGCAGCAGCGATTCCTCGGCTGCTGTCTGAGTCTTCCGGCGGGCAGTATTGCTGCTATTGGAGGCCATGCCTTGGTAGAATTGTGGGAGACGCTTTTCCACGTCGATGCCCACCGTTGTGTGTCTCCAAGTGCCGCCAAGGCATCGAGGTAGTACTGTGGAGAACAACAAGACAGTTCGCACTGGAACGCGTCAAAGCGGCGCCCTGTTAATGTCGGCTACAGGTGAAGATACGGCCATCGTCCCAAAACATTGAGCTCGTGTGCTGCGTTGAATGAGGCAACGAAACGCGCTGCAGAACGGACGACGCGTTGAGCTCCTGGGCGCGGTTGGTGGTCAAGAACGCGCGGACGGAGTGTCCTACGCGACGCGTCCGTTGACGGAACGCCGGATGGAACGCAAACAGGACCAAACATTTCAACAGCGTCGTAACTGATATCCCCATGTCAATGCACCCGTCCACATTCGATCTTGCCTCCCGTTATCAATATCGAGTCGACAATGATGTGGTTGCCGAGATCGGAAGCTTGGTAGTGCAGCCCCAGTCTCACTGGATAGCATCCTGAGCAGCGGGCGTTAACTTGCTCCTCAGGTTGGACGCGCAGACTGCGACGATAGCCCTTTCGAGCCCCCAGAACAGCAAATTTGCTGTGTATGTGCGTGCCTGTAGGTGTACACACCTCAGAATGCTCACCTCTTTGCTAGGGCCCCGACGTAGGCGAGCGTCGCAAATTTGCTGGTTTGTTCACATTAACCCATAGCCAAGGGAGTGTCAGCGCGCAGAGATGGGAGTCGCAGATCGAGAATGAATAAATAAGTAAACGTCGTCGGATATGTACGCAATCATCATGGTCGGGTTAAAGATGGCTTGCCTTGGCTTGGTAATTTTCGCCAGGTCCTACGGAGCTCGTGCATACCTGACGTTACCCCTTCGCAATATAGCACAAAACCGCGTTTGTAAACGCTCCGGTCTGTGTGGAAGCCCAGTCCGCCGAATGGATCGGAGGAAGGACAGCGCTCTCTTTTAAAATCACCTGATATATTGGACCAACGTCTTGTGCAAGCCCGCCTTTGTCCTCCCAAAACGCGCCATATCTCATTTGCGATCCTAGCCAACACTCACACGAGACACGCATGGTGCCTACTCATGGTCGATGACGCCGTGCTGCGCTCCATCTGCTAGCGTACGCCAGGCAAGTTCGTCAAGTGGCGCCTCGCGATCAGGCGAGACCGTATCCTTGTCTGAGCCGGTCGTACGCATTTGTCCTGCACCTGAGCTACCTCAGAAACGCGAAGATCGGTGTCGGTGCCATTCCAGTCTACGGCAGTCCAGGCGGCCGGTTCAGCGACTGTGTCGGATGGAACTCGTTGTGGAGCAAGACTTTCATCGTCGCGTGGTCCGCGTGGTTATCGTGCTTTCCGACGATGCCGATGCGGCGGGTGACGAAGGAAGACGAAGCGTTAAGGAAGGAACAGAGGGCAGAGGGGCAGAGAGGGCGCCATACATAATCTTCCCGTTAATGTGCCGGAATTTCAGACCAGAGTCGGACCGCTGAGTACCCACTTACTGTAATCCCCGAGCAGTGAGAACCGGGAGCATGTATCAGTTTCTCAAACTTAAAAATTGAGCTTGAAGCTTGAAGCTTGAAATTTGAAACGTTTAAAATTAGCGTTAACGTTGACGTTGAAGACCCTAGACTAGCGAGAATCGTCGGGCATCCTAAGAATCTAGGACCCTGGTGCACATGGGACACACCTCGGTGGCGCTTGATCGCAGCATGACGAAGATATTCCTTTTCGCTCTGCAGCTTGGCTTGGAGCCTGAGACGTAATTACCCCGGCGTTCGCCTTCCCTGATGAATCAAACACGCCGTTCAAGTCCTCACTTGGACTAAGACTTGTCTGAGAAGTATTGCGACCACCGACGCAGGTCGCCAGCGCGTTGTCAACTTTGTTGTCGCTCTCAGCGATCCCGGCTCTTGTGTATTGGGTAGCATCCTACAGGACATTGAATGTCGACTCGAGTGACTCTCGTCAGCCCATTGAAATGTAGAAAGAGGAGACGTTTGTAGCTTCACGTCGCGGAATGTGCGAGTGTTTGCACCATCAGTGTCTCAAGCTTGTCTCATTTCCGTGCCGGCGGCCAGCACAGTAGCTCGCCCCATACAACCCAAATTATCTGCTCACAAAATAGAAGATATCACTACAACAGGTATGCTATTCATCTTCCGAAGTATATCACTTGTGAGAGTAACCGGGATATTGCTGGTGCGAGCTCTGCGACTCGTCCCAGTGGGGACAATTTTTGCACTCGCATAAGCTTAAGTTCGGATCAGCCCAGCTTGGTAGCTACTAAATGCGCTCATGGGAGGGAAAGAAGTGAGGGAAGCATTGGAGGAAGAAGGGGAGGAGAAGGAGAGGAAGAAGGGGAGGAGGAAGAAGGGGGAGAGGAAGAAGGGGAGGAAGTAGAAGAGAGAGGAGAACTATTCGTCCGCGAAGGACTCCGAATAGAGTCAAATTGGTCTAAATTGGTGGAGTCGGATGGGAGTATCGGCGGTGGAAGGCCCACTACGGAAGGATCCGGCGAGAGCATACCTCGCATATGCTCCATTGGAGACCATGTAGATGGTGTCACGGTTCCAGACTAGCAATCACTATCAGCACGGCCAGTTTCACGACCACCCGTGATAAAAACCCACAGGCGGAACGACTTCAAGTTCTTCAATTGGAGTCTCGTAATGCAGAACCACTACTGGGTGGTTCCCTACGGCGTCCAGAACCACAGCAGACAGTGTTTCGAAGTCTTCCTCCGAGTGAGAAGATATACACGAGATTTTGAACGACTGCAGCTGTGGTAGCGCAGGAAGGAGAGCCCCAAGAATGCCCCAGTCCCGAGAGCTCAGGTAGCGCACCGAATCACTTGAAGGACTATCTGTGAGTTCTACGTTACGGACAGACCAGGGCTCCTGAGCACCGCCCCCACAATTTTTGCGGGCCGCCATCACGTAGAGATGCACATGAACGGCAGTCTCTCTAGCACCGGCCATGTCGTTGTATGCTTCTATCTCGCCCTGGAAGCGATAGGTATCTGAAAAACGATATCAATGCAGTGGAGTCAGCGAATTATTCTTTTCCTGTAAATAGATAAACATAGCTCACGTTCTGTTGCTTCGAGCTTGTTGAATCGCGAGCGGCGCACATCCGGGTCATTCAGCATGCTGGCTACGAGCTGTATCATGGACGACGTCTGAGGGGGAAGCAGAGCATCTGCCCCCATACGCCTGATGCATTGGTGACGTGTACTAGCAGCAGCGAAGATCCATGCGGCGACGGCTAACTGATCGGAACAACGCGAAGTCGTGATGATCTCGACGTCTTCGAAGGAGGCATGGCAGATATTTGCGGTTGGTGGCATGGGCAAAGAACTATCGCCCCAGGAGACACGGTCCAGGGCAAGTTCTTGCAGCTTGCGTATGTCTCCCAGAATGCGCATCAAGGTGAAGAGCGACTGTACCCGTAGTGCGCAAAGTTCCACTCGACTAAGGCGGCACAGAGATTGTTTGAGACCGGCGCTGCGGGTGAGCAGCGGGATTGGAGGAGGAAGGAGATCTTCGCTCGCATGCGCCTTTATTTGCCGACAGTTTTTTGCCAGGCGAAACAGCGATATCCAGAGAGGGCCACTCGGGAAAGTTTGGCAATCGTATCCGATCGAAGTAACGAAGTCCGCGAGCCATCCAGAGAGCGATGAGTGCAAGATGGCGTAAAGTGTACGACAGTCGTCGTATGAGCGCAGGGTGAGGTCCGCGAAAAGCCTCGGGCGCAATATTCTGCTCCATGAGATTGAAACTATGGCAAGTTTCGAAACCTCAGCTTTGAGGACTTGTCGTGCAGCTATCAAGTTGGAGGATAGCACAAATTCTATGATGATGTCTTTGATTTCGATGGGTAGCTTAGCCAATGAGTCAATGATCAAGTGGACGGGAACATCAACTGGCGGCGGCAGACTTGGTGGTAGCGCTTGTGGTAGCGCCAGTCGCTTCCCGAAGTCGAAATATTCACTGTTTTCAACTCCAGCAAGTGTCAGTCTAGTCTCGCATTAGAGCGCAGAAGCAGTGTACTTGTTGCTTACTCTGTGGCATCCGATATTCCGCCATTCCAGGCGGCGAGAGAAGTAACGAGAAGTCATCAAGTTCAGTGTATGAACTTGAAGATTCGGGAGAGCTTGGAGGCATGACTGTTATTTCGAAGTCGGAGTCGCTTTCAAGATGTCCCCAAGCGGTTTCAGATGACATATCCCCTGGCGGCGGGGGGCTTGGGTGTCAGCTTGGTGATGGACTAGAGCGCAGACTTACTCTGTGGCATCCGATATTCCGCCGTATCACCCGGCGGGAGGAGTAGTGAGTAATTATCAAGTTCGCCGGGGAATGAAGATTCGGGAGAACTTGAAGGCACGACCGTTATTTCGAAATCCGAGTCACTCTGATGTTCCAAAGCTGTTTCAGACAACGTATCCGTATCGTCTGCCTGCGAATCGTCCCCAGGATTCTTGAGAAGACAAGAACGTCACATATTGATAGATAGAAGTGCGAACGCTGAGACTACTGAGATCGTAACAGAGACTTACTGTCTGCTCAAACTCGATGCTAGTCATGTTGGGGCACGGTCACTGACTGAGCTGTATGTTCGAAGGAGGCGTCAAGGGGCGGAGGTTAGAGCATCGCGTCCTGCTCATGTCAGACGCCGTCTCTTCCACGTGATAAGATTCTGCCTCTGTATACTGCTACCGGCGATGTTTTGAGGATATCGTGAAATCCCACGTACAATCTGCCGTCAATGTTTGCAGGTCCATTTTGTGACACAATACAAGCCCGAAGTCAAAACACAGCCGATAGTACAGTATCCAGATGGGGTATATAATTAGATCTGAATAATGATAGATGCGATGAGAGAAGGCTGCCAGCAGCTGGTATAGTACGGCGAAGCCGCTGTCATGAATGTGGTTCAGGCGTAAGACCTGAGCGGCACATGTACCATCAGCAATTCTCACCATGGCCAAAGTATATGAGAAGCTCACCAGCGATGAAGTGGTCTTGCTGCTCGTTCGTCATCTCCTCGAGGGTCATCTGGCTCGTCTCCTCCAGAAGAAGCGTCGCCAGGAAGCCCGTCGCCATGAATGGCACACACACGAACAGCCTATTCAAAATTAGAAAATGTACAGAGACCACAGCATCTCAGGATAGCGTACGCGTTAGCGGTGGACAGGCTCTTGTTCCCGAATATCGCAAACTGGCTCACAATCGCGCCGACCTTGCCCGCCGCTGCGGACAGACCATGGCACGTCGAGCGGTATCGCGTCGGGAACAACTCGCCGGGGACCATGAACGTTGTCGTATTCGGGCCAAAGTTCATGAAAAACGCAGCGATGATGAAGAGGGCGAGCATCGCCTTCGTACCCGACGTCGTGCCGAACAACGAGAGCGACGAGGGCTCTGCGCCGGGAAACTCCGGGCCCGACGACTTGGTGGCATGCGGGAATATTGCACCTGGATAAGCCTGAGTTCAATAGTTCGTATCTGCAGAGTCGCCTCGAACGCACCCATGACGATGAAGAGCACTGTCAGTACTGCGAAACCAATCAGTTGTATTCGCTTTCTCCCCCATTTCTCGATAAACAGGAAGGTGACCCAGTAGCCAGGAACGAGTCCGACGCCGGAAAACAGCAAGTTGGCGACTGCGAGGTCAATCAGATCCCGGAAGACGTCGCCGGCCGACAGTGGTGGGATGCTCGACGTAGTGCCGTTAGATCCGTTGACCGTGCCCGGTACAGTGCAGCCGATTATAGACCGTGCGATCCCAATCGAGCAAAAGAGGCTGTCTGTGTTCAGGCCAACACCATAGAACGCGATCTGCACAACCTTTAAGAATGTGACAGAGTGGTAAAAGAGAAGCACTCACATCAACCGCGCACCACGCGTACGCGCAAGCGAGCAAAAGGCTCAAGTTCTCCCATCTGCTGAAATGGCGCCGGAAGTCCTTGAAACTCGCCCTGGGCGCATTGACGCGGATGACCACCGAATCTTCGTCGAATTGGTACTTTCCGGTGTGGAGAAAGGTCTCGATGTCTCTGACCGCCTGTAGGTGTTGAGCTCGATTAGCGCCGTTCCGCGCGCCAGACTATAGCTCAACGTACCTGCTTAACGTTCCGCTCGATGTCCATTGTAAACCGTGGCGTCTCGGGGATAGTCAGCCGGAAATACAGTGCAATGGCAGCAGGGACGCAGCCCAGACCGAGCATGATCCGCCAGGCACGATCGATGTCCGCCTTCGTATCAGCCGCCGCGCCTGTAGACGGAAATGTGTTCTTGAAGCCTAGCAGGCAGAGGTACCCGACCAGGCTGGCGACTGCGTACATCAATATTAGAGCCATGGGTAAATGAGAAAAATGCATAGAGCTTACAGAGCTGGCCCCAGCCCTGATTGGCGAAGACCGCTGTCATCATCTTGCCCCGGATGTGCGAGGATGCAAACTCGGACGAGATAACTGCGCTCAATGGATAGTCCCCGCCGATACCCAGCCCCATCTGCGTAAAAGCATCAACGGAGGCCACTGAGAGGAGCGCAAATGGCGACACTCACAACAAACCGCCAGATGATAAGTTCCGCAAAGATGTTCATCGTTCCGACGGTGCTGTCGGCAGATAAAGCCTGTCCAAAGGTGCCGATGATGATGATGATGAGCTCGATGCCATCTGCAACTCGTGTCAGTTGGCACAATAGTCTCGATATTCAGCATCAATGCTACGCACACATCCGCTTCCGGCCCGCCTTGTCTGCCAGGCGGCCGAACACGAGCTGGCCGATGAGCGTTCCCACGGGCGCGGCGATCTTGACGGCATTCGCCAAGGATGCGTTTGGGCGCACGCTGATGTTGCCGTTCGCATTGAATGTGGTGGAATACACAAAGTTGAGCATGACAGACGCAAGGGTTATCGCGAAGATGTCGTATCTGCACAGGGTTTAGCCTATAGCCTGGAGGCAGCTGATTCGACGGCACATACGCATCTGTGAAGAACCCCACGCCTGCTATCAACGTCACCCTGAAGTGAAACCACCTATTGCACAGTGAGATGGACAGTGGCGGTACTAGACAGCGAACAGCGCTTACGAAAAATGCGCGCCATCCACCTCTGCTAGTGCAGACTGCCTCTCCTTCGAGAGGATGAACCCCGCTCGTGAATTGGGCGGTTCAAACCCGTCGCGATATGGTAGCGTCATGTTCGCCGTCAGCGTAATCGTGACGCGGTCTGGGTTCTGCTCGTCCCGTCGTGCGATATAGCGGTTCGAGTCTAGCGGCGCAAGGTCTTCGTACCCCAGGCGCGACTCTATAGCGCCGTAGGAGCCCGACATGCCGCTAGGGAGGTGCGCCTTCGACATTGGCGAGAGCTCCATGTCTGCGGGTTTGCCCGCGCGGCGCTCGTGGCTGCCGTGCAAATGCGACGCGGCCGTCTCGCTCGTCCCGCTTCGCTGGCGACGATACGCATCGCTCTGACGCGTCTGGGCAGATGAGTATGAGTTGAAGCGGACATGCGCCTCGTCGTCTGCGAGCGTGTCGATCGGAGGCTCGAAGGACGGGAGTGGCGGGACTACAAAGTGTCGTGCCGCCGCCGGGTGCTGCAGCTCAGAGTATTCGGAGAATTGGTCGGGCTCCGGTACAGACAGCCCGGGAGGAGCGGTTGTCGTCGCTGCGTCGTGTTGCATATAAGGGCTGTATTGTTCTAGTCTGTCCGCGTGCTGCTCGCCCTGGCCATCTACCCGAATCTGCACGTCTTGAGCATGGGATAGAATGCCAGACATCCCGGTGGGCGATGGCAAAGGATAGTGGATGGAAGTAGATGGACGATATAGTGTGGACGTGGCTTGCGCTTTAATACAAAGCCAGCGGACAGAACGATCAAAGTCTAGACGTACTCAGCCAGCGCTAAAGCATCACCCCAGCATCCAGAAAGAGCTGTACACCGCCCTCCGCAGACCCTTGTATCGTTGTGGATCCGAACTCTTGCTTCGTAAGTGTCTGCCTCGATAGGGACACTGAGACTAAGATTCAGGATATTTGAGGCTTTAAAGCTCTGAACCTACCATTAAACCGATATGATGGTTGTAGTATATGACGATGAAGATAGATGTTGCCATGCGACCCAACATCCCTTACAGCAAAATGCTGTCCCAGTACTTGCCTAGGAGAAGTTCCTGAATCAAAGACGCAATGAAAATTATGAGCGTGCGCCCATTCGGTCCGCATTCGCGGAGCTGCTGTCTGCGATACACTTGGCGAAGGATGCGACTGGGACGAGTGCGCGTAGAGGATAAAGGCACGATGAAGACAGGTCCTGTGTTCAGCGTGATCTGGCAAGCAGTGTATGACAGCGTGCGACAGAAACGTCAAACCAAGGTATCTGCGTACCTGGATCACCAGTACGCTCGAGTTGTAGAGATTTACTCGACCAGTACCTGGATCAGAGGAACGTGCACAGAGGAATATTTTGATTGGTCCATCATGTGAACGTGCGCTGCTATGATTCTTGCTAAAACTATTAGAAGTAACGGGAGCGTGAGAAACAGTGTATTCCACAGGGACGAGGATTGATATACTTGCCTAGGCCTGTGTTGAGGTTACAACTTTCGAGAGGCGAGTGGGCTCGAAGCGACACAGCCTTGTTGTTCAGTGTCTCATTATCTGTGGTGCCCTAGGCATTGCATAGGCATCTGCGCAATTTCTCTGAAGTCTTTCTCGCACCGCCAGCGTTATAATTCGAGCAGGAGAGTGCTGGACTCCGTGCACCTGTCATCGCCTTCAAAAAGGACCCCGACGACCGGCCATTTGACGCCTGAGGTATCTTGGGCGCTTCCAATTTCCCCGCATTTGAGTTGCGATCGGTAATCCCTCGCTCATTTCGCGTCTATACCGCCTCCTTTGCCCTTAGGCTGTCGTGCCTCCAGGACATATCGCTTCCAAAAGTCCTCGAGTTCATAATCTGCTCGTGTTGGTGACGAATATCTCTCTAAATACGAACTCGGGGTAGCCGGCCTCCGCCAAGTTGTGCCAGACATGGTACGAATAGGCGCATCTCCGACGCCTGCTGCAGCACCTCCAGCATTACCGAAAGTATCGTTCACTAAAGTCGAAGACGATGCATTTTCGGGAGTGGGGAGCGTTACAGACTCTCAGACACGGTCGTATGGCTGTAAGTCCCGGACAGCGTCGTGTGCACAAGCAGACATTCCAACGAGAGTGCTTGACGCGTAGACAACGACGGCAGTCCTTTCAGGCTCCCAGAACAGTACATTCGCTATATAGGTGCGTTTACTCGAACAAACATGTGTCGCAACGGTCATCTTTTCTACAGAGCCTCTGGAGAGCGAGCTCGCGGTGCAAGTCGAGTACGACATGGACGAGCAAGGTACACGACGTGGCGTATTCTCGGACTCTCTCTCATTCATTCGTAGACCAGGAATGGATCGACAGCGTCAACGCTGATAGGCGGAACGCCAACCTCGACAAAGTGTCGTACGAGACATTCGAGGTCATTATGGACAGGCTGGAGAAGGAATGGTTTGACTTGGTGAGTACGCTCGAGCGTTGTGTCGCTTGGGCATCTCTAATACACCTTAAGACCAAGAATCTACCGAAGCCAGACCTTGCCATGCCGTCGGAAGATTCTACATGTGCCATCTGTGACGACTCGGAAGGAGAAAACACGAATGCGATCGTTTTCTGCGACGGCTGCAACCTTGCTGTGCATCAAGGTACGCGTTGTCTCTGCCGGGTATATTTTAACGTCAATCGTCGTTTCGATAGATTGCTACGGCGTTCCATACATTCCGGAAGGACAATGGCTATGCCGCAAGTGTACAGTGTCCCCTGAGAACCCGGTGGTGCGGACTGTCGCTCTTCGCTGGATTTCCCGCTGAGCTGTGTTGGCCTAGTCATGTATCCTGTGCCCGAACGAAGGCGGTGCGTTCAAGCAAACCGTGCATGGCGAGTGGGTGCATCTCCTCTGCGCAATCTGGGTGCCGGAAACCCGTGTGGCGAACGACGTCTTCATGGAGCCAGTCACTGGTGTCGACCGAATCCCGAAGCAGAGGTGGAAGCTGGTCAGTGTAGATTCCCCTTCGACTTTCAATGTGTATCTTGACTCTGCGTCGCAGAAATGTCAGCTCTGCGATGTCCGTACGGGCGCTTGCATACAGTGCATCAAGAATTCGTGCTTCTCTGCTTTCCACGCCACATGCGCGCGCAAAGAAAAGCTGCTGATGCCGATGAAGGCATCCCAGGGCTCTGAGGCGCCAACGCTCGCGGCATACTGTGAGAAGCACCTGCCTGTAAGTGCACCAGCGTCACCACATCCTCAAATACTAAAACCGGGCATTCGCAGAGAGAGCAGGCAGAAATCCGTCTCGCGGCCCTTAATTCTGAGCAGAACAACAATGTGCCTGACGGCGCGGACGCAAGCCAGACGTCCAAGACCGCCCGCGCGTACGCGAAGACGTACAAGCCCGGCCCGCCGCTTGTGCCCAAGATCATCGTCGACCGCATCATGCAGTACATGCGGATCAGCATCCGCCAGAAGCGCGAGTTTATCGTCCTCGTGTGCAAGTATTGGAGCCTGAAGCGCGAGGCGCGCCGTGGGGCGCCGCTGCTTAAGCGGCTCCACCTCGAGCCGTGGACGGCGTCAGCGGGCGGGAGGAACCAGAGCGATGAAGACAAGGCGTTTAAGCTCATGGTGCGTGGATGGCGGATATGTAAGCATGGAAAGAGCTGACCTGTTGCATGTTCAGCTGCTCAAGGATCTTCGGGGCGACCTCGAGCGGCTGCGGTCGCTGGCGGATGCTACTCGCAAGAGAGAGATGCAGAAGTTGAGACAAGCGAACTGTATCCAGCAGGTCCTGCGGGATATCCTCTATCCTTTCCATCCGGCCATGCGGAGTGTATTCGAGAACATCAGGAGGCAAGTCGCTCTTTGTACTAGTCCTGATCTACAAGCTAATTACAACGATAGTGGCGACAAGAGCGATTATTTCCTCAGTCCGGTCTCGAAAGCAGACGTCCCTGATTACTATGACGTCATCAAGCGCCCGATGTCCTGGAGTGTCATTGACAAGAAGCTGACTGAACACCAGTATGTCGACCTCCAGGAGTTCAAGGCATGTGATGCACCGCCGTGCTCATCTCAGAGGCTGACCTAAAGATGTTCCAGGATGACATTTATCTTGTCCTTAACAATGCTATGCTTTATAACAAGCCCGAGACAGCTTACTTCAGGGCTGCCCGTCGGATTAAGACCGCCGCAGAGCGCGCTCTCCCTGATTTGGATCGCTTCGTGAACCAAAGCCCGTCTGCGCCCTTGGCCGAACAACCTGACCCGTCAACTCGGCCTGAGCAGCCGGCTGTTGGCGATTTGGAGCCCTCACTGTCTATGCTCGATCTCCTCGTCGATCCGGAACGAATCCGCAAAGAGTGTCGTTTCATACTTGACAAGCTGCCTTTCGACTCGCTTTTCAGCTACGAGTTTGGCGAGCTGAAGCCCCCGCCAACCCCTCCCCCAGCTCCCCTGAACCTGCCAGCTCCTGTACCGAAAGAAAAGCGCGACCGCAGGTTTGAGAAAGCGCGCGCTAAGGAGCGGCGAGCGTCAGCTGCTGCCAGCGCCAACGCGGCACACCCGAAGACTCGACGCGGGAGAGCAGCGGCGGGTATAGCAACGGCGGAGGCCCCGCCCATCGAGCCTCCTACTGATGCTCCTATTGAGATCCAGCCCGAACTCGCACCAGCACAGCCCGCAGAGGAGCTTGTCGCAGAGCCATCCGTCCTGGAGCACGAGCAGCCTGCGGCCGAGGGCGAGCCCCCGGCAAAGCGGCAGAGACGAGACTGGAAACACTCGAAGCGTACACTGGCCATACGACCGGGCCACTCCGAAGTGCCGCTCATCGTGGACGACGTCGACGCGCGCCAGTCGTTCTCCAGGTTCGACGAGGGCTGGATCCTGCCCGAGGGCCAGCGCCGGCACCCGCGCCCGCCGTCAGAGAAGGCAGCCGAGCCGAAACGCACGGGTGCGCGGTCTGGTGAGTAACTTTCTTTTGACGTGGTTGTTGCAATGTGGTGTACTGACAAGCGTGCACGATAGTGGAGCGGCCGGTGTCGACTACGTCGAATGTTACTGCGAGGTCTGTCGAGCCTGCACCTGCGCTTGGGCTTGAACCCGACCCCGACTCCGAACTCGCACCTGAGGCCGAGCTGGGGCCTGAACTGGAGACTGGCCCGTCAATGTCACAGCCGGAAGAGGCGCTGCCTGCTTCGGCCGCGGAAGCGCCGGACGAAGAGTCAGAGGCGCCCGAAATCATTCAATCGACGCCCTCGCGGCCCACCACCCCAATGGAAGTGGACATCGAAGATCCCACTACGCTGGCCGAAGTCTCTGCGCCAGCCTCCAGCTCATCGTCCCTACAGCCTGAAGCTGACGCGGTTCCACAGGAGCAGGGAGAGCTCAATGCCGAGGCTTCGCACGAAGAAGAGGCAGAGTCGCCCGTTGCATCATGGATCGTCGAGCTGGTACCTGAGCCTCCGGAAGCCGAGGAAGGCGATTCGACCCCCATCGCCGCTCCTGCAGGCCTTCCCTCAGTGGAACCAGATATTCCCGCAGACGCCGAGATCCCGGCCGAGACCGAAATCTGCACCGAGACCGATTACCGCACCGAGACCGATTACCGCACCGAGACCGATTACCGCACCGAGACCGACAACCGCACCGAGACCGACAACCGCACCGAGACCGACAACCGCACCGAGACCGACGACCACACCGAGACTGACGACCACACCGAGACTGACAACCGCACCGAGGCCGACGCCACGCTGTATCTGGAGGAGACGCCGTCTGCTGAACAGCCCGAAGACGTGTCCATGGCCGAGGTCGATGAAGATCAGGCGTCAGAGCTGACGGCACTGAGTGACTCGGACTCGGTCAAGTCCCCGACGCGCGGCACGCGCCGCAGGGATCTCGGGCAAGACGCGTCTGCGATGTCCTCGGAGGAGCTCACACAACCCTCGCAGGAGCCCGAGGAATCTGCGCAGGATGGCGAAGACGAGATAGAGGTCGATGAGGCGCCCGTGGCCGGGCCTTCGGGAGTAAAGGGCCATTCAGGCCGAGGCCGAGGCAGAGGCAGAGGGAGAGGGAGAGGAAGAGGAGGAGGAAGAGGAAGAGGAAGGAAATCGGCGGTGCTGCTGCCGCTCGACCCGGAGGCGGGGAAAGCTGTCTTGAAGAGGGGACAGGCGGTGCTCGAGGGTGGTACTCTTGGTGAGTGGCGGCTGTGATTTAACACGGCCTTTCGCTGACTTATCTTGCTCTATGCGCGTAGTCTGGGCAAAGTTCAGTAAGTGCAGCATCTATTGTGACCCGCGCGATCCCTAATTAGCATGCTAGCTGGGTTCCCTTGGTGGCCTGCCGTCGTCTTCGACTATGACGACGAGACCGTGCCTGCATCGCTGAAAATGGAGAGGACGAAGAAGGAAATGGAGAGCGAACACGTGCACATCGTTCGCTTCTTCGACGAGCATGACACCTGGTACGTTCCGGCATTCTCGACTTCTCGTCATAGCACGTTTGTCGCTGACGACATGCTGCAGGCAAACGATTGGCTTGGACCAGATTTTGATGCTTGGCGAAGACGACAGTGCGTATGCCCAATTCTGGCCAAGATAATGGTCGCTCATACGTTGCAGATCTTGACGAGGATATGCTTGCCGCAAGGTCACGGAGGCAGATTTGGAAACATGCCAGACACAGACCTATGTGTCGAAAAGCGTACCTGTGAGTTGTTGGCTCTGATGTAGAAATGCAACTTATCGTTGAAATGTACTGTAGACGCGCAAGAGAGGAAATGGAGATTTGAAGAGTGCCTCACTCCCGTTTGCGTGAGATTCCCTTCCGCGATCCTTACATCTGCTCATTGCATCCTTGTATCGTTCATTCTAGTGTTGTCTATGCTATGCGGCTTCGCTATGTTGTTATATACTACGAATGCATCTATTATTTCCTACATCTTGTCTGCACTATCGGAGCGTTCCACTGGGACGCAGAACGAGCCTTATTGCTAGACGTCCCGCCGGGCCTACCATGTTGCCACTCTTTTACTACCTCCGTGTGCAACATGCTTAACAGGCATCGGCTATTCTCGCTGTTGTGCATGATCTTGCATGTAAGTGCACATTTGTTCACTTTTGTGTGCCTACACAGACACAACTTGGAGTTATGAGAGTCTTGACTTCGCTAGGCATAACATTTATATGCACAATCGCGCACCTTTGCGCATCAAGTAATATTCATCACGTATTTAAATATAATACTCAAAGGAGTCAATATAGTTAGGCTTGTCATTGGCTGATTGGGAGGGAGGTTGTACTGTAAAATTTATACGTCAACTTATGCATAGGTTCATTATTATTCACAGATAAGAAAGATTGCTATGCCACTCCTTGCAGAGTTAAGAATATTGCAAAAATAAGGCATATTTTGAGTAAAACAATTATAGTGCTGCAGCATCCACACAGTTTGGCGATGTGTATGGCTCGAAATATAGCCTTGGTATGTTAATATGCAATCTATATAGAGCTTGTACCAGTAGTACTAGTTGTCAGGAAGCTATCGAGCAAATTTGACACCCCTTCGTAGTCACGCGCGCTACTTTTGTCGGCCGCTGTAGATAGCGTACTTATCTAATCTATTTGCGCGTCGCATCTTATCGAAGTCTCGGGGTATTGGGCGCCTGGAGACAATGGCGCTCCGACGACTTCCGGCAATGGCCGAGCGGACATCCCCCAGATATAATATCCTGATTTGACTCAGGCACTGCCTCTTGTTGCTACTTAGTCTTGGTTTCGGGAATTCTGACCTGATACTTAAGTGACTGACCGTACAGAGTGCGGTCTCTGTGAACACCTTTCAGCAAAGAGAGAACGAGACAGGCTCCCACTTACTCCAAGTGAGAATCTTTGCGTCTCTTTTCACGCTCGCATATGAAAAGTGGTATGGACTGTAGACCTCGTCTCATGCCACATGTCGCGCCACACTCTCAGCTTTAATAGTTTGCACCCGAACGGTACATCTAGAGCACGCATCAATGATCTCCCTCCAGAGCTGCTCGAGGATATATTTTGCACCTGGCGTCGCTCCCTGTGGACAGAAGCGACAGGACACTGGTGGTGGAATGCCCACGCGTGGATCAAGACCCTGGCGATGTGCAGATACTGGTATGCCGTCGCCCTGCGATGCACTAAGCTCTGGAGCTACATCCAGCTCGACTGCCCCGGTGCAGCAAAGGCCTACCTCGAGCGCTCTGGAAGCGCACCTCTCTATGTGATGGGACAGGTAGAAGACATTGTTGGCCACCGATTTAAATCGCTAGTTCTGGTCCTCCGGGAGCTGCCTCGGATACACTCATTGAACCTGCGATATGGACCTTCCGTTTTCGATAACAACATTCTCTACTGGCTCTTGTATGGCACCACGGCCCTTTGTCTTCGATCGGTGTGTCTGGGCTACACATTCCCCTCCCAAGTTGTCATGTATAATCTCTTGCCCCTCCCATGGAAGACTGCCCAAACTACTCACCTCGAATTTCGAGACTTTGGGACAAGTTCTGTTATACCTGCCCTGCTGCCGACCATCACTCATCTTCGCCTTCTCAACCCCCTCGAACCATGGAGCGTCCTGGATATAACAGGCCTTTGTCATGCACTTCGGGAAATGCATCTACTCCAATCACTCGAATTGACGGACCGGGACTCTGATATGCACAGGACTTGGGCGAGCGCAATGCCCGAGAGAATTTCTCTACCTGCGCTCCGTAGTTTGCGTATCGAGGGCCGCCCCACACAATGCCAAGTCCTCCTCCACACATTACACTTCCCTGCCACAACCACTATCTCCATCTTCCAGTACATCCCAGTAGAAACCGAAGACGACAGGCTAAATGTGCCGGCCTCGAGTAGAAACGAAGTCATCCGCGCATACGCGTCCACAATCAGCCGCGCGGGCCAGCTAGACGACTCGTTAGTCGCAACGCTATCCTTCCGTACGCGCTACATCCCCGATCTATACACGGACAGCGCCTCGCGATTCCGGATCACCTTCGAGGCGTGGCCGCAGGACATGGGCGCGACAGGCTTCAAGTTTGCGGCCCGCACGCCGACCTTCCAGCTCGAGACGGTCCTGTCCGACGCCGACTTACTGCTGCGCGCCGTTTGCGGCACGCTCCGCCTCGACTCCGTCCGCGCCTTCTACCTCGGCGATATCCCGAACGTCTCGCGGCGCTGCTGGATCGCGGCACTCCGGCACATGGCGCGCCTTCGCACGCTTTGTGTCGTCGGCGCGGCCGCGGACGAACTCCCTGAGGCACTCTTCGCGCGCCTCCGCCACGCCACCCCCGCCGTCGTCGGTGACGGTGCGCTGCGCGGGCCGTTGCTCTGTCCCGCGCTCGAGCGTCTTGTTCTCCGCAACGTCGTCTGGCAGCCGTATCACAGCACGAATACGGCCCCGCGGTGTTTGGCGCATGCGTGCGCTGATGCGCTCACCGGAGGGGCACTCGGCACGCGCCTCCGCCGCTGCCTCCTCGGACGCCGCGTCCGCGGAGCCGCCCTGCGCCGGCTTAACATCGTGCGTGCAATTAACTTTGGCGAGGACGAGCGCGAAAAGATTCGGGAGGCTGTGCAGGAGGTCGTCTGGGACGGTGTGTTTGAGGACCGTGAGGTGGAGAGTGGCGAGAGCGACGAGGACATCACGGACCGCTCCGACTCAGGTAGGTCACGGTCTGGGGACGGTGGCTCAAGCGAGCATTCTGGAAGCGAGTTGGATAGCGATAGCGATGCGTCCGATGATGAGGACTACGATGACGAGGACTACAATATCTAGCGGCAAGCTGGCTTGTGCCTTTGGGTGGCGATACCATAGTCTTCCGTCTTTTGCACGCGATGCGGGTACTATCGGCCTGCCACCCTGGCCGGATACTCTGTACACATTTTGCAGACCATCTATTCCTAATTATCTCGTAATAACTCAGTAGCTAGTATGAATGACATGTTGTGCCTCTGCGTACACCTACAGAGTTATATCGCTCGTTGTGGAAAAAGCGCTTGTATTGCAAGACTACGACGGGCCACTGAACATAACTTCCGCAAGTGCAACCTATGAGTGGCGCAGAAGAACCCCTATCGTCGCCTTTCTTCGCTCACTAGTACAGGAGAGCAGCAGTGCAAAAATTTAATCATTTTAGAGACAACAATATCGTACTGTACTCAGTAGTTAAGTGCAGATCGCCTAGCTACAGCGGAAACAGCCGTTGTTAGAGCTGGGCGCGCTCCGACGGACTCAGAGGATGGTGAATGTAGGGCTAAGGTTACCAGAGTCGCCAAAGACTATTAAAACGCAGCGTTCAGCGGTTCTGTCTGAACTGAGGGGTCGAAACGTCGGTACTCACGGACGATGGCGTAGTCGTCGCCAGAGACGGTGCTAAGGGGAATGGCGACAGGTACGAACCCGGCGCGCAGGTCAAAGCCTTGAGCGAGCGGATTGGCTAGAAAGCTTTGTCAGGAGCCAAAATGGGACTGCAGAACGGTGATGTATGCACCTATATCTTCAACGCCGCCTTTGGCGAGGACGATCATAGAAACCTCGCTAATATCGGCGGGGGCATTAGAAGTGTCCCTGCGCGTGTTCCAGTCAGTACGAAAATGGTGTCTACCATAATTTCGCCATACCAGGTGATGTTGTGGATGTCTCCGGGGAGCCAACGCACACCAGCGGTGGGCGAGGTGATCTCGGGGTCCCAGACATCTAGGGGGCGAGCGGTCACGCTGGCAACGGCGGCGAGGAGAGCAGCGAGGAGAGCAGTCTTGGAGAACATGTTCACTGGTGTGCAGAAGTACTTTCTGAACTGAGGACTCACCAACCAAATAAAGCCCTGCATTTATACCTTTCAGGCTGCGGGCCTACGAGGCCGGTGCGGTCGCGACAAAACATTTTCGCGCCGGGGCCCGACAAGCGATATTAGGAATACAGGAAGAAGCTTGAACATAAGCAAAGTCCTAGCTCGGCCGCGACATATCGCTGAATACGGGATGCAGCTAGTAGTCACGTTAGCTGGGGTACTACTACCATCGTCACGGCAAGTGAAGAGAAGCTAAGACTCGCTCTTTGTCTTAATCGTTCGCAAACGAGGTCGACGCTCGTGCTATAGCCCAATGTGCATTGCTGTATGAGGTAGGCAGACAGGTTCAGTTAGGGTACCCCATCCACTGTTCGGATTTACCTGAGTCACGGCATACATTACTATTGTCGGCGGGAAAGGTAGCACGCGACGTTACGCATCACATGCTGCTAGAGAAGATAAAAGCAAAATGCCGTGCTCTGAGGAAATTGTCGCCGAACAATGCATGCGAATCGTCCAAGTCAAACGCAACTTGCGGATCCGATGGGCATAGCAGCCTACGCCCGATCATAGTCGGACGGGGCCCGTTTGCACAAAATTAGCGCGTCATACAAAGTTGAAAGCCCGCAGTAAGCCGTGTAAGTCACGCGGGTAAATAAATCAAACTCCGCCATCAACCAAAGATTTACTGTCATTACATAACTAAAGTTGCGCCGGCAAAGAAAGACTTTGTTGCCGGCACTTACTCCCACTGCGACTTACACGGGACAATTACGGCCACTCGCTGACCGGATTTTATCACAACTGAGAGTCTGTATTCATGGCTAGTTCGAAAAGACAGATGTTGTGAGATAACGAGGTGGTCGTTGGCGGCTCCCTGGCGGGAACTCGTATAGCAGCGTCAACCTCTCGGTCTAGGCCCATCCTATCGCCCTGTGCATTCTCAGAAAGCCACAGTCCGAGAGCACATCGGCCATCATTACGCGCCATGGTAGCGCAGGAGCTGGAAAGCGTTCGTTAGTAGGTTTGTAAGAGTACCGGGGCCCGTTTGTATAATGACGCAGCGCCGGATTAGAAACCTAGAAACAGACGCTATCGATTAGCACTTATCTCAGTAACAAACGACTCAACTCCACTACAATGTGGTAAACTGTAAAGATCACTTCAACTATGCCTTCTTACGGTGAGCGCACAACCAGTCGACCACCGTGGCTCCGAATTACAGCGGTGGCTGTTCCCTGCCTTCAATCAGCCGCGTATCTGAGCTCGTTCAACCGGCGCGCGATGGGTCTCGTCTCTACCCCATCCGCGCTTGAGTCATTCGATATCTTATGCGAATACAGTCTCTCCAAAGTCGGCTGTCGAATGTTGGCCAGCTCAGTAATTTTTCATAGATAGTCAATATACAAAGCGGACAAGATGAGATGTTGCAAGTCGGTGACCCGTGTGTAGCATGCTGTTGGTGGCTTGTGGCGATGCCTTCCGGGGGTATCGGTACCGGTCTCGGACTGTACGGGCACTTTTAATACCCCCGATATGCGTCTTGTCCCGCGATCGACCTGAGGGATGTGGCAATACAGGAGTTTGTTACGAGGAATCTCGATCAACGATAACCCTTGCGGACGAAACATGCATGACGGTGGCGATAATCCATACTCAGGATCCGGTTTGACGCGCCCGTGGAGGATCTAATCGAGGTGCACAGGACGCCGCTTTAGACTTGAGGCGACCAGGTGCCGAGTAGGTGGCGATAGCAGAGTCGCTAAGAACCGCCGAAAGCGGAACAATATCAGCTGCTCGAAACCACTTTCAAGGTTCCAAGCTGTGAAAGGCTTCGCGCCAGGTTAAGCCCCCTCGAAGGGAATGGGAATTGTGCCGTACCGAGAAGCGACCAGCCAGAGAGCTGCAGGGCAATAAACTCGACCGTACATCTCGCTGACGAGCCCGAGAACCAGCGGTTCAGGTACAGAGGCTGGAAAACGCGGGGAAAGTTAATCTGCAACATGAGAATGATTGGCTTACCAAAATCGGGCATAGGGAGAGACATGGTCATGGCATTGATCACGGAGCTCACGGTGTCATAGTAGGTGTGATCACAGCCGAGAAGAGCCGAGGAATCAAGACAAATGCTGTGAAGACGAGCGTCGGAGCCCGTTTTCAGGCTATTCTCCAGCTTTCCCGTATCCTGAGCGCGCGTCAGACGGTAACCTTGATGCTGCGTACTTTCTAGGGAACATGAGCTTGTTTGAGCCATCCCTGTCAGCCTTGAGGGCGCCTGAGCAAAGGTTCTCCTTTAGCTTTGTCGTCGAGGCGCAGTCGCGTCTGCAACAAGTCGGCCATCACTAGAGCTGGCCTTGCCCGGCCGGGACTCAGAGATGGTGAACGTGGAACTGAGGTTGCCAGGGCCCAGAGTCGCCAAGGACTAGAAATGCAGCTTTCAGCGTTGCTGATCAGACTGCCACATCAAAACGACGGTACCCATGGGCGACAGAGTGATCGTCGCCGGCAACGGTGTCCACTGGAATGGGGATGGGGACGAAGCAGGCATGATTCGCATGAAGATCAAAGCCTTGGGAGAGCGGGTCGACTGTTGAGTACCTCTTTAGGAGTAATATTAGTGTGGCAGAACGTCGGCGTACGCACTTGAGCTTAAGACATTGCTCTTGGCGAGGACGACCTGGGAGGCCTCGCTGATATCGACGAGGGCGTGTCCCTATGCGTGTTCTAGTCAGTCCGCAGATGAAATCTGTAGTGATTGTGCAATACCGGGCGATGTTATGAGTGCCACCGGGGAACTAGCGAACATCAGCGGCAAGTGAGGGGATCTTAAGGTTCCAGACATCCTGGGGACGAGCGACTACGCTGGCAGCGGCGGCAGCGAGTGAAGTGGCGAAGAGGGTGGTCTTGGAGAACATGCTCATCGATGTGCACAAGTGCTTTCTGGACTGGTGACTTCCTTGTCCAATCGGATCTCTATTTATACGTTACAGATTGCGGGCTTGCGAGACCATGAGAAGCAAACTCCATAGCGAATTTAGCAACACAGAAAGAAGCTCGGCAATAAGCAATGTCATACCTCGCTCGAGACCTATAGTGAAGCCTAGAACACCGCCGATCATCACGTTAGTTGCAAAATCGCTGTACGCGAAGAGAAGTCTTGAATGTCCACCCTTTGTCCAAGCCATGCATAAATGAGGGCGGCGTTGCGCTGTTAATCCATTGCGTGCAGCAAGATGAGATGAGCAGACAGATTGAAGAAGACTGCAAACCGTGCCCATTGTTGCCAGAATGTTCTCGGTTGTAGCATACTCAGCTATTGTTGACGGGAGAGACAGCACCCGGCGTCGCGTAACACGTACTAGCCGATAAAGCGACGAGCCAGACTCGGAGGAGCTGGATCCCAAACGATGTTAAGTGAAGCCAGGCAAGCCGCACGATGGACAGGCCACGAGTCGAGGCTGCTTGGTAACGAGTAGTTCAGAATCTGTGAAGAACTTTTGCGCTTTAGCATATCGCAATGTCATGTGCAGTTTGCGCAACTTGGGGCACATCAAGGACGCTCACCTGCCGTGCATGGGCGAGAAAACTGTTATTCCTCCGTTCGCGCTCAGAGAAAGAACTTTACGACAAAGAAGGCATTGGGACGAGCAGCGGGCCGACGGGATAACATACGGATTGTGGGTGAATAGCTCGGCGAGCGTACTCAGAATGTAGCGCGCCCTGTGCTGTTCTTTCTCCGGTGGCGGAGCAGTTAGCGAAGCGCAGCTTATTGCCTCGGGCATACAACCATGTTGCCCCGGTGTTTGGCTCCGCGATAGCCTCTCGATCTCGAGCCGGCGATAGGGTGGCTGTCCCTGGCAGCAGCAGTACAGTACAGTGTGAGACCATGCTCTTTGGCCGCAGGAATGCGATACATGCTATGTACCGACAGGCGAACGACGGGTATATCATCTGAGGGCCGCGTATCTACATAAAATTAGGTTAATAGACTCACTGGGCTCAAATTTGTTGATGTCTGTTGGAGATCGTCACCCAGTGAATGGGTTTCGGTTGCGTATATCTCCTGAGAAAGGAATAGGGGTGCACGACAATAGCGTTTAGCGGAAGGTCCGGACCAATAGGACTCTAGGGGTGTGCATTATTTTGTTCGCGCGAGTTCATCGATCACAGAGTTCTCAGAGGACTGCTGCTGGTCCTCCTAGCTAGCCCACCAATATTTAAATTCTCGCTACGCATCGGCTCATCACCATGTATTCCGAGGAGACGAAATTAAAGCTTACAGCGCAGTATAGGTAACTCTGGCGTCGACCATGCCCATATGATCGACAGGGCTCCGCCCGGTAACAGTGGCGTCACCTTGCTGCCGAGCGGTACACATACCACATTGCAGCGGTGTACATTCTACAATCACAAACACACGCTGTACGAAGAGGGCTCATTTTGGGCTGACGATGCAGTCATTGCTGTGCTACTACTAGTGGCGGGCATGCGGGCGCTTCGAGTCACCTGAGCTTATGTAAGCGTAGTGCGCTCCACCGGCAGGTACTTGAGTACTCACTCCAGAATCAAGATGCGAAGGCAGTGAGTGAAACCGGGTAGGCTATGTACCACTGAAACAAATCATGGCTTCATCAAGAACGAAACTGCCGCTATACAAGTGTCTTTACGCTGCGCGCGTTACATGTATCAAAACAGTCCAAGACGAGTATAATAACCGAGACATGTCAAATGCAACTGTCGAGCACCAAAACTCACAACGAAGGTAAGCACTGTTTTTCGAGAGAAGGTTAGGGTGTGCTGCCCAGCGATGCAGAATGCAGGAAAATGGGACACATCAAACGGTTCATGGTCCCCATCCCTTTGTCACTTCTTGTCGCAGTGCATCTGCGACGGCTCGCAGGGTCGACGAAACTGGAGTCGCTCATCAAGTTGCGGTGCAAACGTGTTTCTGCTGCGGCCCTAGAAGCCATCAGTCTGACCTGTATCGCCGACTAGGCTCACCAAACGCGACAGAAGGTCTGGGCTCAAGTTTACCCCCTGATGCCTGATTCAGAGAGCTGGCTTGTTCGAGACGACATCAAAAAACTGACCATACTTAGTAACTACCCATGTGTTGACCCCGACAACTGTTACCATGAGCGCTTTCTTGAGGAGCCATATAATTTCCCCATACACCTTTACGCCTCGCTGTCCAGTCCTTTACGTTCTCACCCCCACCTCCCACCCGACAGACAAGATGCTGGCATTTTTCTTGATCCTCTTCGCTGCCAGCTTGGCCAACAGTTGCCCGACTCCGAGTGGGGATTCCGCGGGCGTCCCTTTTGTCAACGTTACTACGAACGGCGGATCCTGGTTAGATAATGCTGGGGATGGCTTCGGCGAGCCTCTGAATGTGGGTACCATCAAATTATATGGCGTGCTGTGAACCTCACCACTGTACTCACAGGTCATCATTTCCGGCGAAAGTTCGGCCGAAGTTCTCACTCAACCGGGCCTCCTTCGGTGGGCTCAGTCCATTGGCTTGTGAGTGCGATCGACTGGGCGCCGTATTTATCTTATCCACTCGTCTAGTTCTACCGAATGCTTGGGTATCCATCTTGGCGCCCCCCAGTCTGCCAACCTCGGTGATGGTAATGGCTTTGTCAACCAGACCATCGAGCTCCGCGAGGACTACGGTGTTGCGGAAGACGGCACCTGCCTCGAGTCACTCATCGGCGGCAACCATTTCAGGTGTGCTTCGACTATTTTGTTGAGCGATTGTGGTGGTTGACGTGAGTTTTAACTACTGCGCAGAGTCTACGTTCAGAACGGCACCCTTGCTCCCACCGGCGCTTTCTTCCTTGCGTGCGTGCCTCGATGTTCCAGTCATGGCTGAACAAGCACTCAATGCAGAATTTAAATAGTGTCTCCAAAGAGGAGGACGCTTTTGATGACCATAACATCGTACCCGACGGCTACAATATCGGCCGGTAAGTCCTAGGTGTACGGCGCATGAGATTATTATAGCTCACCGCGATGACGTACTAGTGACGAGATGGTTGCGGGCGCTGTTGGTATGACTACGTTCGACGGTACCACCTTCAACACCACGGCCGTGAACATGACGAATGCCATGCCTGCTGGAAGTGCTGGTGTTAACCACGGTAAGTTATTCGCCTATCGTTGGAGCGAATCAGCATTCTGAACTTCATGCCACAGGTATTGCTGTCGATGGGGCTGTCATTCTTTTGACTATTATGATTGTCTGAGTTCTTCGTCCCACATGCAGAATTTTCAGGTAGGATTGCTCCGGCTCGCTCTGGTGCACAACGGCAACCGGTGTGCTTTATTTACGACTATTACGACCACGACCACGACTACAACCACGATACCCTCGCAGTGACACTCATACTTATTTGTTACGTATGTGATTTGCGTAGCCTGGACATTTGTTGTATCTGTAGGAATGTCAGAAACCACTGTTTCTGTGTCATCTTCGTGATGTTCGGAGTGCCTGACTGCGGCCTTAGCATCTGCAGATCATCGGTGGCTCTGTTGTGTTCTAACTTGGAAAAACATCACTCGCCTTGATTAGAAGAATGTTGATGTGCGGTCATTGCAATCGACGGTGGTGCGGCGTTCGAACAGTGACCGTAGCGTAGAAGATCTTCTAAGGTACACAAATATAACTGGATAATGATACTAATTGGCTTTAAGCGCAGGTTGTAGCGGGTACAAGCAAGAATGAGAGAATAGCAGTGGCCATGAATGTATTGCAACGAAATTATAGCGAGCTGAAGGGAAGGATATTTATGCAGGGGGATATTGCTACGATTCGTTAATTCAAGTACATTTGGTGTGGGCGCGGCTACAGCTTATGAAGCATAGCACGTCATAGAGTATGAGGAGCCCGGCACATCGGGCTTCACGTTTGGAAACGGGCACGTTCAATCTCGTCGAACGCCACTTCCTCCGCCCATCCCTTCCACCGGATCTCGTCTGCAATTTACGCAGGCAGTGTCGCTGACGGCGTGTCGTCTGAGATTTCCGCATCATCCGCATGGAGCTTGCTGTCGTCACTCTCGCCATGCTGCCGGCGGGTCCGTGTTGCTGTATCCCACATGGTTCGCTCGGCCTCTGTTTCGTCGAGCGTGCGCTAGTATACGCGCGGAGGCATCAAGTCGAGATTGGTGAAGTCGGTGTCGTTCCTAGCGCACCTGTGGTGGCGCTCAGATTGAAAATGCTGTCAAGACGAAGACTAATTTGAACCATGCGCACTTCCATCCAGGGCTCAGCTTACCATCCGCTTGAAGTCACCGAACCTCATTCTGCGACATTCGCAGTAACCAAGCATTGGGCCTTCCTCGCGCTTGGCCAACACATGCACACACCTTCGCCACTCCCGTGATCTCCCCGTTAGCCGCAGAAAAGGTGCTATGTTGGCAAGACTATGACGGCCCACTTAGCACTACTTCCACTAGGGCAGTTTGTGACTGGCGCAGACGGATATTCATCAATTGGATGGATTCAACCCTAGTTCGGCTGCTAACGCCTGCCGTGACCTGTGACCTTCTTTCGTACGCTCGTGCACCGGAGCAGCAATTCAATACATCCAATGATTACAGAAACAACGCGGTTGAACTGAATTCAATAGTCAGGCACAGGACGACAAAGTTGACAGACGCTAAATGCCCCGGTAAGAACTGTGTATCGCCAGAGCTGGGTGCGCCCGGGCGGACTCAGAGAATGGTGAACGTGGGGCTGAGGTTCCCAGAGTCGCCAAAGACTGCCAGATTCCAGCGCTCAGTAACGCTGACGAAACCATAAGATTAAAACGAAAGCACTCACGGACGATCGCGTAGTCATCGCCGGCAATGGTGTCCACGGGGATGGTGACGGGGACAAAGCCAGCGCGAAGATCGAAGCCCTGGGCCAGAGGATTGGCTGAAGAGCACCCCGTCAGGAGCCACAGCGGCGCCGCAGAACAGTCATGTACGCACCTGAGTCCAGGACGCCGCCCTTGGCCAGGACGACCTGGGAACCCTCGCTGATGTCTGCGGGAGCGTTGGAGGTGTCCCTGTATGCGCTCTATTCAGTCCCGGGATTACGTCTGTCATAGTTGCGCCATACCAAGTGATATTGTGGGTATCCCCGGGGAGCCAACGAACACCTGCGGTGGGCGAGGTGATCGTGGGGTCCCAGACGTCCTGGGGACGAGCGACCACGCTGACAGCGGTGGCAAGGAGAGCGGCGAAGAGGGTGGTCTTGGAGAACATGCTCGTCGATGTGCAGAAGTGATTTCTGAACTGGAGACATCCTGGACCAGTCAGACTCGTATTTATACGTTGCAGGTTGCGGGCTTGCGAGGCCGTTGCAGTTGCGGAGAAGCAGACTCGCGCCGACTCCCGAGCCCTCATAACGGATTCAGCAACACAAAAAGCAGCTCAAGCATAAGCGATGCCATACCTTTCTGGAGACGTATAGCGAAGCCTGGAACACCGCCGACCATCGTGGCAAAATCATTGTACGTGAAGAGAAGTCTTGGGTGCCCACCCTTTGCCCGAGCCGTGCATAACCGAGGGAGGCGTTGTGCTGTCAGCCTGTCGCATACTGCAAGACAAGATGAGCAGACAGATTCAAGAAAACTGCAAGCCATGCCCATTGTCGCGAGAATCTTCTGGCATTCAGCAATTGTCGACGGGAGAGCTAGCACACGACGTTGCGTAACACGCACTAGTAGAGAGAGCAGCAATTCGGACTCGGAGGGACTGGACACCACACGATGCTCAGGTCAAATGCAATTCGCGGACCCAATGAACATCGTTGGCCGACACAGCTGCCTGTACGCGATCAAAGTCGGACGGAGTTAAGCCCGCGCACAGTGCATAAACGGACATCTGTCTCACCGACATTTCGCGAAGGACGCGCTGGTTCAAGGCGGACACAGCGGTAGAAAGACGGCGGTGGCCGGTAGAGCAGACGTTCAGAGTCGTCTTTGAAGGTCAAAGTACAGCCAAATGGGCCACACCACGGACAAGCTACGGATCGGAACTATCTGGCGGCGAGTAGCTCAGAAGCTGCGGAGGACTTGTGCACTTGAGTATATCACAATGTCATGTGCAGTGTGCGCAACTTAAGGCACAGCAAGGAGACTCACCTGCCGTACAAAGACAAAAAAAATTGCTTCTCCTCCGTTTAAGCTGAGAGAAAGAACACCAGGGCGAAGAGAGCTGCGGAACGAGCAGCCCGTCGCGAGAATATACGGATCGTCGGTGAATGATTCGCCGAAAGCACTCGGAGCATATTACGGCTTGTGCCATCCGCGATCTCGCTGCCTCGGGCATATTTGCCCCGGTGTTTGGCTCTGTTAGTCGCTAGCCGGCAAACGCCGTCCCCGGCAGTAGCGTAACATAGGGGGAGTGCCAGACGGTCAGGAATGTAATTACCCTCTGTGGTGGCAAGGAGCATTATGGCTATGCCTAACAGACCATCTGGGGACGAAGATATCTATCCCCAGTCTGAGAGTATATCAGCTCCACTGCTTGCGCTAGACTCTGGCTACTTATAACCCGACCCAAGCGCTCGAGATGGCTCTCTACCGCATTCCATTCCTGCTCATGCCCCGCATCCAATTCCAACCTTCACCAGTCTCTGAGACGAGCCGCCCATAAATCCCGACGCGTAAGTCATCGACCGTGACTGGCTCGCCGGCCTTACCGTCGACAATCACGATGCACAGGCAGATCTCCTCGTCACTGCTCGTCGACTCGTGGTGGCGCGGCGTCTTCGAGCTCACCCGGGATCTCCGCACCTTCTACGGTCGCGCCGGGGTCGGGGCATTCCTCGACGACCGCCTCGCCGAGACCGAGTTCGGCATTGTTGCCTTCGTCGACGCCGTATACAGTATACCAGCTTGCGAGAACTGATCTCGCCTGGATACTCGTGCATTTCTCGTTTTCTCGTTCCATACCGCGGTCGCCATCAACAAGGGCATCGCACGCCTCGTGTACTTCTCCGACGGCCCCTGGCGCACCGTCACGGTGTCCACCCATCTCGATGAGCTCAAGGGTCATCGCGGGCGCAGACCACAACTCCAGCATCAACCAAAGCGACTGGGCCGAGCGCGTGAGGAAGGCAGTCCTATTCGCGGACAAGGATCCTGAGGTGCTGATAGTTGGCGGAGACCAGGCCGGTCTTCAAACCACAGCTCGGCTGAAGCAGCACAAGGACATCCATCTGATCATCGAGAAGAACGCCCGTATCGGAGACCACTGGAGGGCGCACCACAACTCCTTAGCTCTTCATGACCCTATATGTGCGTATTTGTCTGCGCCGTGTACCCTTCGATCCATAATCATCGCGAGCAGGGTGAAATTATCTGGCCTACCTCCCGTGGGTCGCGAGATTACTGGTGTAGCTGATGCTATATCTAACTCGTAGATTCAGATTTCCCGTCTCTTAGCCAGCCTTTCTTTCAGCTAAAAAGGTGCGTCACTCGGTACAAAGCCTGTGGCTTGACTCATTTGACTCACGGACTGTCACCACAGCTAGAGGATTGGCTAGAGTTCTACGCCCAGGCGCTAGAGCTGAACGTCTGGTTCCCCGAGTCGGAGGCCATCAGCGCAGTCCGTAATGAACACACCAATAAATGGATGTCATTGCCCGGCGCGCGGACAGCTCTGAGCGGACGATACATATTGACCATGTCATGCTCGCCCACGGGCTCTTGTTCAAGAATGTGGTCTTCCCTAGTCAGGTGCACGCGTCTAGTGCATACACGGTGTCGTCGCTTGCTCATTAGAATGCCTTTGAACAGGACGATCTTCAAGGACAGCTCGTGCACTCGAGCGAGTCCAAGACGGCGAAGGACCTCGAGGGCAGACAGCTGGTCATTATCGACGCTTGTTCTTCAGGTACGTCCTACATCCCTGAGCGTTTCCTCCAAGCTCTCGACCTCACCATCTCTGATGCAGTACACGATATCGCTTCCGACTGTGCAGACGAAGGCGTTCGTAAGAAGGTGAGACAGTGGGCTTTGGTCCCTCTCTGCTGACGGTCTCACAGACGTGACCATGGTCCAGCGCAGCTCGATATGCGTCATGTCCATCGAGAAAGGTATGCTTACCACTTTTGCCCGCGAGTCTCTTGCTTGCCCCTCAGCGAGCTGTCTGACACAGGACTCGGGGACGATATGGACAAAAGAGGCGCCTACAGCGGTGCTTAGAACGATAGACACCCCCGGGCAAATTACAGCATACGGAGTTCGAAAACTCCGCAAGCGCTAGTGCGAACGAAGTGAGACGCGTCCGCTGAAGTGGTAATCCCGCCGTCACCTGAGGCATCCGAGTCTGACTCCCTCGACCTCCCCGTCTTGCGTTTCTCAACCACGCGTGTTGCACCCTTCTCATTTAGTGTCCATCGCTACAGTCTTGTAATTACCAAGGATTATAATACATCCGAGGTTCGCCAATACAATATTAATCGCCCGAAACCATTGGGACAAGCCCCGCAGCGAGCAGCACAAAGCCGGGCGGGTCAAATGCCTCAGATGACGGCGGGATCACCACTTCAGCGGACGCATCTCACTTCGTTCGCACTAGCGCTTGCGGAGTTTTTGAGCTCCGTGCGCTGTAATTTGCCCGAGGGGTGTCTATCGTTCTAAGTACCGCTGTAACAGAATCTCATCTGCTGGGAATGGCGAGAGTAAGGGCCGTGCATTCAAGGTGTTTAGAGCTCACAACAATGCATAGCGGCCCAACCCTCGTTGCGACCTTGGCCTTGGATCCGAGTCATCCGACCAACCGGCTGTGTGACAGTGTGTCGGTCGAGGTAAGACCAAAGCCAGGCGCAAACCAGCCGATACACATCCCGACGGTCAGGTGTCAGACCCCCGGCCGTTTAGGTCGTGCGACTACAGTGCTGTGGATCAGATTGGAGATTGTCTACCAAATATGGAAGTACGTCGATGATGCGGCCGCATTTTTTGCCGCTTCTGCTTCTTGTGTCGGCTCACAGGGTCGACGAAACCGGAGTCGCTCCTCAGGCTGCGGTGCAAACCTGTTGTTGCCGCGGTGTTGGAAGCCATCAATCTGATCGGGTATCATAGACCAGGCTTGCCGTCGAACATGACGAAACGTCAGAGCCCAGCTTTGCCTCGCTCGGAGAGCTGGCCTAAGTGAGAAGACATCCAAGTACTGACCATCCCCAGTAACTACCCATGTAGTGGTCTCGATAACTGCCACCATGCGCGCTTGCTTGAAGCGTCGTATAAATTCACCACAGGCTCTTATTCCGCTGTGCAGTCCTCTGCGTTCTCAGCCCCGTCTCCCTCTCAACATACAAGATGCTGGCCTTTGCCTTGATCCTCTTCGCTGCCAGTTTGGCCGGTGCTTCAAGTTTGGCCAGTGCTTCAAGTTTGGCCAGTGCACCAAGTTTGGCCAGTGCTTCAAGTTTGGCCAGTGCTTCAAGTTTGCCCAACGATTCAAGTTCGGCCAACGGTTTAAGTGTGGCCGACGCTATGAGCTGCCCAGATCCAGTGCCCCCGGGCCTCCCATTTTTCCCCCCTAACTGTTCAAGTATATCCGGCGGATCCTGGTTGGTTGGTGTCGGCCCGATCCCATTTGCTTCCGAAGAGCCTCTGAATGTAAGTCACGGTATCATCAAGTTCTATGGCGTTCGGTGATCCTTACCGCTGTATTCGCAGATCGTCATTTCTGGTCTCAGCTCACCTGAGGTCCTTACTGACGACGGCTTCACCAATTTTGCTAACTCCATTGGCTTGTGAGTACGACCTACTTGGCTTCGTATCAATCTTATCCGCCCATCTAGCTCCCACGGATGCCTGGGTATCGATAACGGCTCCACACAGACGGCCAACCTCGGCGATGGCAATGGCTTCATCCCACAAACCCTGTTGCTTCGTGAGGACTACGGTGTACCAGATGTCGGCTCCTGCCTCGATAGTCTCCTCGGCGGTACACGTTTCAGGTAAGCCTCGATCTGTCTGTTGAGCGATTGCGGTCGACATGAGTCTCAACTACTGCTCAGGGTCTTCCGTCAGAACGGCACCGATGCCCCCACCAATGCTCTCTTCCTTGCGTGCGTGATCCAATGCTCTCATCATGACTGACTAGGCGCTCAGTGCAGCATTGAACTAGTGTCGCCATAGAGGACGGCACTATAGAAGGGGGCCGTACTATCGCCTCCGACGGCTACGACCTAGGCCGGTATGTGCTCAGTGGTACGGATGAAATTATTTTAGCTCACCAAGATGGTGTGCTAGTGACCAAGTGGTATTAGCCGCTGTCGGTACGACTAGCTTCGCCGGTATTACCTATCACACTACAGCTGTGACCTTACACGAGGTCACAGCGAGTGGCAGTCAGGGTGTTAACCACAGTAAGCTGTCAGCCTGTCGCTAGAGCAATGTCATTCTCTGAGCATCGTACCACAGATATCTCCATCGACGGCAATACCGTACTTCTAACTATCGAGATTATCATCTGAGTTCTTCGCATGACATGCAGAAGTCTTAGGCAGGATTCTTTCGACTCGCTCTGGCGTACACTATGCAATCCATACTCTTTGTTCAAGGCTATAACGACGACGACGATGACGACCCCGCAATGATTCCCGTACTTATTCTGTTATATACGTGATTTGCCCACTGTTCCTGTGTCATCTGAGTCTTCGTGACGATCGGAGCGCCTGGCTACGGCCCTAGCTCCTGCAGCCTCTCGGCGCCTGTGTTGTATCCTGACTTGAAACAACGTTCATCGCACCAACAGACAAAGCCTGGACACTGCGGCTGCAACGTGGCATTTAGTGGTAGCGCGGCTTTCCCTGGGCCGGCTTATTCTCTTGTTAGCATTACACGCATGCAGCGGACGAGATCCCTCTCTTCCAGGTGCATACGACATTGCCAGCGCTCTTCGCATTCACAAGCAATTACTAGGCCTTTTCAAAACGTCTGGGCATATCTAACTACATCATTCTCTGCCCGCCGAACGCCTCTCGCATCGCCAGTCACCGTATGCTTGCGCTGCCACGTGTTCCCAGAGGTTCTAGGTTCGCTTCTGGCTGCGGGCCTCGACCTTGTGCTCCGGGCGCCAGGCCTGCGCCCTGCTTGCCCACGTGCCACTGAACAGCAGGCCCACAGCGGCGCTCAGCACATAACGTCTCCAAAAGGAGCGTGAGCGAGTGCCTCGTCTACCTTTTTTTATAAAAATAAAAATAAAAAATTTCACGCCTGCGTCTGCTCGAATTCTCCGCGCGTGCACGGTGCGCGCACCAGTCGCACAGAGCGTCCACGAAGAGCCCGCAGGCGCGCTCGTCATCACAGTGCTGCACGCACGCGTCCCCACCGGCTCTCTGCCGCAACGGGCCGTCCGTCGGGCCTCCGCGCGTGACCCTTCGGCCAAGACACCCAAACTCGCGCCTGCCCAGCCGGCTGTAGCTGGCGCCGGACAGCCTGCGTTCGCATACGCCGTCCAAGGACTGAAGCGCCGCGCGCAGGGCTGCAGCAGTCGGCCGGTCGTGTCCCCAGGAGTAGCCGGACGATGGCAGGGGCCGGTGCCACGCGACGGTCCGCTGCTGGGACGGTGTCTCCAGGGTCGGTGTACGACGCGCCGCGGGAGCCCCGTTCTGTGAAGGTGGCAGCGGCCGTGTCGTGCGCGCCGTCGGTGAGGGCTCTGATTCAGGAAGAGAAAGACGAAGAGTGCCGGTGCGACGCACCGTCGAGCGCGTCTGGTCTGCTGGACACGGCCTCGCGCACGGTGCAGTGGGACGCGCCGCTGGGTGGGCGCAGGAAGCTTGCGACGAGGGCCGTGTCGTCGTCCCCTACGCCCTCTCGTGTGATCTTCCGGAACACCGAGTGCCGCCGCCGCCAGTAGCGACCGCGGAAGACAGGACCGCAGCAGACAGCGCAAGGTTGTCTGTGCACGCGACGACGTCGAGGTGCCTGAGGTGCCGAAACGCGACGCCCGGGCGGACGACGCACGAGCCCGAGACGCCCCAGGAGACGTGCTCGAGCGCAAGCGACTGCAGGCACGCGGCGTCGCCGAGCATGCGGAGCAGTGCGGACAGCGAGCGGACGGCGCACCCGCGGAGCTGCAGGCTGTGCAGCGTGCGGAACGTGCGGCGCGAGCATGCGCTGCGGGTCAGCAGCGGCTGCGGCTGCAGGGACGACGAGAACGGCGACGGTGACGGCGGGCACAGAATCTGAAGGTGGCGCAGGCCGTGCAGGTGTTGCAGTGTGCGGAAGACGCGGGCGGTCGGGCGGCAGCGCGTGGTGAGGACGACGGCGAGAATGTGGTCGCCCAGCCAGCCCGACGTCGCGCTGTGCAGCAGTGCGCTGAGTGTGCTGATGTCCGAGGCCGACGCGAGGCGCAGGTTTTGGAAGAGGCGTGGACGGAGATGGAGTGACCACTCGCGGCTGACGAGGGAGAGCGTTGACGCGGTGTGTTTGTCGCCGCCGTCCTGGGCGGCCGCGGCGATGAGGTGGCGTTGAATGGTAAGCTTTATCTCGGGTGGTAACGTACCCCACAGGGAGGGGTCGAGGTGGAGAGAGAGCGGGGGGGAATCTTCGTCTTCATTGCAGGGTCAGTACATATCATGTTCATGAAGAAGGACACTGCCATACTGGAGATGACGCTGCTATAATCGTCGTCGTCGGTATCTGATATGTATTCTTCGTGTAGATCGAACTCTAGATCTTCTGGTTCCGACAGGGTTATCGTCTCCTTCCAAGGGCCTTCGTCGTAGCAGACGTCCATCGACTCGTCTCCATACTCTCGAACGTAGACTGCTGAGAAAGGGCGAGTAGGAATTGGGCGGGATTCGGACATCCTGGCGTTTGTGTTGCAACTTGATAATCCCGAGGAGGAGGGGAACTGCACATGGGCACAGTGAGAAGGAGTCCGCCTGTGCTTTTATATTGAGCGATGTGCGGAAAGAAATCCGTATGATGGTCTCGTGCCGCGATCAGCTACTTGGAACAGAGAAGCGCAATGCGTCTCGCTTCTCGAGCTAGAAGTCTCGAAAGGCAAAGTTCAGCAAGCTTCATTTCATTTGACAGGGCCCGGGGAAGACGGAAGAAGTGCGGGAAGTGTGCGCTGTGTGGGAGCGTAGACGACTATGTGTGCGTTTGGCGTAGCCCATCACGTCACGCGGGAGAAAAAATATACCTATCGAGGACGAGTGCGGCGACACGAGGCGTTTCATCTGGACAGACGGCACTGCCACTTGGACAGCCATGTAGGGCTGTGGCGATGGGGATCGTCGGATGACAAGCCAGACCGGAAGGCCTGTTCCAGAAGCGGCATAGCGAGCTTACTGGCCATGTGAGGCCCCCGTGTATCTACTGGTTCCCCGCAGCTATCTCAGTCTTCGAACTGCCGAAGCATTGGGAGCCGAAGACACCCTCTAGGAAGCTAGAAGCAGAGCTTACGCAAGGCAAGGCCCGTTCAAGATGATGTTGAAATTACACTGTATCGCATCGCTCTCTAGGTGACTTGGAGAGGTCCTCGACGCACAGGACACTCGATGTATGGGGCCGCAAGCGATTGTTTGTGCATGTTAGGATCCCAGGCATTCGGTTACCCAATCCAGCGGCGTTCAAGGCGGGACCGAACCATCCGTTTCATTTTATGCGATGAGATATAGATGAATCACGGCAAGCCACGTTCTAGACGCTGCCGACGGTGCCGCCAGGCGATTTGTCGCGGCCACCAGTGTCAATGACTTGTTGTAAAGCCGAGCTCTCCTGCCTGCCGAGTAAAATCTGCATCCGAGCCGGCTTTGACTGCCCAGAGATTCCCCGACGTCGTCCCGCCCGTGCGCGCACGTTCCGTGGGTGCAGAGGAACGTGGCCCGCGGCATGCTGACGCACGCGTCTGATCCGACCAATCAGATCAGCCGAGTCAAAATGGACGGAGATCCGATCGGGCAATGGCTTATCGCGCGCTTTGAGTCATCGCGCTGCGCTGCTCTGCGCTCGCCGCGACCGCTGCCGCCGACGTGGCCCGACTTCTTATCGACCCGCCTCTGCAACTCACACAACGACCACGACAACATGTCTGTCCTCCACACTTACTTTCACCGCCGCGACCAGCAGGCCTTCCAGCACGCCGTCGACACCGCCGTTCGCTCCCTCTCTCACAGCACCGCCGCCCAGTCGTCCTCCAGCCTCGGACGCTCCTTCTCCTCGTCTCCCTCAGCTCTCGTCTCCAGCTCCGCCGCCGCCCTCGACATCAACGCCCGCGACGCCCTCGGCCGCACCGTCCTCCACCTCGCCTGCAGCAGCACCCACCCGAGCGCACCCACCTACGTCCGCCTCGTCCTCGCCCACCCGCACGCCCACCTCAACCTCCCCGACGCCGAGAGCCACTGGACGCCGCTCCACCGCGCGCTCTACGCCGGCAACCTCGCCGCCGCCCTCCTCCTCCTCCAGCGCCCCGACCTCGACGTCCACGCCAAGGACTGGGAGGGCTACACCCCCTACGACCTCTGGAACTCCTCCGTCGAGGGCACTAACCCCGATCCCCCGCCCCGCCGCCACGAGTGCCCGCCCGACGAGCTCGACGCCGTCGAGGCCGAGCTGTACGTATGGGGCAGCAACAGGAACGCCGGCCTCGGTGTCGGCGACGCGGGCGACAGGACGTTCCCAGAGCTCGTCCAGTTTGATAGGGACAAGGACGGCCAGGGCAGGTCGGCTGCGAAGACGATCGGCGACAGGTTTCGCCCTGTCAAGGTGCGGGCGGTCGACATGGCCAGGTTCCACACAGGTGCGTGACACGCAGCTCTTTGCTCTGTTTCTTGGCTTCACGAACGCAACGCCTCGCCAGCTATTGTGACCTCGGAACAGAGAGCGAACTTGAGAGTGTGCGGCTTTGGCAGTGGTGCACGGTGAGTGTCGGTCGCCTTTCCACCACTCCCCTGCGCACAACGTCTTCACCATCTGACCCCGAACTTTCATTCTCAAAAACCGCAACTAACCATGCTCTCCCCACACCCAGACTCGGCTCCGGCCTGCACACCACGACATACACACCCACGTCGCTCGCCGGCCTCCCTTCTTCGCCGCCAGCCATCTCGCCAGGGTATCCGCCACCGTCGCGCGCACCATCGTCTTCCGCGGCGCCACAGAACGCCTCTCCACGCGCCACTGCCTCCCCGCCACCCGATCCCCAGCGCATCGTCGCCGTCGCCGCAGGCCAGGACCACACCCTCGTCCTCACCGCCGCAGGCGAGGTATGGAGCTGGGGCAGCAACCGGAACGCGGTGCTCGGGTACGTCGTCGAGCCTGCGTCCGCAGCCACACCAGCAGCGGACGAACCGCACGAGGACAAGGGCGGCGCCCCAGCGGCAGCGTGGCAGGAAAAGTGGCAGGAGAAGGGAGAGGTGCTGCAGCCGGGGCCGCGCAAGGTGCAGGGGCAGCTCAAGGGAAGGCGCGTGCGCGCCGTGTCGGCGTGTCGCACCGCGAGCGCGTGTGTCACCCTCGAGGGCGAGGTGTTGACGTGGGGCGTGAACAGCGGGCAGCTAGGTCAGCGTCCGGCGCATCATTCTTTCTGGGGTGCAGTGCCCTGATTTTTGTTCTTCGCAGGGTACGACAGGGCCGCGCACCCCGTGCAGACCCTGCCCCGGCTCGTCACAAAGGTGAGCCAGCCGGTGCTCGACGTCACGATCACGGTGCGCCCCTCCCCCCCCCTGTTCCCCCTCTCTACATCAACCCCGTCCACTCACACTCACGCGCGCGCATATGTTAGGACTGCGCCACCGCCCTGCTCCTGCACACGCACGACGTGCTGCTCCTGACGGCGCAGCACGGCGCACACCGGCTCGCCTTCCCGTCGCTCGCCTTCCCGCGCACCGCGACCGCGGCGTACCGCCCGCCGCAGGCCGCGCGCCCCGCGGCCGTCGCACGCGTCGTCGCGACCGAGCTCGCGCCCAGCAGCAGCGCCCACGCGCGCGAAGGCGCGCTCTTCGCCGCGCTCAGCCGTGCGGGCGAGTTGTTCACGTGGGCCGTCGCGGCGCCTGAGGCGGTGACGTCGACGTCGGCGTCGGCGTCGGCCGTGGCGAGCGGCGCTGGTGGCGCCAATGCCAGGGAGAAGGAGAAAGAGAGGGAGAGGGAGAGGGAGAGGCGCGAGGTCGTACGGCCGCAGCGCGTGTGGGCGCTGCGCAGGAAGTTTAGCGCGGTGCGCGACGTCGCGCTCGGCGCGGACGGGTCGGCGGTCGTGTGCACCGCGTCGGGACACGTCTTTGTGCGCTCGCGCTTGCCCGCCGCCGCCGGTGCCTCCATTTCTGCCTCTGCCGCTGGCGCTGGTACTGCCGCCGTCACCACCGCCGCTTCCAGTGCCTTTTCAAGTGCCAGCGCGGGTACGGAGGAGTTCGCGGGCAAGGCCGCCACACAGGCGCAGGCGCAGGCGGCGGGCAAGTTCCAGCGCGTGCCGGGCCTGCAGCGGGTCGTGCGCGTGTACGCGAGCAGCGCGGGCGCGTTCGGCGCGCTCCGCGTCGATGCGCGCGCCGAGGACGTCGTCGTCGCCGGGCGCACGCTCCGTGCGGACGTCGAGCGTGTCGCGCCGTGGTTCGGTGCTGCTGCTGCTGCTGCTGCTGCTGCCGCGGAGGCAGAGGCAGAGGAGGCACTCGGTGGCGAGGAATCGGGCGCGAGAGAGAAGGTGCTGGGGGACGGTGCGGGATCCGTGGAAGAAGACGGTGACGACGTGCACGACCCGGCGGTCGTCCGTGACCAGAGGGAGCTCGTGGCGCTCCTTGGCTTGCTCGATAGGCATGCGCAGGCGATCAAGGCCGCGAAGACGGTGCTCCCGCCGGGAGGCGCACCTGCGACTGGCGACGACGACGACGACGACGCAAACGCCTTGCTGGTCAGCCCGCTCGACGGCGAGTCTCCCCGGGTCCACGGCGCAGACTTGCTCGTGCACGTCCTCGGCGGCACCGAACCCCGCATTCCCGCGCACCGCGCCATCCTCGCCGCGCGCAGCCCTGTGCTCCGCGAGACGCTCCGCGGGAAACAGGCCGTCGAGGCCAGGGTGCCGGGTGGGCCGACGATCCGCATCGCACTCGCCAAGGACAAGGACAGGCCCACGCCGTCGTCGTCGCCGCCGCCCGCCGTCTGCCACCCGAGCCCGTGGAGCACGCCAGCGCGGCTCACCGTCTCGGGCGCACACCCGCTGACCGTGCTGCTGCTCCTGCGGTACCTGTACGCCGACGCGCTCGTCGCCGTCTGGGACTGGCGCGTCGCCGCGGGCGCAAACGTCGGGTGGCTGCCGCTGCTGCGCCGCCCCGCGCAGATCAAGGCGGAGCTCCAGGCCCTCGCGGCCGCGCTCGCGCTCCCGGAAATGGCGCGGGCGCTCGAAGGCGCGTTCAAGCGCGACGTGCGCCCGACGCTCGCGCGCGACCTGCAGGCGGCGGAGGCGGAGGTGTGCGAGGGTGCCGTGAGGGCGGCGGGGGCGACGGCAGCGGGGGCAGACGCGCGCGATCCGCTCCGGCCGGACGTCGTGCTCGTGCTCGCGGACCGCGAGGTGGGCGCGCACGCGGTCGTGCTGCGCGCGCGCTCGCCGTTCTTCCGCGCCTTCTTCGACGAGCCGGCCTGGACCGCGCGGCGGTGGACGGCCGCGGGCACGGTGCGCGTCGACCTGCGGCACATGCGCTGGCGCGAGGTGCGCCACGTCGTGCGGTACCTGTACGGCGCGGACGCGGAGCTGTTTGATGCGCTCGTCGAAGAGAGCGGGGACCGGGACCGGGACGAGGACGAGGGTGGCGCCGTCGCGAGCGCGGACGAGCTCGTCGAGGCGGTGTTTGGTGTCATGGCGGCTGCGGTAAGTGTCTGTCGACCGTTTTTCCGTGGCGAGTGATCCGACGAAAAAAAACCCCTGTCGACACAGAACGAGCTCCTGCTCGACCGGCTCGTGCTCCTGTGCTCGCGCGTCATCCAACAGCGCATCGCGATCCCGAACGCGACGAGCATCCTCGCCGACGCGACCTTCTTCAACGCGACCGCGCTCGTGCAGAGCGTGCAGGGCTACCTGGCGCGCAACCTCGAGACCTTCCTCGAGCACCACATGCTCGACGACCTGCCCGCGGACCTCATCAAGCAGTTCGCACAGTTCGTGCGCGCCGAGCAGACGCGCAAGGCCCCCGTCGCGCGCAGCGGACGCCTCGCCGCCGACGCGATGCGGCGCCACCGCGCGTGGGCCGACATGCAGGACTGGCCGAGCCCCGTCGTGCGCAGCACGCAGCCGCGTCCGCCGCCCGTGCGCAAGCGCGAGGCGGCCTCGTCGTCGCCGCCGCCGCCGCCGGTGCGTCCCGTGGAGAAGCGGAAGAGCGCCGCTGCTGCCACCTCTGCTGCGGACGACGAGCTGTTCGTGATGGACAGCGTCGAGGCGATCCCGCCCCTGAGCCTCAGCTCGCCGGTGCCGCCGAATCTAACGACAGAGCCCAAGGCCGGTGGGTGGAAGGTGCCAGGTGCCGCGCCGAGGTACGGTGCTCTCGCTTCTGTCCTTGTCGAGGTGGGGGCTGACGTGGTTGTGTTCGTAGGACCGACATGAAGGCGATCATGGCCGAAGCGGCCGCGTCTACTACCCCGCGCCCTGGCCCGTCGACACCTCGCACGCCGGCAGCAGCGTCCGACGTCAACAACTGGCGCGTGCCCCAGCGCAAGCCGTCTTCCGCAGCGCTCACCGACGGCAACGCGCCGCGCAGCAGCCCGTCGGGCGGGTCGCCCTGGAAGCCGGTGCTGCCCGTGACGTCTGCGATGGCGAGCCTCGCGGTGGGCAGCAGCTCGCCGGTCTTGACGCCGCCGATGACGCCACAGATGCGCGCGACGCGCGGCAGAGACGAGGCGCCGCTGGCGAAGCAGCCGACGACGGCGGCGGCGCAGCAGCAGCAGCGCCCGGGCATGGGCCCCGTGTTCTCGCCCAGCAAGCAGGCGGCGCAGCAGAAGGGCACGGCGTCGCCGATGCGGCGGACAGCGTGCGTGTGTTTACGATCTCTCTCTTTTCGGCCATCGCGCGCTGACCGTGCCGACATTTTGCATGTACGTTGACCGGTGTGTAGTAGCGGCAACGCGGCGTGGACGCTCCCGCCCGTGCAGCCCACGGTGCAGCCGTCGTCGTCGCTCGCGGCGGTGGCAACGCCGTCACCGAGCGGCATGTCGTTCGTCGCGATCCAGGAGCTCCAGCGCGAGCAGGGCGGGCGCGGGAAGGAGAAGGCGCGCAGTCTGAAGGAGATCCAGGAGGAGGAGCAGGCGCGCCGCGTCGAGGAGGAGTTCCTCACGTGGTGGGCCGCGGAGGAGGAGCGTCTGCGCGCGGAGCAGGCGGGCGAGTCGTCCCCCGGGGAGGCGGGTCCGAGGCGGGCAAAGGGGAAGAGGAGAGAGGGTGCCAAGGATGGCGCGAAGACGGCGGCCGGAGAAGGCGCGAGGGAGAGAAAGGAGACGAGGCGCGAGGGCGGCGCCAAGGACGTCGGCGGTCCCACAGAGAGCAGCGCACCCGGCACGCCAAGACGGCGACGCCGACCTGGCCCTGGACCGAGCGCGAAACCGGAGGGTGCACGAGCGAAGAGCGACCTGGTCCGACATCAGCAACAACAGTGACCCCGATGTAAGTTTAGGACGCATGCTACCGACAGGCGCACATGGGCTCAAATAACACGATGTAGACTAGATAGAACACTCTAGAGATAGGCAATGTTAATGAGGGTGTAATGATTGAGTGCAAGCACTCGATTGTGTTAAGTTGTCAAATGCTGCGTTGCGAGATGACCGAGCACGATGACCCAAAGCGCGCGATAAGCGATTGTCCGATTCGATCTCCGTCCATTTTGATCTGACCCGCCAATAAACGTAGATAAGCACGGAGCGGGACGACATCGGGGAATCTCTGGGCAGCAAACACACTTCGTGTATGTCAGGATATGCCGTGTGCGTGTCGCAGGAATTGTGACCGGACCTATTACTAGACGCTGTGCCGATCAAGGCGTTCAAGGTGAGGAAAAGAAAGAGCCCGACTTTGCAACAGGTCATCGGTACAATACACTGCTGGCCGCGACGAATCCCCTGGTGGCACCATCGGCAGCGCCTAGAACGCGGTTGACGCGATTCATCTATATCTCATCACATAGATGAATCGGATGGACAGACTCCGAGATGCGTAGCTAATGTGCCGCAAAGTTCGGCCGCTGAGTTGGGTAACCGGCTGCCTGGGATCCTAAAATGCACAAACAATCGCTTGCGGCCCCATACATCGAGTGTCCTGTGCGTCGAGGACCTCTCCAAGTCACCTAGAGAGCGATGCGACGCGGTCTAGCCTCAACATCATCTTGGCCAAGCCAAGCCTTGCGTAAGCTCTGCTTCTAGCTTCCGAGAGGGAGTCTTCGGCTCTCAACGCTTCGGCATTCAAAGACTAGGACAGCTGCGGGGCACCCATGGATAGACGGGGACTCCACATGACCAGCAAGCTCGCTATGCCGCTTCTGGAACAGGCCTTCCGGTCTAGCTTGTCATTTGACGATCCCCGTCGCCACAGCCCTACATGGCTGTCCAAGTGGCAGTGCCGTCTGTCCAGATGAAACGCCTCGTGCCGCCTCGATAGGCATAGTTTTTCTTCCGCGTGACGTGCTCAGCTACGCTAAACGCACACATAGTCGTCTACGCTCCCACACACCGCACACTTCCCGCACTTCTTTCGTCGTCTCCGGGCTCTGTCAAATGAAATGAAGCCTGCCCAACTTTGCTCTTCGAGGCTTCTAGCTCGAGAAGCGGAACACATTGCGCTTCTTCGTCCCAAGTAGCTGATGGCGTCACGAGGCCGTCATATGGGTTTCTTTCCGCACATCGTTTAATATAAAAGCACAGGCGGACTCCTTCCTACTGTGCCCATGTGCAGCTCCCCTCCTCCTCGGGATTATCAAGTTGCAACACAAACGCCAGGATGTCCGGATCGCGCCCAATCCCTACTCGCCCTTTCTCAGCAGTCTACGTTCGAGAGTATGGAGACGAGTCGATGGACGTCTGCTACGACGAAGGCCCTTGGAAGGAGACGATAACCCTGTCGGAACCAGGAGATCTAGAGTTCGATCTACACGAAGAATACACATCAGATACCGACGATGACGACGACGATTATAGCAGCGTCATCTCCAGTATGGCAGTGTCCTTCTTCATGAACATGATATGTACTGACCCTGCAATGAAGACGAAGATTCCCCCCCGCTCTCTCCCCATCTCGACCCCTCCCTATGGAGCACATTACCACCCGAGATAAAGCTTACCATTCAACGCCCCCTCATCGCCACCGCCGCCCAGGACGGCGGCGACAAACGCACCGCCTCGAAGCTCTCCCTCGTCAGCCGCGAGTGGTCGCTCCATCTCCGTCCACGCCTCTTCCAAAACCTGCGCCTCGCGTCGGCCTCGGACATCAGCACACTCAGCGCAATGCTGCACAGCGCGACGTCGGGCTGGCTGCGCGACCACATCCTCGCCGTCGTCCTCACCACGCGCTGCCGCCCGACCGCCCGCGTCTTCCGCACACTGCAACACCTGCGCGGCTTGCGCCACCTCCAGATTCTGTGCCCGCCGCCGCCGCCGCCGCCGCTGTCGTCCCTGCAGCCGCAGCCGCTTCTGACCCGCAGCGTATGCTCGCGCCGCACGTTCCGCACGCTGTACAGCCTGCAGCTCCGCGGGTGCGCCGTCCGCTCGCAGCCCGCGCTGCTCCGCATGCTCGGCGACGCCGCGTGCCTGCAGTCGCTCGCGCTCGAGCACGTCTCTTGGCGCGTCTCGGGCTCGGGCGCCGCGCCGCCTACGACTGCGCCGTGCGTCGTCCGCCCAGGCCTCGCGTTTCGGCACCTCAGGCACCTCGACGTCGTCGCGTGCACGGACAACCTTGCGCTGTCTGCTGCGGTCCTGTCAGCTGCGGTCGCTACTGGCGGCGGCGGCAACGGCGGCACCCTGTGTTTCGGAGGATCACACGAGAGGGCGTAGGGAACGACACGGCCCTCGTCGCAAGCTTCCTGCGCCCACCCAGCGGCACGTCCCACCGCACCGTGCACGACGCCGTGTCCAGCAGGCCAGACGCGCTCGACGGTGCGTCGCACCGGCACTCTCCGTCTTTCTCTTCCTGAACCAGAGCCCTCACCGACGGCGCGCACGACACGGCCGCTGCCACCTCCACAGAGCGGGGCTCCCGCGGCGCGTCGTACACCGTCCCTGGAGACACCGTCCCAGCAGCGGACCGTCGCGTGGCACCGGCCCCTGCCATCGTCCGGCTGCTCCTGTGGACAAGGCTGGCCGACCGCTGCAGCCCTGCGCGTGGCACTCCAGTCCTTGGACGGCGTATACGAGCGCAGGCTGTCCGGCGCCAGCTACAGCCGGCTGGGCAGGCGCACCGGCAGGTGTCGCGGGAGCGGGCTGCGGCGGGCGGGAGTCTGGGTGTCTTGGCCAAAGGATCACGCGCGGAGGCCCGACGGACGGCTCGTCGCGGCAGAGGGCCGGTGGGGACGCACGCGTGCAGCACTGTGATGACGAGCGCGCCTGCGGGCTCTTCGTGGACGTTCTGTGCCACTGGTGCGCGCACCGTGCACGCGCGGAGAATTCGAGCAGACGCAGGTGTAAAATAAAACAAAACAAAATAAAATAAAGGCAGACGAGGCCCTCGCTCACGCTCCTTTTCGAGACGTTGTGTGCTGAGCGCCACTGTGGGCTTGCTGTTCGGTGGCACGTGGGCAAGCAGGGCACACTGGCAGGCCCGGCGCCCGGAGCACAAGGTCGAGGCCCGCAGCCAGAAGCGAACTTAGAACCTCTGGGAGCACGTGGCAGCGCAAACATACGGTGACTGGCGATGCGAGAGGCGTGCGGTGGGCAGAGAGTGAGGTAGTTAGATGTGTCCAGGCGTTTTGAAAAGGTCTAGTAATTGCTTGTGAACGCGAAGAGCGCTGGCAATGTTGTACGCACCTGGAAGAAAAGGATCCCGTCCACTGCATGCGTGTGATGCTAACAAGAGAATAAGCCGGCCCAGGGAAAGCCGCGCTACCACTAAATGCCACGTTGCAGCCGCAGTGTCCAGGCTTTGTCTGTTGGTGCGATGAACGTTGTTTCAAGTCAGGATACAACACAGGCGCCGAGAGGCTGCGGGAGCTAGGGTCGTAGCCAGGCGCTCCAATCGTCACGAAGACTCAGATGACGCAGAAACAGTGGGCAAATCATATATATGACAGAATAAGTACGGTATCATTGCGGGGACGTCGTCATCGTCGTCATAGCCTTGAAGACAGAGCATGGAATGCATAGTGTACGCCAGAGCGAGCCGAAATAATCCTGCCTAAGACTTGTGCATGTCATGCGAAGAACTCAGACAATAATCTCGATGGTTAGAAGTACGGCGTTGCCGTCGATGGAGATATCTGTGGTACGATGCTCAGAGAATGACATTGCTCTAGCGACAGGCTGACAGCTTACTGTGGTTAACATCCTGACTGCCACTCGTTGTGACCTTGTGTAAGGTCACAGCTGTAGTGTGGTAGGTAATACCGGCGAAGCTAGTCGTACCGACAGCGGCTAATACCACCTGGTCACTAGCACGCCATTGAAGTGAGCCAAAGTAATTTCATGCGCCGTACCACTGAGTACATACCGGCCTAGGTCGTAGCCGTCGGAGGCGATAGTACGGCCCCCTTCTGCAATGCCGTCCTCTATGGCGACACTAGTTCAATGCTGCACTGAGCGCCTAGTCAGTCATGATGAGAGCATTGGATCACGCACGCAAGGAAGAGAGCATTGGTGGGGGCAACGGTGCCGTTCTGACGGAAGACCCTGAGCAGTAGTTGAGACTCATGTCGACCGCAATCGCTCAACAGACAGATCGAGGCTTACCTGAAACGTGTATCGCCGAGGAGATTATCGAGGCAGGAGCCAACATCCGGTACACCATAGTCCTCGCGAAGCAACAGGGTTTGTGGCAGCGGGACGTTGTCGTTATTGCCATCGCCGAGGTTGGCCATCTGTATAGAGCCGGCATCGCTACCCAGGCATCCGTTGGAGCTAGACGGGCGGATAAGATTAATACGAAGCCAAGTAGGTCGTACTCACAAGCCAATGGAGTTAGCAAAATTGGTGAAGCCGTCGTCAGTAAGGACCGCAGGCGAACTGAGACCAGAAATGACGATCTGCGAATACAGCGGTAAAGATCACCGAACGCCATAGAACTTGATGATACTTACATTCAGAGGCTCGCCAATGAAAAAGGGGACCCCCGGGCCGACACCAGCGGCCCAGGATCCTCCGAGTGCACTTAAGCAGTTAGGGGGGTAAAATGGGAGGCCCGGGGGCACTGGGGTCGGGCAGCTTAGAGCGATGGACACACTTGAATCGTTGGCCAAACTTGAAGCGCCGGCCAAACTGGCAGCGAAGAGGATCAAGGCAGAGGCCAGCATCTTGTATGTTGAGAGGGAGACGGGGCTGAGAACGCAGAGGACTGTACAGCACGATAAGAGCCTATGGGGAAGTTATACGACGCTTCGAGCAAGCGCGCATGGTGGCAGTTATTGAGACTACTACATGGGAAGTTACTAGGGATAGTCAGCACTTGGATGTCTTCTCACTTAGGCCAGCTCTCCGAGCGAGGCAAAGCTGGGCTCTGACGTTTCGTCATGTTTGACGGCAACCCTGGTCTGTGATAACCGATCAGATTGATGGCATCCAAAACCGCGGCAACATCAGGTTTGCACCGCAACCTGAGGAGCGACTCCGGCACTGGGTGGTAAGGGCGGTTTTTTTGGCAGTGAAACTGGGTTCAAACTGATGAAACAAGGCCCCGCTTTCGTGCGATTTTCTGCCATTAAAAAAAAGGACAAAACTTGAAGTTTGCTTTTCAGTTTACTGCCTTGTACAATCGGAACAGAACTGTGAGATTGTGGTATAGATTTCCTCGCTTTTAGCGCAGGCACCATCTTCAATTTAATCTCAATTTGTAACGCTTGAAAAAAACGCGTCGGACCAAGTGGCACTGTTTTGTTGCTGCTAATAATTTCATCGAAAACATATCCCAAATGGGAAATTTTATCTCGAATTACTTCTATGTAAAAACTGGGCACAACTACAGATTTTGTTTACAGTCTCTCAAGGTAATCAATTACAGAAAAAATTGACATGTGATGCAAAGTTTTGTTGCAGATATTACCAGAATGACTTCAAGTTTGAGCTCAATTTTTACAGTGTAGGAAAACAGAAGTAACGGCCCCTAGATTGTATCACAATCTTTATGATAGAAAACCTGCGCAGAACTGCATAAATAACTCACACTTTGAAGGTAAGTTTGCACGGTGGCCAAAATCAGAAGAAACGAGGTCTCTTACCCTAACTGCCACCTCTTCTCCGCCACGCCAAATGTTCGTGCTCATCTGCGAGCTTGTTTGGGACCGCTGCCGGCAGACGTCCCCGATCGCCTCGTCGCCATATCTGCTACGACACACCAAACAGGCCGAGGAGGTTGCACAAACGAGAGCTGCCCGGCGCAGTCATGCACATCCTCAGTCTGCGTGTCAGGCAACAAACCACCCTGGCTGACGGCATGGCAGGCAAAGACAATTCGCGTTCCACCTGAGGGCGGTGGTCTGCTCACAAACGTAGGGAGTCAGAGGCGTCCGCGCGCGGTGCCCTCTGCGAATAGTTTGTGGCCACGCCGTTTGGTTCCGTAGTCCAGGTGTCCAGGTTCGTCGCCTTGACGATCTCGGGGATGCCTGTGAAGAAGACGCGACAAACACCAGTGGCGTGGTTCAAGCGAGCACGGACGGGGCGGTGCTCACCTAGGTGGGCATCACTGATGACAGTGTGCAGGTACAGCACAGCTGTCTTGCGCCAGATACTGGTGACTGTATGCCGCGTGTGCTCGTCAGCGCCGGGGCCCAATGATTTCTTCTAGTGTGCAAGCGCAGTGGTCTCGGCAATCGCAAGCACAGCCTCGTTGGGACAGCCGGTAAGCTTGTCCATGTGCAGGTCGAGTTGGTCGTTGTTTGTGCACGGGCCGCTTGAGCACCTGGCTAATCTTAATAGAGCGACAGATGGGCACAGGTCTGACATGTGGTACACCGTCGTCACCAGAAAATCAAGCACAACCTGGTTTGACATGGTGAGTACGTTCACACTCGACGAGACTGTAGTGCAACACACCCCAAAAGCACCCCGATCTTCTGCAGCCATCGATTAATCAAGTTTTCCTCTCCCGTCCTGTCTCCAGCGTACCGCAGTGCGGCGCCATGAGCGTACCGTGCTGAAGTGCTCGCGAGCATTTGACCGCCGTCCCATACGGTATATAGGAAGATCACTGCGCCAGATAGCCTTTGGAAAATGGGGAGTGCGATGGCATGATCAGATACGCTCGGTGCAGAGATCGGAAAGAAGGCACGGGTGGCTTGGGGTGTAGTGGCTCGTGGGGAGCAGGGTTTTTGACTTGCTGAGCCCATGATTGGGCGGAAGATGCTAGTCCGACCCAAACGTTGGCGTTTCCATCCGGCTCGATACAAGCAGCGGAACGACGATATTGGTACAGCAAGAAAAGCATCCAAACCGGGTCTGTCGGTGGTGCATGCCGGTAGCATTGCATCGCAGTATATGCTTACCCCAACTTGAGGGAGATTAAAACTGCCGCACGTACAATTGCGTCGACATGTCAGACTTCTACCAAGGGTTGTAGTAGCTGATCAGGTATACGGCAACACCGCATCTCACTCAGTGTATGGACAACCTGTGGCCATAGTGGTCATGAGCATGACGTACGCTTTGTTGTAGAACCGTCAATCAATAGCGCGGTCAGAGCTCTCCATGGTGGCAGTGGCTGCATTGTGGCCATGCTGTGCAGCATTGGCCTTGGATGAATGTAGACTAGCGAGTGCGCAAATGGCATGTTCGAGCGGGCCTTGTGGCTCTCGTGCCAAAATCTAAAGATTTGCATTGACTTCTTAGTGATGTCATGGAAGAAAATCACTTCTAAAAGAACATACGAAGGCGAGTGTCTGTGTGAGCTCTTTCCCCTGGAAGGACAAACTGCAGTTTTGCACATGTGCTCGAAGTAGTATTGGATGTATGGCTCAGATTGCTCGTTGAAGGGTGAGTCACACAGCCCCAGTGTAATGGATGGAGAAATCTCAGGGGTATGAAGAAATAGTGGGTATGACGACATGCTAGACATGGACGAGATATCGTTGCTATACGGGAGCGATGCCTGATTGGACGCATTGTTCGGTGTGACGAACGGAGAGAGTATGGAGAGCTCCGAGCCGGCACTTATTGCGTCTGCAAAGTGGCGTCAGACCCATCATTCAGCAAAGAAGCATGCAGAAGCCACGTACCAAGTCCAGTCATGGCGGACATTACAGTGTTTGCATGGTGGTATCGCGAAGGCTCGTAGGAGCGTCCGTGCGGGAAAGATGGGTATCGCTCCAACCAGCCCGGAGGGTGCTCGGCCCGTGGCCTGCGAGTGCTCCTGAGAGATACCTATCGGATGATGAAGATGACGTCGAGGACTGAGCAAGGGCCAATGAGGGGGACGTGAGGGAGCCGTAGACCTTACGAGGCTGGCCGCGGATGAGGCCTGCACATGTAAGCTGGGCCTTAATGCTCACCTTGTACTCTGTGACCTTTTCCTGTAGGTGTATGGGTGAAGAGTAATCAGCTGCAATGGCAGACGCGATGCACCCCAGCCCAAGCAGTCAATTCCTAGCCGACGACATGTCTTGCACGAATCGCCGTCGATTGTCGTGCAAGGTGTGGCTGCAGGAAGCAAGAACCGTTCCTGCCACCGTACGGCATCCTCCCTGAGCCGCGCTGGCCGTGACAGAAGCCAACAGGATTACACCTGCCCCGACGCCCGATGCTCCCCTCGTCTCCCCCGGGATCATTTGAATGCGCAAGACGGCTCAGCGCAGCTGTGGCCAAAGTGTGCAGATGGGCGACTTGTGCCAGTTGATTAGAATCGATGAGGCGCGCCTGGGGGAGTGGGAAGGTCATGGCCGGTGTCACAAGCCTGCACAGACTTGCAGCCCCACCAGGGCTTCAGGTTGCCTGAGGTACGATGAAGGCTGATTGCAGCTGCCCACGCTCTTCATCCTGACTGTAGGTGTACAAGACGAAGGACTTGATGGGCTTGAGAGCCTCCAAGTGCAGGTGTTGAGTGGGCCGAGCTCAGACTTGACTTGTGATGTACTCAGCGCTGCAACACAGATACCTCGGGTGACCAAAATGCAAGGAGCTTTTCTTCACTTGTGTCCTCGCAAACAACCTTCCCGATTTCACCAACCCTGTAATCTCAGTGAGAAGCGAAAGCTGCGTCAAGAGCAAAATTGGCGTATGACATTTCGAGCTGCTTCAAAAAAATACACCGTAGAGACCAGGTTCGTTGCCTGACACGCGGACTGAGGACGTGCATGACCGTGCCGGGCAGCTCTCGTTTGTGCAACCTTCTTGGCCTGTTTGGCATGTCGTAGCAAATATGGTGATGAGGCGATCGGGGACGTCTGCCGGCAGCGGTCCCAAACAAGCTCGCGGATGAGCACGAACATTCAGCGTGGCAGAGAGGAGGCGGCGGTTAGGGTAAGAGACCTTGTTTCTTCTGATTTTGGCCACCGTGCAAACTTACCTTCAAAGTGTGAGTTATTTATGCAGTTCTGTGCAGGTTTTCTACCATAAAGATTGTGGTACAATCTAGGGGCTGTTACTTCCGTTTTCCTACACCGTAAAAATTGAGCTCAAACTTGAAGTCATTCTGGTAATATCTGCAACAAAACTTTGCATCACATGTCAATTTTTTCTGTAATTGATTACCTTGAGAGACTGTAAACAAAATCTGTAGTTGTGCCCAGTTTTTACATAGAAGTAATTTGAGATAAAATTTCCCATTTGGGGTATGTTTTCGATGAAATTATTAGCAGCAACAAAACAGTGCCACTTGGTTTGACGTGTTTTTTTCAAGTGTTACAAATTGAGATTAAATTGAAGATGGTGCCTGCGCTAAAAGCGAGGAAATCTATACCACAATCTCACAGTTCTGTTCCGATTGTACAAGGCAGTAAACTGAAAAGCAAACTTCAAGTTTTGTCCTTTTTTTTAATGGCAGAAAATCGCACGAAAGCGGGGCCTTGTTTCATCAGTTTGAACCCAGTTTCGCCGCCAAAAAAACCGCCCTTACCACCCAGTGCGGTTATATCGACCCTGTTGCATGCACCTGGAAGAGAGAGATCTCGTTCGCTGCATGCGTGTAATGCTAACAAGAGAATAGGCCGGCCCAGCAAAAGCCGCACTACCAATAAATGCCACGTTGCAGCCACAGTGTCCAGGCTTTGTCTGTTGGTGCGATGAACGTTGTTTCAAGTCAGGATACAACACATGCGCCGAGAGGCTGCAGGAGCTAGGGCCGTAGCCAGGCGCTCCAATCGTCACGAAGACTCAGATAACACAGAAACTAGTGGTTGAGGGTCCGGTCCAGTCTGGTCTTTTTTAAAAATTGGGTGGGACCAGGACTCAGACTGGTCAAGGACCAGCATCTGTTTGTGCAGGACCGGACCAAAACTGGGTCCTGGTCCTGTACACTCCTCCATGCAGTCCTGGACTGGTCATAACCAGTCTAGGACCAAATGTGGTCTTAGACTGATTCAGACCAGCTCAGACCAGTCCTGCCCTGATAAATATGGCACAAATAAACAAATTTTGATTTTGAACTGCATGTACAGGTAGACTAGCAGTATACTAAGCTAATTTCTAGACAAATCAGTTTTGAGACCACACTACTCAGCCTAATGAGTCAAAGAGGAGACAGTGTGTGAGTCTCAAGAAGGCCAGAAGAGTGTACCAGATGTCTATCTCAGAAGTGCTATATACCATTCATGCATTGCCAGACTGTCTTTACGTACTGTAAGGCATCACAGAAATACTGTTTCATAGAGTCTGATATTGAGGGAGTGTTTGACATGGCTGAATATTTGATGAACTCAAAGGCAGGGGCTCAAAAAAATAGCCACAGCTGTGGTCTGTGTTGTTAAGGTTCAAGAGAGGTATTTGGCAGGTAGACAGCTACTTCACGTTATGTCATACATATGAATGAAAGGCAATATTGTATATGGGCAAATATAGGTAAACAATGTGCGCACAAAGCACCGGTGAACACTGTACACTTAAAAAATCAAAACAAATATTCAGCTAGTGATACGCAGGCATGGCTTGAGCTTAAAGCCCAGGATTGGGCCCATGGCAATGTTGGGCTGAGTCCTGACCCCAAGCCTGAGCCTGAGCCTGAGCCCGGCCCAAGTTGCCAAGCTTAGGATAAGTTCACACTAGCAGAGACCGCCCACTGACTCAAGCCTGGCCTTGAGCCCACTGCCAGACCAGGCTCAGGTCAGGCTTTTTTGGGCTGGGCTTGCAAGCTTTTGAGCCAAGGCTGCACATTACTATATTCAGCAAAGAAAACAATGCTCTGCTCACATGGCTGGATTCTAAACAGAGAAGAAGGGTATCATGCACCACTTTCATCATTCTCAGCATTTCTGTATAAAACCTCCATATTCTTGAGAGCCTTGTTATCTCTACGCTCAGGCTCCATCTCCCCATGGTCATGGCTTTAGCTGATTATGTGCAGTAACTGCATCCAAACTTGAATAAATCATAAAAAGAGTTTAAAAAAATGTATTAATCTGTGCTTAAGCTGGCTGTGTACTTGGACAAGCCTACAAGGGCATGGTTGCAGTTCAGAAATTACTAAGATATACATGTACCAGTAGCCAAGCTGCTTTCCGGATGCTGCATTTTTGTTACTCTATATTGGTCTGTGACTGGTCCTGACCGGTCATGACCAGTTCTAAAAGCACCCAGTGCCATCTAGGACCAAGGACTGTGACCAAGACTGGACTGACGTAGGACTGGACCATACCCAGTCCTGATCAGTCCAGTCTCAGTCCAAGTCCCAGTCCCGACTGGTCCTTAGGACCGGACCCTCAACCACTAACAGAAACAGTGGGCAAATCACATATATAACAGAATAAGTACGGGAATCATTGCAGGGTCGTCGTCATCGTCGTCGTTATAGTCTTGAAGATAGAGCATGGAATGCATAGTGTACGCCAGAGCAAGCCAAAATAATCCTGCCTAAGACTTGTGCATGTCATGCGAAGAACTCAGACAATCTCAATAGTTAGAAGTACAGTGTTGCTGTCAACGAAGATATCTGTGTTACGATGCTCAGAGAGTGACATTGCTCTAGCGACAGGCTGACAGCTTACCATGGTTAATGGGCGTGGTGCCACTCAATGTGACCTTGTGTAAGGTCACAGCTGTAGTTTCATAGGTAACACCGGCGAAGCTAGTCGTACCGACAGCGGCTAATACCACTTGGTCACTAGCACATCATCTCGGTGAGCTAAAATAATTTCATCCATACCACTGAGCACATACCGGCCTAGGTCGTAGCTGTCAAAAGCGATAGTACAGCCCCCTTCTATAGTGCCATCCTCTATGGTGACACTAGTTTAATGCTGCACTGAGTGACTGTTCAGTGATAACGAGAGCATCGAGGTATGCACGAAAGGAAGAGAGCATTGGTGGGGGCACCAGTACCATTCTGACGGAAGACCCTGAGCAGCAGTTGAGACTCATGTTGACCGCAATCGCTCAACAGGCAGATCGAGGCTTACCTGAAATGTGTATCACCGAGGAGATTATCGAGGCAGGAGCCGACATCTGGTATACCATAGTCCTTGCAAAGCAACAGGGTTTGTGGGATGAAGCCATTGCCATCGCCGAGGTTGGCCATCTGTATAGAGCCAGCATCGCTACCCAGGCATCCGTTGGAGCTAGACGGGCGAATAAGAACAATACAAAGCTAAGTAGGTCGTACTCACAAGCCAATGGAGTTAGCAAAATTGGTGAAGCCGTCGTCAGTAAGGACCGCAGGCGAACTGAGACCAGAAATGACAATCTGTGAATACAGCGGTAAGGATCACCGAACGCCATAGAACTTGATGATACTTACATTCAGAGGCTCTTTGGAAGAAAAAGGGGTCGAGCCAACACCATCCAACCAGGATCCGCCGGATGCACTTGAACAGTTAGGGGGGAAAAATGGGAGGCCCGGGGGCACTAGATCTGGGCAGCTCATAGCGTTGGCCACACTTAAACTGTTGGCCGAACTTGAATCGTTGGGCAAACTTGAAGCACTGGCCAAACTTGAAGCACTGTCCAAACCTGGTGCACTGGCCAAACTTGAAGCACCGGCCAAACTGGCAGCGAAGAGAATCAAAGCAAAGGCCAGCATCTTGTATGTTGAGAGGAAGACGGGGCTGAGAATGCAGAGGACTACACAGTGGAATAAGAGCCTGTGGTGAATTTATACGACGCTTCAAGCAAGCGCGCATGGTGGCAGTTATTGAGACTACTACATGGGTAGTTACTGGGGATGGTCAGTACTTGGATGTCTTCTTACTTAGGCCAGCTCTCCGAGCGAGGCAAAGCCAGGCTCTGACGTTTCATTGTGTTCGACGACAAGCCTGGTCTATGATATCCATCCAAACCACGGCAACAAGAGGTTTGCACCGCAACCTGAGGAGCGACTCCGGTTTCGTCGACCCTGTGAGTCATTGTACAGATGCACTGCGACACAAGAAGCAGCAAAAAATGCGGCCGCATCATCAACGTACTTCCATATTTAGTAGACAATCTCCAATCTGATCCACAGCACTGTCCTATAATGGCACTCTGGTTTATAAAATTTGAGCAAATCTGCTCATTGTAGCTAATCACAACCACTCTTTGTAGGCAGTTTTCCGCAAATTGATGTGCGCATACCTTGGCTACATATTCATGTTTTTGTTGTATTTTTTTGAGGTCTTGCAAGAGCTGCGGATCCTTTCCAATGCGCAAAATGGGTCCTGCTCCCTCGTTTATTGATTTTGTCACACTAGTGTCACACCAGATGCTGTCAAGCCGTGTTGCTGCCAAGAAGCCGAGCCGTCTCTCTGAAGTTGACCTCAAGTGTTTAAGATCAGGCGGAGTGACAACTTCATCACGCCTTGCTCGTTCATTGTAATGCTCCACTAATGTTCCTTCTCTGTACATGTACATAGCACCTTTTAAACCAGATATATAAACCAGCCATGCCTGATGTAGGTACACAAGTTCGTAAATGCAATCATGAGAATATTTGGTGAGTGAGATCTAGTTGGATCTAGCCATCAGTAGCATTTTTCGGCCAGTTTTGAACCACTTCCGAGCACCTACAAAGATACCTTACCATCTTTCCCCTTATGTCTGTCATGACATGTGTATCATATTTTAACATGAATACAGAGCTATCTGAAAAAAAAATTCCCAGCATCTTCGGAGGCAGATTGAAGTGGCAAGAGCAAATTAATAAAGTGGAGAACACTTTCGAACCAGGGTGCCATCAGAGCATGTATCAGTACGCCGTACACCAACAGAGAAGAAGAAGCACTCCGCCAGAAACTGTAGCCTCAGACCGGTGGATTGCTGACCTGACTAATGGCACTGACCGCAACCTAAACTTGAAGCCGCCAGCCAGTCTTGTCTGACTCCTGACGCAGCCTGACGAGCAGACTCCTGACCATCGTCTGTGGGGCGGTAAGTTGCTTTATCTCCCAGCACTCGCAGTATCTTATCTGTAAGCTACCATTCTAATAGAGTATGACAAGAATGTTTCTAGAGATCCAAGCATCGTATACACGATGTTCTTCGACGTCCATCGCTCACCAAGCCTTTGCAGCACCGCCGGCCGAGGTTGCCGATTGATGGCGCTAAACAATTTGTGCCAGTCGTCTATGGACGTACAAATTTACGCGAGACAAAATGACACATTGTATCACATCAATTAGAACAGTAAGTTACAGATAAGATATTGCGAACGCTGGGAGATAAAGCGACTTACCTCCCCGGTCGCAGGATCTCTATATTACCACGGACGGTATCCTGCCTTGATGTCTATCCTGTGTAAAATCTCAGTATTCTAGATTTTGAATATCATTGGTCTGCTCATCCCCACCTGATATTACAACAGGGGACGATAGAAATGAACCACCTCATGTACTACGTGCGCGTTCGCAGGATCTTCGGGCAATGATCCACGGCATCATGTGCAACAGTGTGCTACCCTTTTCCTTCCCACCACGATCTCAAACAAATCTCGAAGCAATCTGCGATCCACTTGGGATCCTCATCACTTGTCGTTGTTATGCTTTACATCGTTGGATTGCGCGCATAGAACGTGCCATATAGTCCCTCATGCTTCGATTTGATCTCTACAATTCACGACCATCAACACCACACAATGATGCCCCAAGAGAACTACAGCTCAAGTAATGTCACACTCTTCAAAAAATAGCAACTCAGGAAAATGCTGCCTGGTGGTGGTGCATCTACTCCTTGTGATCGAAAGGAAGAGCGACCTACCCATCATGATTCACATGTTCGGCAGGCCCTCGATCTCGTGCCAGACGCCCCGGGGCTCGCGCTCCTTGTTCAGGCCCCAGATCCGCGGGACCTTTGCTCCATCGTCCTCTCCAATGAGTTTGCAGATTGGCGCACTGGTGTCGTCGAACCTATTGCTCTCAGGCACGTCAGCCGGGCCCACGGGAGAAGAGTCGCTCAGGGCGGGTGTGCATACTCGGTCGCGACGATGACGATGTCCGCAGGGAGTGCTCTGCCATCCGCAAAGACGACGCCGGTCGCCGTGATCCTGGTAACCTCTGACCCGAACTCAACCTTGATCTTCCCGTCAACAATCTGTTGGCCTGCGCATATGACTGTGGCGCGCGCGTGCGCTTTTCTCGGCTCAGAGTAGGAGCAGAAGATCGCGAGAGGCAAAGAAGGACGCACCGACGTAGTGCTTGCCGCGGCACTCGGTGAATGAGTAGGCCACGCCGCTGCCATCCAGGCTGTTATTTAGCCTGTACCCGACCCTGCTGATGCCGCCAAACAGCCCTTTAGCAAGAGAAACGCGGTTCAGAGGCTTGGATTAGTTAGAATAATAGATGGCAGAAAGATACACTGTCAGAACTAGGCGATTATGTCATTGCCCTGTACGGACTAATGGAGATATCATCACATGATCCCTCTATTATCTTGTAGTAATACAATATCTGATTACTCATGCTTAGTATACATGCTTACGCTCACAGTACCATAGGTCTTATAGTGGTATCAGAGGTCCTGATTCACATGTATATATACTGGCCCTGTAGCACAGAATAAAGCAAGAGTTCAGTCGCACTTTAACAGGTTATGAGCCCCGGCCTCACGGCCACTCTACCCCCACTTTACTAGTCTCATTGCTGAAGAAGACCCCTCGGGAAACCTCGGTCCCCTTCACCCAGTTTAAATAAAGTTTATCCACGCAGTTTACGAGTAAGTCTCGTTGCGTGCTAGTGGCAGATGGAGCGCTTACGCGTTCATTCCTGCGTAAATTCTAGTGCCAAAGGATTTGCCTGCTCGTCCCCCTCACTCCGCTTCCAGCGGTACAAGCACTCCGCCGGCTACATGCCTGCCTCCGGCAATGCCAACGACCCTGATGAGACCGTCCCGTACAGTAAACGCCACGGCAAAGAACTACGCCCGCCGACTCCAGCGCTCACCCTCCCGTTCCCACCGAACTCACACGAGGATAGGCGCCTACATCGCGAACAGTTCCGCGAGCGCTACGCGACCGACAAGGCCGACTTCGAGCAGCGTCTAGCTGCACGCGAAATTCAACAGGCGCGCAAACGGATCCTCGCCGGTCCATCAAAGCCGACACTCAAGCAGCGTCTCGCTGCCATCCCACCGATGACACATACGCCAATCACCCCGAAGCCAATACTCATCGACTTCGATAAGCACACTCCCGCCGACCTCGTCCACATCTTCACACCGAAGTTCGACGGCACACTCAAACGCCTCGACGTCTTCGAGACTCTCGAGCTCAACGACCTCAACTTCGACCGAGTCCGCAATCTCCGCTGACTCATTGAGCAGCTCACGCGCATCAAGCGCTGCCTAGCGGACATCTGCAACGTCGTCAAATACGAGGAGTGGCGCAAGTGGGAATTAGGGTGTAGAGAAATAGGGGATATCTCGTCCAAAGGGCTACGCAAGAACAAAGCCCAGATTGTACAAGCGCTCAGCGCAGTTTACGTGAACGGATATTTTGACGCGGTTAGGTTTTATGAGAACAAGTAGATACTTTGTATACAACGCTATTGTAACAATCAGAAAGAAAGTTCTACTCGGAAACCTGACTACTGCGTGTTTATCCTAAGCGACAACAAGAGTCGTAGTTTAACTGGTCCCTTTGTCCAAATTCCAACTCTATCCACCTCTCGGCTAAATCGGCTTAGCTGGGATAAGTGGTTCGCTCAACAGCGTTCACAATCATATCCTCTCAGGAGACAAATATGGTACCTGAAACCGTAGAGACAAAACAGGAAACCGTCGCAGAATTCAGACAGCGACTGAATATCCTAGACGACTGCAAAACTCCATGGGAATCATTAACAACACACGAACAATACGTCGAGTTGTTATTAACCCTGCAGTACTTCAACTACGTCCAACAACCTCCGACATATAACGCGTCAGCAGAGTTAATTAACCCTGACGAAGACGTTATCCATATCTTCTTTCTCACAAGCTCCGACACATATTTGGAGTCATACGCCTGTTACCTAGACCAGGAAGATATTGCGGAAGATCTATATTATAGACCTATATACCAGCTATACGATCTTGCATTCTTGGAAGAAGATTGGGAATCACTTCGAGTGACACGAGCCAAATCATATGAGCTTGATCTCAGTGAATTCTTCTACGAAGTCGGATTAGCGCCAACAGAACGTGAAACACTCTACGCATATACTTGCCTCCTTTTCGTACACGATAACAATGTCATCTTCTTCTGACCCGACCAAGCTCGCCACACAAACCATCCCGCAATTCGACGGCACCAACTACAAAAAGTGGTCCAACACGATCCGAGCCTTCCTGCGTTACCAAGGCATCTGGTATCTAACCCAGGGATACAGTTCCACAGCAACCGTACCAGTCTTTGGTCTTGCCAGACCAATAGCTGCAACAGGCACACCCACGGCTATGGAAATTGCAGCTCAAGCTGCATGGGATGAGAAGAACGATAAGGCGCTGGGCATCATCCAGCTCTATGTTGTGCAGAATCTTCGTCATCTCGTCGATGACAAGTTCTTGGCCCTGGACGCATGGACCGTGATCAAGGCTGGCTACGAGAAACCCGGAGCTGTAGGCGCATTCGTCGCCTTCCAGAAGCTGTTCAATGCGCAGCTTTCTGACAGCTCTGCGCTCGGCCCGCAACTCGACGCGCTCACAGAGCAGTCCAACCAGGTCAACGCGGCAGGAATAGAGGTCAAACCTCAACTTCTTGCTCTGCTCATGATCAATGCTCTCCCCAAGTCGTATCAGACCATCGCTGGTACAATTCTCACAACGCAGACTGATGTTATGCTGCTCACAGCAGCGCTCATCAAGCCCAAGATCATCGAGGAGGAACAGCGCCACGTCGCGAACCGCACTCAGATTGCGCGCGTGTCGAAGGCGCCTCTTCTCGACAAGAAATGTGAGAAGTGTGGTTGCAAGAATCACACGACAGAGCAGCACTGGGACACAAAGCCGGCAAATTCTGGCTTGAGTTCCAGTAACGGCAACAATACGCAGCAGCAGCAGCAGGGTGGAGGAAAGCACAAGAAGGAAAAAGAAAAGGGCAAAGCAAAGGACAATACCGCGACAACCACGCAGACTGTAAATACCATATGATTAGTCGATATACCACTAGTAGCTAAGATTGAGGAAGAATCCATCTCTGTTTCTCTTTATGCTACGGGTGTCAAGTCTAAGTGGATGGTCGACAGCAGTTGTACAACACATGTCACACCGTACAAAACTGACTTTATTCGGTATCATAAATTCCCTAAGCCAGGTCATGCACACACGACCGGCAAAGGTCAGACTATCAAAATCAAAGGTCACAGTGAAATCGCTCTATAACATCGTCTCACAGATGGACGAATTCAGCATATCCGGTTAGAAACCGTATTATACGTACCGGAAGCGGCAGAACGGTTCTTTGCACCCAGAATGCCACTCAATAACGGACACCGTATTGAGATGGATGGCAAGAAGTTTAAATTACTCCGCGGGTCAGACCCAACATAGCGGACAGTTTCAATGGAGGGCGAATATGAAAAGTCGTCAGGTTTATATTGGCTAGAAGCTGAAGTCCTCACTAAAACCAGTGAGATTAAGCCAGGAACATTAATGTTGGTCAAATCCGATGATCCATATACCTTGTGGCACCGTCGCTTCGGACACGCCGGGAAGAAATCAGTTGTTCAACTGCCTGGCAATGTCAAAGGCGTCCCGGATAAAATCTCAGCTCCAACCAGGGATACTCCCTGTGATGGGTGCAAATTTGGGAAGTCTCATCGCGATGCTTTTCCTGCATCTGACAGTCGTGCGGATCATCCCCTCGACTTAATTCACATGGATCTTGTCGAATATCCGTCGTTATCACTCGACGGGTACAAGTTTGCCCTTACCACCTTCGACGACTATTCCTCATTTGGTTTAGTCTGGTATCTGAAACGGAAGTCTGATGCCTTCTCTGCCTTCAAGCAATTTGTCGCTTGGGCGGAAACACAGGCCGAGCGCAAGCTCAAGGCTATACGTTTGAACTATGGGGGGGAGTTTTTAGGCTATGAATTCGACGATTTCCTAGCAGAACGCAGAATAGAGCGTCAACTATCAGTGGCGCGAACACCACAACAGAACGGCAGAGCAGAACGCTGGCAACAGACCATTCAGAATAAGGCAGAAGCTATGCGACATCACGCTGGCATGACGTCTGGGTTCTGGAAGCTAGCATCAGAAACCGCAGTACATATATACAATCGACAACCTCTGCGCCGTCATCAATGGAAGCCGCCAATCACTAAATGGAACGGCACTGTTCCGGACATATTGTACTTTCGAGTATGGGGCTGCAAAGCCTATGTCCACACACATAAAGATGTGAGGGTCAATAAGCTACAGCCAAAGGCTAAAGTCATGATCTTCGTTGGGTACGAAATCGGTACAAAGGGTTACCGATTCTGAGATCCAACTGCCCAGACCATCGTTGTGTCACGCAATGTCACCTTCAATGAGTCTTCCTTTCCCAAGCGAGACGAAAGGCCTTGTGAGCCTGGAACGTCTTAAGATCCAATTCCACCTGTTCTACCCGACCTGCCGAACCCGGACCTAACCAATCCGGATGACTTCACACCTGATAATCAACCCCCAGACAACATACATCCACAACCGCAGCAAGACGAACCGCAACAAAAGGATGATGACGAATTCAATAATGATCCATCCGATCGTTATGAACAATATCGAAGCCCAACTCCAGAACCATACAATCATCCGGAGATACCATTCGCTCCCGGTCCACCTCCTGGACCACCTCCACCTCAGAGAGAACATTATCGTCCTCGTCAGAGCGGACAAGCCGGTCCATCTCGTCAGGCAGCACCACCTGCTCCTGATATTAGGCAACGATGAAATCTCGAACCACAACCTGTGCCACATCCGGTCAGGCCACAGCACAAGAATGCAGGCCAACGCCATGTTCCCGATAACAGCTATGGTGACGTCCCGCCCACAGAAGCAAGGCGTCAACAGGAACGAGATATTCAACGTGATCAACAAGAAGAACAAGAAGCACGTGAACAACGTGAAGCCTCTCCAATGGAAGTCGACAATCAACTCCGTCAGAATTTATTCTAATGGATATGTCATGCTCACCAGTCTGACCCCACTACGTACCGTGAGACAATGTCTCGCCCAGATGCGAAACAGTGGAAGATTGCGATGAAAGAGGAACTCAAGTCCCAGGAGGAGAATTCAACATGGATTCTGGTTAACAGACCGAATAACCGGAGAATTGTAAAATGCAAATGGGTTTATGTGATCAAGCCCGACGACCGTTACAAAGCACGTCTTGTGGCCAAAGGATTCACACAGATAGAAGGGATAGATTTTCAGGAAACCTTCTCTCCCGTCGCACGCTATGAAGCTATACGCTTCTTACTCGCACATGCCGCACTCGAAGATTGGGAAATTGAGGCAATGGATATAAAAACAGCCTTCCTGTATGGCGAGCTCGACGAGGAGATTTACATGGAACAACCAGAAGGATTTGTGAAGAAAGGACAAGAAAAGATGGTGTGTCAATTGAAGAAGGCAATCTATGGTTTACGCCAAGCCTCACACACCTGGAACAAGAAGCTACATACTACGCTACTCAAGAATGGATTCAAACGCACGTGCTCAGATGCTGGAGTTTATGTTTATCATCACGACAAAGTCGAAGTTTACCTCATAGTTTACATCGACGACCTTCTACCAATGGGTCCAAGTTTACCCGAGATCCAACGAGTAAAGAAAGTTCTTGCAGAGAAATTCCAAATGCGAGATCTTGGAGCTGCTAGTACATTCCTTGGAATGCGGATCACTCGTGATAGAAACAACAGGTGTCTGGAAATCGACCAACAGTTGTATACCGAAGGAATCCTATCTCGGTTCCAGATGCACAACTCAAAACCTTGTTGCACACCGCTGCCCGAAGGCATACATCTCGAGAAGGCTGCGGAAACATATACCGCTACTGACGCACTCCGCCATCACTATCAGTCTATGATTGGTAGTCTCATCTATTTGATGATTGGTTCACGACCCGACATCGCCTGGAGAGTCACATGACTCTCACAATACATGCAAAACCCTACGTCACAGCACGTGGAAGCTGCGAAGCACATCTTCCGGTATCTCCGTCATACCATCGAGTAATGTATCCAATACTCTGGCTCAAATCAGTCCGGTTTGATAGGGTATTCAGACGCAGACTGGGGCGAAAATTGGGATAACCGGCAATCAACAACCGGTTTCGTTTTCTTGATGGCTGATGGAGCAGTCACATGGGCATCTCGGATGCAGAAGACGGTGGCAAGATTCTCGACGGAAGCCGAATACATGGCACTCTCGGAGGCATGCTCTGAGCTAGCCTGGCTAACGTCACTCCAAAAAGAGTTAGGTTACTTTCCTACTGCACCACCGCCTTTGGTAGCAGACAACCAAGGAGGAATCTTTCTCGCAGTCAATCCCGCTCATGACCG